TTTGTCAGAACTAGTGAAAAATTTGCTTTGTATTAAAAATATTGTTGGAAAGCTGCATGTTTTATGCTTATATTGAAAATTCATTTGTGATGGTGATGACTAAAATTGTACTTGATAATAAAAAAATCAATTTTCATATGTTGTATCTAGTAGCTATCTTGGTACTAAAATGCTATACATATATCAACCAATTTCTCTATCAAATGAAAAATACCTATCATTGGTTGTATACCAATTCTCAAGGGCAAATGCATCTTTTTACTATGAAGTTAACGGTCAACTAGCGGTGGAGTGACAACAATGGTATAAAAGAGAGGACAAACTTGAAACGGTGGCATAGAAGGGAGGAGCCAATTTGAAGTGGCATATAAGTGATTCTCTCGTTTTTATGTGTCAATCAAATTACAATTATGAAAAATTATTTTGCTATGAAATTCCATGGAAATGCAACGGTCATGACATTTTATCCTCCATTCTTTTCTATCTATATGTTTCAATAATATTATGTTTCAAAGGAACCCCCCTAATCATTGCCTTTATGATGTGAGAAACTATAGGGTGTTATGAGAAATCTTTTGTTCTAATTTGAAGTTTTGAACGGGCACCAGAGTTTGCAACATTCAAATATTTATGAAGTAGAGTTTATTTTGTCACATAACTAAATTTTTAATTAAGTGTAGATAGGCCAACGACATCTAAATCAACATGATGCCTATTGTTTTTTTCTAATCCTTCGATAAAACTATCTTTATTTATATAAATATGCTATAGGACTATATAAAGTAGGCTCTTAGCTAAATTTAACTCTTATTGCGTAACCATCACCATTGACATGTCCGGGATCGATGATAGGGTTATTGGCATACTAAGAGTAGGATCAATGTTACCATCCATTGTATAACGCTCCGCTTTTCGTGAGACGTTAAAAACTAGTTTGAGAAAAATCCTATATGCGAAAATTCCGTTCACTGTGTGAGAGTCTAAGTCGTGCCGTGGATCTCAATTCAAATCCGTCCTTGTTCCCTGTCACCGCCATCAAAAATCATCCACCTCAAGATTTCAACTTCCGAAATCAAACATCGGAATTCAATCCCGTCCTTGAACTCCTTGCCAATATTTCTCCCGATTCCGAGAATGTCAAATCCGTCCTTGAAATCCTCCCTGTCCATCGATTGATCTATCCACTTATCTAACCTATCTATCCATCTATCCATCTACTTATCTGTCTACCTATCGATCTACCTACCCAGCTGTCTATCTATCTATTGATCTATCTAACTACCTTTGAATCCTTGCCAAATATTCGCCCTGACTCCAAAAATAACCAAATTCCCATTTTGAATTCATTCTCCAAATCCAAATCTCTCTAAATCAATCTTTCAGAAAAAGTCTATTTTGCCTCCCTCTGGTTTGTGGACCGTTTTCCTCCTCGGCCCATCCCCTCTCGGCTGCTCCTTCTCCTCCTCCCCTCGCTCGTGCGTTGCACACAGCCGAGCCGAGAGAGAGCGCCGCGCTCGCTCTCTTCACTTAGCTCGTCCTCTCTCTCTCCGTTTCTCTCTCCCGTCGAAGCTCCCCCACCGGCGCCGGTTCCCGCCGCCGCCTTTTCGAATTTCGCTGTGCCCTTGCATAGCGCGCGCGCTCGCTCGTGCATGGCCGACCGCCCGGTCGCCGCCGCGTCAGCCCTGGCCGCCTGCGCCGCGCAGCAGCCCATGCCGCCCTGCCACTCGCTCCACCTGTGCGCGCATGCGTCCAAGACATGGAGGCAGAGCCTCGGCTCCCCTCTCTCACGCGCTCTCCCTCCTCCCTCTGCTCGCCCAAATCGGTGGCTCCTTTCCCCTCCCCTTTTGCTTTTTCCCTCTCAGCCCGGCCGCCCGTGACCACCTCCTGCCGCTCCTTGACCGCAAGCGCCGCGCCAGCCGAGCTCCCTTGACCACCTAAGTCGGTTTCCTCCCCCAAAACCGACTTCCCGTGCCTATAAAACCGCAGCCGAGCTCCTCCTCTCAACCCCTCTCGCTTCACTCTCCACGCTGCCGCGCCATTGTCGCCCCTGCCTTGCAGTTGCCCTCGCCGTCCGTCGCCGAAGCACCAGGGAGACCGGTGCGTGCGAAGGACGCGAGAAGAGGACTCCGAGCGCCGTCATCTTCCCCTTCCCCGGCCCAAGGCCGGAGAGCTCGCTCCCGCACCGTCGGTCACCCATCACAGCGCCCATCTCGACTCGGTAGTGCCTCTCTCCGTTCTACTTTCTCGCTCGCCCTCTCCCTCTTTTGGCTCGCACGGTAGCTTGGTAGCCCTCCCGAACGCGCGTAGACAAAGCCCCAATTCCCGCCGCCGCCCGGAATGGCCTCGCCGCTATTGCCGCCCGTTCCGGGGAGCCGCCGCTCATCGCCGGCCTCCCTCGGGGCCCCTCCGTCCCATCCGGCACCGGAAATGAATTCCTTGCACCCCGGAGATACTCTCGCCACCTTGAATCGACCTCTCATCGCCCCGCCACGATTTCCCCTTTTGCTCGCCGCCGGCCGCCGCCGTCGCTATCCGCCGCCCTTGACCTCTCCCGGCGAAATCCGAGCCGTTGGCTCGCCTCCTCTCGCGTCTATCTTCGCTCCGGTGGTCTCCCCTCCTTCCGCCGTGCCTCGCGCCGCTCCGCCGACGCGCGCCGCCGCCCGCCGTCCATCCGGCCGGCCTTCGTCTTCCTCCTCTCGCCATTCGACGCAGCCGCCACGTAGGCACCACGTCGGCTAGGCCGAGTCAACCCGTCGGCCTCCCTCCCCCATCCCGGTGCGCGCGGTCCACGGTGCGCCAGCCGCCGACGCGTGGGCCCGCCTCTTCCCGGTCCATCCGGCGCATGCGGCATGAGCCGAGCCTACTAACCCTAGCACCGCACCCCACGTGCACTCCTCCCCCACCGTGAACCAGGTCGCCGCCAAGTGGCCCCCGTCCTAGGACCCCCACGCGGTGGATCCGGTCCACCAGACCGCCTCCCTCTCCCCACCCAAGCCCTAATGGGCCAATCTCCTTTGGGCCGTGCCTCACGCTCGGCCTAAAAAGTCTATATTTCCTCCCTCCACCAAATCAATTCTCATACACAAAAGTCCATCTTTCCCCCTTGTTGGCCCCACATATCAATGAGTAATTAAAGAATATTCTTGGGAATACTCTTTTCCATAAATTCAATAGATCATTTATTTATTCCAAAAATTCCATAAACCATTTCTCCTATTCCAGAAATTCCAATTAAGCTTCCGAAATTCATATCTTCTCAACCGTTCATTCGATTGACTCCGTTCCACTTCCCATAATTCCGTAAAATTGAGATCTATTTAATGGCACTATTATTTAGTCTAAATAGGGTCTTTTTCTTGGTCTTTTGTCTAGGTTTTTGATTGTTTGCGTATAGTTACGGTTACCGGATTTTCGTCGATCGTGGATTTCTCGAAGATTCGTGAAGATCAGTGAAGACCTTCAGCAAGGCAAGTCACCCTTTGATCAATTGCTCCTATAATTGAAAAATAATTATTATTTTGTTTGCAACTTGCATTATTAGAATCACACACTTAACTTGCTTGGCCTCGGTTTGCATGCTAAACCGACGGACCTACCAAGTAGTCGCACTACTTCCTGTAGGCTGACATACCTTGATCCCTTGTCGCTCCACCATTGTGGTACTTTGGTATCCGTGCTCTCTGAGCGCGTATACCAATTATCCCACATACACCGTTGTTTGTCAAAAATTTGGGAAATGGGTTTGAGAAGCCTTGAAAACCCGACATGTGGTGTCGGTGTGTTTGAAAATAAAATGAATTGTGAAAACTCGTGATGCGGGGGTTGTGCCTATGTGGCACTGTCCTGTATTCGCATATAAGGACCGATTCCTGTGGGAAACTCATCGAACATAATCAAAGTGCAACCACAAGGTGGAATGGGACACCCTGGCTAAGTAACTAGTCGGTTCAGGGAAACCTCGCATGCCAATAGTTGGGAACGCCAGGGCGGGGTCGGACAAACTGGGTTCCTGGTAAGGCAAGGACGAGAAGCTTGCTCACTTACCGATCAAGGTGGTTGGAGTTGATTTGTGAATGCCTAAAATGTCCTATATTTATGTGAGGATTTGATCCTTCTATGTGGCATGAGGTAACCCTGGGTCGGCTTGGGAAAGGCTTTGTCGCGAACTTCTGACACCGGCTAGTGTCTGGGGTAAGTTCGTGTCTTGTGGGTAAAGTGTACCCCTCTGCAGAGGTTAACTAACTGTTCGAACAGCCATGCCTACGGTCATGGGCAGATGTGAGGTGGTTCCCGTTGCGTAGATTTGATTACCTGTGCTTTGTGAAAAGTTTTTGTGGTGTGGGAATCGTTACCAGAATTAGCCTATGTGGCAGATGGATGACCTGAGTGGTTGGAAACGAATCTGTGTGATTCGGGATGTCTGCGGGCATCATAGACTAGGCTTCCTGAGTAGAAGCGGATTGTTGTGCTGCTGGGCAGCTGGACTCTGGGAGTCCGAGAAAATGAAAAAGGCTCTGGGAGCCGATTAATCAAGTGAAATGGCTTTGGGAGCCGATAAGTAATGATCTGACCCGGGAGGTCGGTACATTACCATTTGAATTGTTGATAAGTATCTCTTAAGTCAAATCGAGACGCAAGTCTCTTTTCGATCCAAACTCAAAAAGAAATAAATCACTTAGTGACTTCAAAAATGATTTCAAACAAAGGATTTGCAAAACAACCTTGCCTCTCTTCCAAGCTTGCATTAAACACCTAAATTCCCATGACTTGCTGAGTACGAAAGTACTCACCCTTGCTCTATATAAATATATATATAGTTCCTCTGTCTTGAAGTGAAGATGAAGTGAAGTGAAGATTAGGGTATCGTCCTGGTCCCCAGCCGTCGCCTGTGGTGTTGGGTGTTAGACCATTGGTTCCGCTGCTGCTGCTGTTGTTGGTGTTTCCTCGTCCGCGTCGTCGGTTGCATTCTCAGGCTGTTCTGAGTTGCAACCTAAGTTAAGGTAAATAAGTCCTCTATTTATTTTAAGGATTGCAATGATTCATATTTGTCACCGTGGGTACCAGCGCTGTGTCCTGGGACTGGTACTGAGATCGCGGTTTCGTAGGAAGCGGTTTGCGCCGTTTTCCCTATGACATGCTCCTGTCAGGTGCCGTTGTACGGCGGTACCAGATTGGGGTGTGACACATTGATGGCTGAAAAATTTGTCATATCATCTAGTGGGCTATGGTATGTAGTTGTAGCTTTTTGCTCCTTGGGCAGGCCAAAATTTGCATGCACAGACAGCTTGTTGTCCTCTCTGTTGGAAATTTGTTCATAATTCGGTATATTTTAATCCAAAATATTAAGACAATAAACATGACATTTATAATTTGAGTAGATCTAGTGACAGTGCTAGATGTGTACAACATGAGCGTACTTAATATAAAATAAGCACCAACATAGATAAGGCAACGCCCAATAACATTGCGACTGACAGTAGTAGAAAATTAAGAACGAACGGTAATAGTAAATTATTATACCCCGAGAATGGCCCTCCGCTGGAGTTTGAGGTAGTATTGCCTCCGTTGGTGTTGATGGGTGCCTCCTTCTCCTTGTCTCCAGTGTTATTGTTGTCGCTGATATTCGACATATTGGCGAAGACGATGCAGAGGAAGACGAACAAAAGCAGTCACGCATAGCGCTCCCTAAAAACTTGATCGCCCACCTACCCGTGCAGGTTCTCAAGCAGACGGAGTTCCGGAGGCACCTGCTTGTTCCGATCACCCGTGCGTGCGGGATGAACAGAACCGGGGAAATGGAGAGACAACGCAGGAACATAAGGAGAGTATCGCCTAGGAACAGCAGCAGGAGGAAGACTCGATCTTTGAGAGCCTCTGCCTTGCATTATATATAGAGAGAGATCTCCATTACCACACAAATAAATCTCATTTGTTGTGAAGATTACCACAAAATAAATCTCATTTGTTGCGAAGATTACCACACAATGAATCTCTCATTTGTTGTGGAGGTTACAACAAATAAATCTCTCATTTGTTGTGGATGTTACAACACAATGAATCTCTCATTTGTTGTGGAGGTTACAACAAATAAATCTCTCATTTGCTTTGGAGGTTACAACACAATGAATTTGATTTGTTAATAGTGACTTTATTCTCGTCTGTTACAAAATGAAAGAGCAACAAGCAGGCTCGGCTCGGCCGGCCGTCTCGCCTCGCCACGCCCACAGCCGAGGCCAACTTGGCACGCGCGCGTGTGTGGAAGTCCAACCATCACCTCAACCGGTCAATAGGGAATCTCCAATATCACCCTATTTAAGTTGAGGTTCTTCCACCTAAATTTTCAAGGCAGTATTATTGTCTCTAACATTACTTGTGGGCTCTTGAGATTTTAATTGAATTAAATTGGGCCTACCCCATTTATTCCAAGACTCTCACCATTCATCTTGAACATCTAGAACCCTAATCGTTGTGCGCAAGCAAGAGTCTAGCACAATTGCAACAACTTCATCTAGTCTTGGAGGTTGGGAAACAAATCCTCTATTGTAGAGCTAATACTGCACAGGTGCTGTAGCGATCAAATCAAGCCATCCGATTAGATTAAGCGGCTCTGATTCTGTCCTTAAACACCGAAAATATTTTTGATAATTTGGAAACTAACAAACTGATTTTAAGGAGGAAAAGTCAAGATAACCTTGATGGAGGGAAAATCACGAATCCTCCAGAGTACTTGGCGCCAAAATAATACAGGTTCTCCTTTTGCTTTCTTCCTCCTTGGGACTTGGTGCCAAAAGGAGATACAGAGGTTTCACTTTGCCTTGTTCTGTCCAGAAACTTTGATGATCAAATAAAGTAAGCCATCAGTCTCCAACGAACAGGTATGTATGCCATGTCTTGTACCCTTTTTGTGATCATGTCCTCACAAAAAAAACCAAAAGCATTGTTGTGGGATTCTTATGATTGGAGTGGATACACTCTACACTCGTGTAGTGCTAAACAGAGTATACATACAAATCTGAGGCCTTATGGCGAACGACTCAAACTCCAACCATCATAATTCAAATAGGTAAGATCAATTTCATTCAGGGGTCAACATAGTTTTATCATCTACATTTTTCTTTTCTCTGACTATGTTGTTGATCTCATTACTGAATAGGATCTTAATAATGACCACATAGCAATCCATATTTAACACTGTATTTCTTTGTTGTAAAAAAAAAGAGTTGATCCCTGTTTCTTTTTACAGCACAAATATGATTCCTAGTTGGATTCCTCAATTTGGCGTGAAATTTAAATCTACAAAAGAGGCATGGGAATTTTGGACTTATTATGGAGGTCATACTGGTTTTGATGTTAGGATAAATTATGAAAATAAGAGTAAAGTTGATGGAGTAATTACTTCTGCAAGATATGTTTGTTCCAATGAGGGATACCGGGCAATAGACAAAAGAGATCACAACACCAAGCGTCCTCGTGCTGAAACAAGAACAGGTTGCAAAGCTCGGATCGGAATCACAGTAGATAGAGAAGTGGGCGATTATTCAGTATATGATTTAGTTCTTGAACATAACCATGAACTTTAATTGCCTTCAACATGCCATTTGATGCCATCACAAAGAAAGATATCGTCATTGCAAGCATTTGAAATTGAAACAATGGATGATTCGGGCATTGGACCAAAAGCTGCACATGAGCTTGCTAGTCGGCAAGTTGGTGGTTCAGTAAACCTTGGTTATACACGTCGTGGTCTCAAGAACCATTTACAAACCAAGCGTCAAAGGGAGTTGATGTATGGCGAAGCCGGAAGTATGTTGAAGTACTTTCAGGACAAAGTTGCAGAGAACACTTCATTTCATTATGCCCTTCAGTTGGATTGTGAAGAACAAATAACAAATATTTTTTGGGCTGATGCTAAGATGATAATCGACTATGCTCAGTTTGGAGATGTTGTTACTTTTGACACAACATTTGGGACAAACAAAGAATACAGGTCCTTTGGTGTCTTTGTTGGATTCAACCATTTTAGAGAGAGTCATTTTTGGAGCCGCTCTTTTGTATGATGAAACATAGGGTGATGGCATGGAGCATAACATATTTGATACTACCTGGAATTTTGGGTTCAATGCAAATTTGGATGGGAGATAGCTAGATGCCTAGGTATCAAATTGAGATTAACAAATCAGGCCATTGAACATTTACTTTTGAGAACATCCATTCTTTTTTTTTTTTTGCAATGCCACAGAAAATTTATGCTATGCATTCTTCTGTCAGTTTCTGTCAGTGTTTAGTACTGAACTATTTGCACACATGAAGTTACCTTTGTACATGTTTCCATTAGAGCATTGTGTTTAATCTTCCTGAAACCTTTTCATCATAGCACTATTTTGTAGAAGGTGTAAATGAACGATGCAACATTTTTAGTGTTACACTTTGGAATAAGTGTAGGCTTCACAGTGAGGCGATGCTCTGCTTATGATATTTGTAGAAGATGTGAAATGGCAGGCATATCGTTTGATGAACAACACATGACATATGTATAAACAGAGTCCGAAGCTTTCATGGCCTTAGCCATGTAACTGTCAAGTAAGTGGTGGGCAGATTGAGCAGAATCAGAGCCATCCAATGTAATCTGATAGCTTGATTTGATCGCTACAGCACCTGTGCAGTATTAACTGTACAGTAGACGATCCGTTTCCTGGAGGTTGCGTACAACCGGGATTAGTATAGTCGCCCGCTCAAGATATCTCTCCTTAAGCTCTTTGTTTCAATATGGTACTTGCTCTAAGAGGCGTAATAATTTTAAGGATACCTAAATAGTTGCAATATCTATACTTAGTGAAATTAGTAACTTTCAATATATAATAATAATATAGATATAATCATTTTTATGCATTAATTCATGGCACATTAAGTTCTAACACCTAAAAAACAAGGAGGAATATATACTCCTATGTAATAAAATAATATAGTTATCATAGTCGAGTGTATCCATAGCATAGCGAAAATCCACCGTATTGCGGTTTTGGTGCTAGTGTCAACAGTGTACTCAGGACTATTATATTCTTGTAACTTTAAGTGATCTATAGACATGTCAGCATGATGGTGATAATAAGATAATCGATACATGCAACACGTTTAAAGATTACATATGGCTATGTCACTTATCTTATTTGGTTGATTTTGTAAAATAAGCTACAAAGAACATAAAATTTATATGGATGTTATATCTTGGAAAGGCTCTATCTAAGAATGGGTTTTCCGAGAAAGCATGTGACAATAGTTATAGTTAATTATCATTCATAACACGAGTTGGTAATGGTAAAGGATGTCGACTAAAGTTATATACTTAAATTTTAAACTTTTGGTTAGTTACCGACGAGTCTATTTCACAACTATGGAATCCAACAAACATGTTTGATTATGTTCAATCATTGCAAATCATGTCATCTGTCACACATTAGCTAATAACAAAAACAAATTGCACCTAACTCACAGCACAAAAATTCGCTAGCCGTGCAAGATCATTTCTACTTTTCCTTACTTTTATTTCTCGTTCAGGGCGACCGGCCGAAACGTGAAATTTGCATATCAATCATTTGTCATTGTCTATATATAGATCCAATTCTGATGACATTGTGTGGTCCACTCAAGCACGTTTCCATCTCCCTTGATGCAATTCACTAAACACAAAATTCTTTTCCTACTTGTGCTGGTAACAAACAAAGTTTACTAGTAACAAATAGCCAAACCAACGGTGAGGAGAGCACACCATCTCTCACTGCATAGACACCTGTCATCCATACATCCATCTAGCTAATTAACAGCTTAATCACTTGATAAACAACTCACTCTGTTTCAACATCTAGTGCTTCACGTGATATCAATGTGACATTACACCTGTCTATTCTCAGCCCTCCAACCTAATAAACCCCGAAATACCCCTACATGATTGATCCTTGATCCATAATCACTCGCTTAATATTCTAATAAACAGCTGGTCTAGATTCTAAAATTACAACATCTCAAGATCTAGATTGTTTAAAAGGGTTTTTAGCAACCGAAGATTCTAAGAGAAGTTGCAGCTGCGAAAAGCACCTCTAAACACACCCAAAGTTTTCCAAGAAAATTCTTAAGGGCATTATGGTCATTCGACACACACATAGTACCATCTCTGTGGAAGCCCAGAAAGTGCTCTATAAATTCAGACAAAAATCGTCCTCTGCACCTGCACACATCATCACTGGGACAACCAAAGAAAAAGAAAAAAAAAGAGAAAAAAAGAGGGAACTTTTCACGGCCGCTGAAGCCTCTGACACTCCACTGTAGTGTGTCAGTACTCCGGCCACCTCTCTCGGCCGTTGCTCTCCCATGGCGATGATGGCGATGGGCGCGGCGTCCTGGGCCCCGATCCCGGCGCCGGCGAGGGCGGCGGCCGCATTCTATCCCGGCCGCGATCTTGCGGCGGCGAGGCGGCGGCGTGGGGCGGCGGCGAGGAGGCCGTTCGTGTTCACGCCGCGTGCCGTGTCGGACTCCCGGAGCTCGCAGACGTGCCTCGATCCGGACGCCAGCACGGTACGCCGCGATCTCGCCGCCGGTGCCCAAAAAAATTCTACTCTTCCAGCGCTCGCTTTTTTCTTTGCGTTCACGAGGGAGAAAAGTTCGGATCCTTTTGGGTTGGGAAAATCGAAGGGTCGTTCTTGGGATTCGATGTGTTGCGGTTATTTTACTCGACACATTTGGATGAGCGAAATGTGTTTGATATGTTTCTTGTGGGGATTCCTGCGAGTGCGAAGTGTTTGTTTTTTTAGAGTGTTTTGGTGTCGATTTCTCGGTGATTCTATCAGCTGTTGCGTTCAGTACTCTCTGTGATTCAAGAAACGGTGGAAAGATGATGGTGACAGTATCTCTAGTTTAGTTGTTGGATGAAATATTGACATATCTTTAACGGTGGAAAGGTGATTGTTAGTGAGAACCCCATAATAATTAATTAGTGGAGGATCTATCGTGGTCCATGGCTTGAATTTAATAATTGGCTCCAGATCTGTTGTAGTACTTTTGAGTTTATAATTTATTAGATTCTGTGGTAGAACTAGAAGTACAGAACTTGGAACTCAAGAGCATTTCATCTGTTATCTATATATAGTCTGATGATGATTTGTATTATTATTTTTACATCCAATTTTTAATCCTGCAGAGTGTTCTTGGGATCATCCTTGGAGGTGGTGCTGGGACAAGGCTGTATCCGCTGACAAAGAAGAGGGCGAAGCCGGCGGTGCCGTTGGGTGCTAATTACAGGCTCATAGATATCCCGGTCAGCAACTGTCTGAACAGCAATGTGTCGAAGATCTATGTCCTGACACAGTTCAACTCCGCGTCGCTCAATCGTCACCTCTCGAGGGCCTATGGAAACAACATTGGTGGTTACAAGAACGAGGGGTTTGTTGAAGTTCTTGCTGCGCAGCAGAGCCCAGAGAATCCTAACTGGTTTCAGGTATCTTGGTTAATCTGTATTAACTTGCCAAATTTTTTATAGTAGTACTGTATTAGTTTGAATTGACTCGGTAAGTGGTAATTTTTGTACTATGCAGGTACTGGATGTTTCTGCTTCTGTGTATTATTGAATGGTCTCGTTTAGCTGCAAAGATGCATGAATGCCAGTTAAAGTTTATACTTTATAGGGTACAAAGAAAAGAAGGGGATACATAATTAATATGAACATACACCCTGTTTTACGGAACAAAAGAAATATTAGGGTTAATGTACTCCTGTTGATTCACTCTTCCATATTTTCTCACATTTATAGTTAAGTGAAACTGTTCACTAGTTTAGATGTTCCAATGATTTCTTTGGAATTGCAAACTAGAGTTAACATTGATAGATGAGCTCTTAGGTTACCAACTTTCATGTTATATGGTTTCTGTATGACAATACCTTAAGGACGCTGCCTAATTTATTTTGTTTCTTTCTGTCTCAGGGTACTGCAGATGCTGTGCGACAATACTTATGGCTATTTGAGGAACACAATGTTATGGAGTTTCTCATTTTGGCTGGAGATCACCTGTACCGTATGGACTACCAAAAGTTCATTCAGGCCCACAGAGAAACAAATGCTGATATAACCGTTGCTGCGCTGCCCATGGATGAAGAACGTGCTACAGCATTTGGCCTTATGAAGATTGATGATGAAGGGAGGATCATTGAATTTGCAGAAAAGCCAAAAGGAGAGAAGTTGAAATCAATGATGGTAATTGATGAGTCATCCGTTGAGACCATATGCAACCTGATCTGTTGAAGCATACATTTCAGTGATTGTCTGCATGTTTTGATCTTGCAGGTTGACACTACCATACTTGGCCTTGATACTGAGAGGGCAAAGGAATTGCCTTACATTGCTAGTATGGGAATCTATGTTTTTAGCAAAGATGTGATGCTTAAGCTTCTCCGTCAAAATTTCCCTGCTGCAAATGACTTTGGAAGCGAGGTTATTCCTGGAGCAACAGAAATTGGAATGAGGGTACGCTATGCTCTTGAAACTTGTAGCATGTAGGGAATTTTTATCCTTCTCTCAGTTCATGCTGTAGGTTTTGTGAAGTTTGGTATGTAAACTGCAGTTACATCATTTATTGTGAAATGTTACTTCTTTACTTAATTTTTACTTTGCATGTTTGCTTATGCTGCTAATGTATTTGATAGGTGCAAGCTTACTTATATGATGGTTACTGGGAAGATATTGGTACTATAGAGGCATTCTACAATGCCAACTTGGGGATAACCAAGAAACCTGTGCCAGATTTTAGGTAAGGTTTACATTTTGCATGGTGAAAACAAGTTACTTTTAAAAGGGTGCATTTCTGCTGAATTTTCTTCCTATTTTTGAGCAAACATTATTGTGTGCAGCTTCTATGACCGTTCTGCCGCAATTTATACGCAACCTCGATACTTGCCTCCATCAAAAGTTCTTGATGCTGATGTGACAGACAGTGTTATTGGTGAAGGTTGTGTTATTAGAGTAAGTATCCTTTTCAGATGAATTATCATAGCGCTTCCTTCTATGATCTGTGGATAGTATTAGATCATAACATATTAGGACCTTGAGTTATTACTTGTTAGTCGAACATTTCTTTTTCATTGCTTCAAAACAGAGACCCTAAATTTGTTGACATGCCTTTCCCCCTTTATTTTGGCTAGCATTGCACAATCAACCATTCTGTGGTTGGACTCCGGTCCTGTATATCTGAAGGCGCAGTGATAGAGGACTCTCTGCTAATGGGTGCAGACTATTATGAGGTAAAATAAAACAAAACTATACTATATTATGGTGTATTGGTGTTGTGGGAACTTAATTGTGCTTTTTGTTCAGACGGAGACGGACAAGAAAGCCCTTTCTGAGACTGGTGGCATTCCCATTGGTATTGGAAAGAATGCACACATCAGAAAAGCAATAATTGACAAGAATGCTCGTATTGGAGAAAATGTTAAGGTATTTCATATATATTTATACTTTTGGTTGTCAATCTGATGAAGTGTGCCTTCTGTATTAACTGATCAACTATTCATTACTTGAAAGAAAAGAGAGGGACAAGCATATTTGTTTGAATACAAACTTGGTACTTTCTCATGCTTTTTGTTAAAGGTGGCCTTTTGCAAATGTGCATCTTGCATCACTGGTTTGAAAGCCCTTTATCATTAAAAAATACTACTATGTCATCATACTTTTTCCCCCTAAATTATCTTTCTTTTCAAATGCTATATGTCTTTTCTTGCCATGGGTTTTTGCCTTGTTGAGTATGGATCTTTAATTATTTACTTACTAAGCACAAACTGAAAAAATCCAGGCAACCCATATGGATCGATTTACATATTGTTTCTCTCACTTTTCCAGAGATGACCAGTTGATACTGAACTGAACAAAATGATGTGCAATGTTTATTGCATTAATTAATGATCAATCTTATATGATCTGTTGCTTGTACAGATAATCAATGTCGACAATATCCAAGAAGCTTCAAGGGAGACTGATGGATACTTCATCAAAAGTGGCATTGTCACTGTGATCAAGGACGCCTTAATCCCTAGCGGAACAGTCATATAAAGGCAACCAATCACCACTGTACATAAGGTTCTCTCAAATTCTCATATTTATTCTATTTAGAGCGTTTGGACATCACCAATTCACCATGAAATGGGAAGCGTCTTTTATTTTCCCTCTTACAAACAATTTCTACCAAAATTGGATCGACTGCCTTGCTTAATGCTAGAATTTGCTTAGTAGCTGGTAAGCCTCATATTTATGCTTAAATAAGTGATTCTTTTGTTCTGTAATGCAGGTTGGGCCTTGCAGCATATGGTGATCTGATCTCCAGTGCACATCAAGCAATCAACTTTTAACGCTGTGGTTTATTCCATGCTGCCAGTTCACCAAGCTCTGCATCAACTTGCAAGGATATCATAAAAAAAATAAAAAATAAAAACAGGTGCCACTTAAAGGCACCATTTTACTGTTACTAGTATGAGCAACCGCTCTAGAGCTTAGAGGTGTTGTAAGTCCGAAAACCGTGTCTGAAATGTGGGTATTTTGATGTGTATAATCTTTGTCCTTTTGCATGATCAGATTTAAATATCCTGTGTTTATTTCTACCTCTTCTGCTTAGATGCCATTTCTTTTTAATGCTTGAATGTTCCATGCATTGCTGATGAAAGAGGAGCTAATTTGTGTCATGGATTTTGTCCTTGATATTCACATATATCAAACCAAAATGCTACATAAGCAACCTAGATCTAAGGGATCGCCTGAATATGATGGTGTGATTTAGAGGTTTAAGTGTGGCCTGCAGTCTCAGATTTTGGTATCTTGGTGCATGATGCTGTTGACCATTAGCATGCACTTCAGAAATCAGAATTTATATTTTCCAGTGTGTGATTTGATCTGGCAGGAACTATTCATGCCCATATTGAAAATAGAAACATCAAGATGGATATGCAAAATAACACAATACTGATTTTCTACAGTTGAGCTATCAGTCAAATGAACATTTGATTGTAAATCATTTTATAGTTTGTTTCGCTAAGCCCTCTCTTTGTTGGATCAAATTTACAGATGTTGAAAGCAGCTAACATGTAGGAATGACATGTCATGATTATTGGCTAGGAAGCCACTGCAATTTGTACTTATTCATATCCACTAGCTGGTCATATGCACGGCTGTGCAGTGTTTACTGACATGAATGGTAGGGTTCTTCCCCTCAAAACAAAATAAAAATGAATAGCTGGGTTCTGTTCATATCACAAACAGAACAGAACAGCAAACAAAACAGCCTACCTAAGATCAGTAACCACTACTCACTCATGATTCTGATCCAATTCTACTAGATGGACTGATGTCATATGATGAACCCAATGACTAACTGACAAAAATTTCTTGTCTGATGAAGGTAACTTTCAGTTCAGATTGAACAGAGGGAGCTCTGCATAGAAGGGAGCCGACATAACCTTCAGCACATCCTTCACTGATGACATCGAGCTTATCGCCGCCTTCAGGATCTCCCTCGAGCATCCGGGCTTCACAATGTTCCTCACCTGGGATATCAGTTTGACAAGCTTCAACTACAGGTACTGAATTTTTTTTTTAGCTCTTATGAAGTTAACAGGTTCAGATTTTGTTGACAAACCTTCTCCAAGTAGTCTTGCAGTAGCTCAATGTCACCCAGGTAGTCTTGGTCTTCGACAGTCAGTGTGATTGGCTTAACATTTGTTCCAGATCCATCAAATTGAATGCCCCCTGGAGTTCTGTAGAAATCATCTAATAGGAAGCTCGAGGCTTTCTCTCTCAGGAGCCTAGAGTAATGAGAGAAACAAGAATTAGTTTATAGTTTTCCTCTGCCTTATAATCTGAAGAGTCACTGTAAAAGATCAATGATATTAACACAAAAAATGATGCATTTATGTGTCTACATATTATGCAGAGTTAATCTAAACTAATTCTATATCATCTTACTGTTGCCTCATTAACTAAAAACTTTTGTGGCAATATTATTAACATTTTACCGGAGGAATCAACACATGATTTTTTTATGACAAGCCACTGAATGAGATTCATGGATGTCAGTGTTCAGTCTTTTGCCTGAAGCAGCAAATTAATAGTTTTAAGGCTGTTAACTATGGACTTACGCATAAGCCTTCCCTTGCAGGTCAACTGGAGAAGGATGGATAACTGGCTTTCCAGTAGGAACAGCTCCAGGACTGCGTGAGTGCCTCTTCACACTCATCATTGCCTGGTAAGATTTAGAAACAGTGTATCACGTCACAAACTCGAACATTTTAAATGAGCATAATTAATGAAAACAATACAGTCAACTAAAAAGCATACTGTTAGAGGAACGGCAGCGCATCGCCATTTGTTTGTTGGTTCCTTCAGATTTGTTGCAAAAGCCATGTAACCATTCAGCCCAGCTGCTAGTATGTGCATGCAGATATGACCAAGAACCTGCATTCTTCAAGGTTTAGAGCCTATAGCATGTGTGTGTGTGTGTGTGTGTGTGTGTGTGTATATATATATATATATATATATATATATATATATATATATATATATCTTTTATTTGTGACGAACATAGTTCAGGTTTACTACTTACATAGGCGTAATCACAATCGAAGTTTGATGGTAAGGATCCTCGCGCTTGATACCCGAAAAAGTGGCAAACGGAGCTGAATTTCCTTCCAATGTATTTCCCCTCTTTCTGAGAATCAAGCACAATCAAATTAAAAAAAAAAAGAACTGAATACTGAACTGGGCACATAAAGCTCAAGTTTTAACTGAACTTACCATTCGCTTGTTCATTTCTGCTTCTACTAAATGAGCTAAGAGTTGCTCAGTATCAATCTGAAAATTTCAATAAAAAGTTTGACATCAAAAATTGCATTTCCATGAATAACTGACTGCTGAGCATTCCAGAAAACACAAACCTGGGACAATTGTGCTGAGTTATCGGAGTCTTGATGTAGCAGCAACTATAACAGAAAGTTCCAAATCTTCAGACCACAATTTTTATTAATAAAATAAATTATGTTAGTAATTTAATACACCAATACCTCTCTTCTTATGAAAGGAGGCAAGTAATTATACAAGGCAGTAGCCCATGGAGAAAGTTGAGATGGAATGTTGTTCTCAGGAACTTTATTGCTGTGGAGAATATTAATTTCCTACAATACGCATAAAGGAAACCAATAAGATTTCATAGAAATGAGATGTCACTGCATTTTATTGTAGTAACAAGTATAAACCTGAATAAGTGCAAACATTTCTGGAATGCTTTCGATTAGTCCCTCCGAAATAAGTAATACACCATGGTACTTCTCTGAAAAATTATATCCAATATATTAGATTGTCACAAAGTTACCTCATGTTTCTATTTAATTGATATATGCACAATTCAGTCTTTAGTGAGAATTCATCAACTTAAGACAGCCAATGAATTGTAGAGACCTTGTGCTGCCCTTGCTTGCACTCCATCACATATCTTGCTTATAATTTCCTTCAAAGTGAGCTTGGAAAATGCCACTTCTTCCCCTAAAATAACCTGCATGTGAAAATGTACAATTATAAAAATAATTCTACAACTGTTCACTTATGCTAGATTTTACGATGCATTTGATCAAGGCGACAAGGCAGACCATATTTGGTTGTGATTGAAGTGCACACTCCAAGGCAACATGAGATGCTTTCCAACCCATCACACGGACAAAATGGTAGTACTGCAGGGAAATTATATAAATTAGATAAATAATAAGTGATCCTAATAAGTCCAATTTATTATGATAGACTATAATAGAGTGTACCTTCCCAGCTGAGATTGCATCGAGGCAAACATTACTTATAAGCTGGGAATTCACCTGAAAAGACATTTTCATAGAAGACATTTACATTAAAAAAACATGTCATGATGTAACACTTTGTATCCTTTATTTAATTTTTTTGGGGGAATCGTACACTTGTATCCTTCATTTAATTTTTTTTGGGGAACTGTAGATACTGTCTTAGCTTTAAATTGGAATTTTATTTGCTGCATAGCCTGCAAGACTCACCTTGCACACTGTATCAAACCCAACAGTTGTCTCAACAAACTGATTCTTGAGATCACCATTTAATGAAACAGGCACGCCTACAACCTGTCAAACAGGATAAAGATCTGAAAATGGGAGTTATATTCCAATGTGAGGATGTGGAATTAACAATGTGTATATACCTTTGTCTTGCAGTTGTGATTGGCAAATGTTTCTGCAAGCTGAGCAGCATCTGAATTGGAGGTCACCCCTGAAGACAAGATAACATCAAGAATTACACAAGTCCTTAAGGCAGAGAATGTTTTTGAAATAAGGTTGATTGCTTGGTCCTTATTTTCATGTAACCCCAATTTTTTCACAGCTCTTTATTCACTCTAGATTGAAATGGCATGGAAGTGCTCATGTAAAATCCATTGTGATGTTTTTTTTTTTCATCAGCAAATTTGCTGGTATAACCTATTAGTACCTCCAATGATGACGAGGCCATCCAAGTCAAGATCACAGCATGTTGACATTGCAGCATTCACTTGCTCAGTTGTGTGGATTTGATCAACAGTTCTGCCGAGAAAATCAAAACCACCTTCAAGAAGGTAAAGACTTTCTTGTTATATAGGCCATAATATATTTAGAAAGCTAGCAATCAAGATCAATAAATTTAAACCTTGGTTTCTATATGCTGAAAGAACATCATCTGTGATCTCCAATGTCTGATTTGCAAATAGGCCTTCTGTGCCACCTATTTAGAAATACAAAGTTCTTCATGAGACTTATTTTTATCATATCTTTTTGCAGGAAATCAATATATATATACTAAGCCAATAAATGTCACAACAAGCAATCCAATAATGTAAATATCACACTGCTTCTTGTTAGTCCATTTAAAATCTAGAAATTGAAAGTATGCTCAATTACTCACCAATAAATCCAAGCAAAACACTTTGTAGATTTTGAGTTTTCATAGCATCATAGATGCCCCATATCACATTGTGCCCCCCTGGCGATTGCCTCCCAGAGAACACCACACCAACCCTAGATTCAAGTAAATATCAAGCCTGAGAATTGTGTGTTGATAGATCAAATATCAAGTTTTCAATGATAAAGAATTGACACTAGTTGCTATCACACTAATTCGGTGTTCAAGCCAAACTTGATTTGTTCTGATTTTTTTTCTCAACTGAAAAATGGATGGGGTTTAGCACCATTCTGAAAAAGGAAAACGAACCTGATTGGTGGATGTTCATCGTTGGCTTGCGCATCCATCTTGTTCGGCTTCAGGAAATGTACCAGAGGCTGACCAAAGGTGTTGGGAAATTCCTGCACAACCATATTTGCGCATGTCGGGTCGATGGTCGTCGTCGAATCGCCAAACTCCACTCTGATGGCCTTTCCCTGAACATGTTGGTTGAAAAACTTTGAGAGAATACAAATACAAGGACCTAAATACAAAGTGAACATACTGTGTTCAAAACTTGCAACTTTTCATAATTAGTGATGAAAAAAAGTAGCTTGATGCAGCTTGCAAGTGGTGAGGATGAAGGAGAGCTTGCAAACCTCAAGGCATGGAGGCAGCTCCGGCTGATACAGAGCCCTCCTCTGCTGCAACCCGGTGAGCTCCCTCGGCTTGCCGAGGTCCGCGTTCATGGACATCTCCCTTCTTGCTCTTCTTGCTGCAAAGAAAGTACAAAGTACAAACTTACTTTGCAATTTGTTCTTGGTGCAGTTTTTTTTTTTTCTCCTTGTGTTCTTGCAGCCCTTTTTGTAGGGAGACAATGGAAGAAGAAGAAGAAAGTGAGACTTTTTGGTGCTCCTGCAGTTTCTTGGCCCTCTGATGACACCAACAGAAATTTGACCCCAGATTCCATTGTTGCATTTGTCTGTGTGTTTGATGTTCAAGGGTGCAACTGTGTGAATTGTGATTGGTCAAGTGGAGTGGCCTTCTAGGTTGCCAGGATGCAGGTGACCTTTTTATTTTTATTTTTTTTAAGAAAAATAAAATCAACCTGCCTACACAAAAAAATATTTGATACATCTGACCATAATAAGTATCACAACAGAAGTACAGAACCCTCTCTTGGGCTTTGTTTGTGAACATTTATCGAAATTCCACACAATTTTAGAGGAATTGGTCTATGTGTTGGACTGTTGATGCTCAAGAGTTTTGTGTAGAGCTGTGATTGGTCAGGTGGAGTGACCATCTAGAACCAGGTGGTGAGTGACATGTGCAGTCTGTGGGCCATCCTTGGAGAAATGTTCGGAGGAAAAAAAACAAAAGATTAAATCACAAACAAAATTAATCCCAGCAACATAAGTCCAAACATGCTATGTGCCATCAACCTTTTTTTAAAAAAATCAAATCCTAGGATCGATTTCACGCGTCAATTAAAGAACTGATTAAAGTGGGTGATCGATGCTAAATTCTTGTCTCCTTTTGCAAAAGCCAAATAATTGGGGCCATGGAGCCATCATCAAAGGCTAAAATTCTGTTCTCCCATTTAATTAAAATTTAAACAACCATTAATTCGATTCGTCGGCGCATTGCGTTGGTCAGCATCCACCTGTTGGAACCCTTTCACGTCGCCGGCCTCCTGGAAAGAAAGCAACAAAACCAAACCTTGTTTTTGCTCTCTCGCCGTTTCGTGCGTTCTCTGTGGGTGGTTTTTCACTCGTTTCGCCGGCGTATGTGAAGTCTTCTAACTCGGACTTTCGAAGGGACGGTTGATACAATAGTGATTCTTCTTTCTTCTTTTTTTTTCAATACACAGTACAGACACATGCGCTGATATAAATGCGTGAACACTCACTTTTATAAACGCGCACAAACACATTTTACCCCTATGATAACCTCCGAAGACTAGGCTGGCGCATCTTGATATCGACGAAGTTATCATGAATATCTTGCTGTTGAAGGGTATGTCTCTTACCACTTAAAACACAGCTAGCTGTAAACGAGAGTATCCATGTTAAGTTTATATCTTGGACCGAGATATATAAACACGTTGCATTACAAAAGACCTAACTACTCCCTCCGTTTCAGGTTATAAGATGTTTTAACTTTGGTCAAAGTCGACTAAGTTTAGATAAATATAGTACTCCACCCGTCCCAAAATATAACAACTTTTAGCCATCAAGATTTGTCCCAAAATATAACAGCTTCTCCACCAATATTCTCTTTCTAACCTATCACAACTCTCCACCATTTACTTTCCTCACCTACTTTCACTACTCAACCAATCACAACCCACCACCATTCACTTCTACCTACTTTCTTAATAACCGTGTCCAACTCTAAAAATACTTATATTCTGGGACGGATGGAGTAATATTTACATTACCAAATTAGTTTTATTAAATTAATAATTAAACATATTTATATAATAAATTTAACTTTGATACTAAAACAGTTTAACTGATCAAAGTCAAAACATCTTATAACCTGAAACAGAGGGAGTAGTTGATAGCTATGCTCACTTTGCTGATGATTTTTTTTTCTTCACGCTGAAGAATCTGTGTTGCCTGCATATGGTTAGATTTGAACAGGAAAGATGATCGCGCAGAATCTCTGAAAGCCTCCCATTCCGCCATTCGATTGATGAATCCAGGACATTCGTAGCTAGGATCCCACGGGTTTGGACGATCGAGGTTGATACGATCGATCGTCGTTGTCGCGGGAACATTTCGCATAGCTAGGCGCCGTCAGAATTGTCAGGCTACACGCCTACACATAGCCCACATAGGCTCAGCTCCACATTCCATCTGCAGACAGGCACAGAGGCTTGCTCAAAACTTGGCAGGCTGGAAACAATTTGCATTGCAAACAGTATTATGTTCCTCCTGAATCCTGATTAGTTACTGTGTTGCTTATTTTTCATGTAATGCAAAATTTGATGTGATGTCTGTTTTTTCATTTTGTTAGTATGTGAAAGCAATAGCCAACCCAGAAAAAAATCATCAGAAGTCACATACATATCATAACATATGGAGTATATTACTATAATTTTGAACTAATAATATGGTAATAGGCTAAAACAACTAAAAATTAAAATTCTACTCGGGATTCGGAGATCCAGGTAGAATAACGTAAGAACGCCCCTGCCTGAAAGTTCTTTCAACAATAAATACATTGGATTACATCTCTCGGCAAGACATTCCTTGGCCATCTTTCTTTTTCTCTTTTTTCTTTGTCACAACAAAGCAAATTGGCTTTGCCATCTCATTCTAATGTTCCTTTTCGTTTTCTGCAAATTAACTATCTGAGTTTCAGATTATGGCGTGTATCACGAGCTGGAAAATAATTTATGGCTAATGAATTTATATATATTAATTAGGAGTGCAGGAATGCTGGGTGTGTTTGGTTGCAAGCCACACTATGCCACAGTTTGCCACGCCTAAGGTTAGGCAAATTTAACAGGTATTTGGTTGTAGCCACAGTTGTGGCAAGATTCCCCTCCAACAAATTGGGTCCCACGTGTCAATGGCTCAAAAAAGTGTGGCAAGATTCCCTTAGGCTTAGTAAGTTGTGGCTAACAATTTGATCACCCCACCTTAGGCAAAGTGTGGCAACTTTTGTTGGCAAGTAATGGTAAAGTGTGGCTGGGAACCAAACAGCCCCAGGATTGAACAAGACCAAACAAAGCTACCGGGGGAGGGGGTGTTAATGGTAGGTAAACCAAAAACCCAAAATCTTTTGCGGAATAAAAGATTTTCCTCGAACATAGTAGATGACGAACCCCTGTTGCCATCGGTCGATCCGCTCCCAAGCCGCCGATCAGACTGCCGTAGCCTCGCCACTCAGACTGCGCGCACACCTGCAGTTAGATTAAAACCTTGGGGAGACTAAAATCAAGGAAAAGCAAAAGAAAACTGAAAAGAAAAACTCAGCCAGCTCACCCACAAGCCAACCACATGCCGACGGTACCACCACACATCACTAGGGAGAAAACCTTGCACCAAGCTAGCTACTGCTATGCGAGACCAGTCGCTGCTAGGCCTACAACATCGCGACACCGCTCAAAGCTGATAGAGCCAAACAACTGAAGGACACAAGCGCTCGCAAATGACATCCTGATATTAGATTGCATAGGGAGAGGGTGAGAGAGTAGAAAGATCTTCCCATCCCCCTATAGACCCACCCGTCAACATAGAGCCAAGAGCACCGCAAACCGCCCAACCAGCATAAGCCTTGCTAGGCAGCTAATCACCAAAAGTGAGGACTCCCGAACATCATCACAATTTAGAGCTTTGGAGGAAAAATGTGAGAGAGAAGAAAGATGCGCTCTTCCCCCACACAGACTCGCCACCATCATGACAACCAAGCACCGTTGCAGTTGAGGACCAACAATTCAAAGCGAAAAAGGCATAGGTATCTCCACGGACGACGCCTCCAAGGAGGTTGCGACACGGGAGCATCACCATCACCCGCCCAAGGACTCTTGAGCGAGGTTTTTCCTCGGGGAAACTCGTCAGAGAAGGAAAGAGGGCATACCTCAACACCGCCTCCAAGGAGGACTATGCATGGATGCATCTCTCCAAATATATTTTTAAAACAATTTTCTCTTCTAAATTATTTATCTGATATATGATCTGCTAACGAGTTCATTGTAATTAAATATTTACAATAAGATCTCATGTAATTATATTCCGATTGATAAATATATATGTTTTAACAAATAAAATTTGATGTTTCATACATCTATTGCACATTTTAAGTTTTGATTTTGTAATATTTTTGGATGAGTGTGGTTGGCGCTCAACATTTCATACAATGGTTTGTTGGTGTTGCAACCAATATTTATTAAATGTTGCATCCTTTAAAACAATTGATGAACTGAGCTGAAACATTTAATCCAGGGATGAAACAATTTTCTCCAACTTACGAAACAACGACTAACGCCTAGCTCTATCCAAAATTGTGCCAAAATATTTCTTTTCTATGAGTAATTTTATTTTATTTTTCCTTATTTTTGAAGTTTGAAATGTTGGTTATTACATAGGTAGGTCCGAATTTTTTTAACAAAGAAGTATGAGTGATTCTATATTCGTCAAAGGGTGTATTTGACACTCTCCTTTCTCATCTTCTACACTCTTATTTTCTACACACGTGTTTCCCCAACTGCTAAATGGTGTGGCATTTGTAAAAAAGAAATCGATAGAAAAATGTTTTAAAAATTTTATCAATTCATTTTTCAATTTTTTTAGCTAACTTAATTAATCATACGCTAATGGGCTACCTTGTTTTCCATGCGGGGAATGAGTTGCGAACCAATAGGTTCGAACCAAGCCTAAGAGTATCTCCAATAGCCTCTCCATCTCACTCTCCAAGTCAAAATTTAGCAACTTTATTTTGAAAGAAAATCGTACTCCAACAGCCTCTCCATTCCACTCTCTAAGCCATTCGGATGGCCAAACTCCTTCCCTCACTTGCCAAACTTGGCCAACCTATCCCACTTGCCATCCATGGGTCCCACAACCTTCTATTCACTTTTTCTCCGTTCGGGAGCAGAGTGGCCAAAAGGGAGAGGTAGTGGCTGACGGCGGAAGCTTGAGGATGGCGAGATCTCCGATGACCATACGGAGGCACGGGACCTGGTCCCCTCGGAGTGGCAAGCCAATGGCAAGATCTCCGTAGGCGGCGGCACCCTGCAGGAGAATCCGAAGAAGAAGCAACGCCCTACAGGACCACCGCCTTTGTTTGTTGGCCCAGTGCCGCTACCGCCCTTGCCGGTGCGAGCAAGAGGTCCTGCACCACCCATTTGGCTGAATCCACGTCGTCGCCGTTTGCCCAAATCTGCGTCACCGCTTCGTCATCATCACGCCCATGCACAACCTCACCGCTTATGCCCGAGACGACGAGGATGGTGGTGGCGACAGTGACCATTGCCACCGCCTACGGTCCCGCGGGGATTTGGCCAGTGGCACGACAGAGAAGAGGAGAGGGGGGAGAGAGAGAGGAGAGAGAGGGTGAAGAAGCGGTGAAATAGTAGAGAGGCTAATAGGTGAGACCCACATTTAGATTCGATAGTGTAATAGAGAGTCTGTTGAAGTGAAATGCAAATTAGACTTTCCATTTGGTTTGGCAAGTTGGACAAATAGTCATTTGAAGAGTGAGATTTGGAGTTTCTGTTGAAGATGCTCTAAGAGCTATGCTCTAAAACAGGCAACATTTATAATTAAAACTGTCAAATTCGTATGAAAGTTCAATATTTTTTCCCCAAAAGTTGATTCAAAATTTTGAAAATGGATCGAGATTGTGTTCCTCGGTTTCTAATATGCGAAAAAAATATTACTAGCACCCCGTACGGAATGCAAGAATTTCAGATAATCTTCGGTCAGAGTTAGAGGCAAAAACAGACCAACAGTTTAATATCAAATACTCCCTCATCTCAGGTTATAAGACGTTTTAACTTTGGTTAAAGTCAAACTGCTTTAAGTTTAACCAAGTATGTTGAAAAATAGTAACGTTGTCAACCCAGGACAAATTTATTATGAAAATATATTTAATTATTGATTTGATGTAACCAATTTAGTATTATAAATATTAATATATTTGTCTATAAAATTAGTCAAACTTAAAACAGATTGACTTTAACCAAACTCAAAACGTAAAATAACCTAAAACGAAGGTAGTAGCAAAAAAAAAAAAGAAAAAGTTCACATGTTTTCGATTGATGCCTAAACTAAACAGAGAGGGGTGAGTATCCTCTTCCATGCGGTTTCTTCCGTTGCAACGCACAGCACGTGCGAGCTAAGTTTGCATCTTAAAAAACGCGCGGAGGCATGGCCCACGCAACGCGCCAAGCCACCACATCACGTTCGCGCCCAAGCGAGGGCGGCGACCGATCGTCGACCATGGCGCGCCGCCGCCTCGCCGCGGCGACGACGACCGTGCCGGCGATCGGCGTCCTCATCCTCCTCCTCGCATTGGCGCCGTCGCCGGCGACGGCCACGGTGCCCGCCCGCCGCAGCGCCGTGTCCTACTACGCCTCGGTGGAGAACCGCCTCCCTGCCGCGGCCGGCATGGAGCTCGTCTGCCGCGCGCTCGGCCCGGGATTCGACGTCTACCCGGAGCTCAGCGTGGTGCCGCGCGGCCGCGTTCCCCGCGGCGGCGCGCGCGTCGCCGAGGTCCTCATCGAGCCGGGGCCCGAGCGGGTCGCTTGGGTGCTCTGCAGCTGGGGCTACGAGGGGAACTACCTCGCCAACCTGAAGCTGTTCGACACCGAGTGGCCGGAGGCGGCGGCGTGCCAGGACCCGGCGGCGAGCGGCGGCGAGCTGTGCCGCCTCGTGTTCGAGGACGACGCGGTGTCCGTCGTGGCGCCCGGCGGCGAGCGGCGCGTCGTCGGCGACCTGCCGGTGAAGCGCTGCCGGCGACACTGGCTGCTGTTCAGCACCGGGTGCACGTACCCCGACCACCCAAACCCGTACGCCGGCCGGCTCCTCCGCAACGCCTTGGAGTTCTTCGCCGTCTGAAGAATCTGACGGACTGATCAGATTTTTTTTTGTAATAAATTTCTGATTAGTTTTGTTAGGATTTAGATCAGAAGCATCCCAAGGTGTCGATGTTTGCGAGATAAATCAACCAATTTCGTATGGATTTTGGTGCCTTTTTTTTGCTGGCAAATCTGGCATTCTCCATGAATCTTGCAATCATGCGCGCACGCCGAAATCTTGCTACTTCCTCCGTTTCACAATGTAAGTCATTCTAATATTTCCCACATTCATACTAATGCTAATGAATCTAAATAAGTATATATGCGTAGATTCATTAGCATCAATATGAATGTGGGAAATGCTATAATGACTTACATTATGAAACGGAGGGAGTACCAATGAAACAAGAAACGAACAACCCGTTGAATTAATCCAATTGCCAATTCAAATTTGCTCAAAATTTTACTACACCGTCACAAAATTTCAAGCGAATAAAAATTCTATCAGAAATATTTTTACGATTCTCGCAAAAACCAGTTCAATTCTTCGAAGAACAACAAAAAAAATTCTCTACATTTCATAGGAAACCTGAACTGCAGTTCTTCATAAATCGGCCAAGATGGAGCAATAGAAACATAGGAGATCGAGGACACTCATGTTCAAAAATTCAAAATTCAAACACTCGACATGTCTCAAATTTCAAACTCTGAAACTGATGAAACTCATAATAACTCTATCATTAGATTACTGTGAGGTGTGGTCCTCGTGACCGTCCAAAAACCGTTGGCTATTTTGAGCGCTCTTCCCGCCAAATTTGGCTCGGCCGCGCGCGCCCGCCGCCGCCGCTTCCGCTCTCCTCTCCATCTCTCCCGCCACCGCCACCGCCTCCTCCCATTTCCCGCACGAGCCACCACCACCTCCACCTCCGCCGCCACCGCCGCCGCCGCCGAGCGATTAACTCCTCTCCTCCTCCTGCACGTCGTCGTCGTCGTCGTCTCTCTGCACGCGAGAAAACGGGAGAGGCGGCCGGCGCGGCGCGCGGCCACTAGTCATCCCGCCAGGGCGCGCGCCATGTCTCTGCACGCTCGCGTCGCGCTCTTCGCCGCCGCGCTCGCCGCCGTCCTCGCCGCCTCCACCGCCGGCTTCATCTCAAGTCCGTCCTCCTCACCGTCGTCAAACGCAACATCTGGAGATCTGACGAACACTATATGCATGTATGTGTGCAGATGAGGCGGTGGGCGCGTCGTCGGCGGCGAGCGGCGGCGCGGGGCGGAGCTTGCTGCAGGCGAAGAAGGATTGCCCGGTGAACTTCGAGGAGGCGAACTACACGGTGATCACGAGCAGGTGCAAGGGGCCGATGTACCCGCCGGCGCTGTGCTGCCAGGCGCTCAAGGACCTGGCGTGCCCCTTCACCGCCTACATCAACGACGCCCAGACCACCTGCGCCGCCTCCATGTTCAGCTACATCAACCTCTACGGCAAGTACCCGCCGGGCCTCTTCGCCAACACCTGCAAGGAGGGCGCCAATGGCCTCGAGTGCCCCGAGGACACCCCCCAGATGAAGCCCGGAGAGGACAAGGCCGCCTCCTCCGCCGCCGCCATTGTCGCCGCCGTCGCGCGGCCCGTGCTCGCCGCCGTGTCCGCGTTCTTGATGCTTATCGTGTCCTGAATGATCGACCCCATCGATCATATGTATATCTGAAATTAATTAATTTCTGCACTGCACAGGGTGGTACGACGTAATTAATCTAATTAATTAATTAATTAACCTGTTATTTCCGCTCTTGCAGTTGCTTGTGGATGTGGTAGTCAAATTCGGAGCTCCTGTAATCCGAATGCATGTGTTTATCATTATATGCTAGAGATCCCAGAAGATTGCCACCATTAACATGCATGTTTTAAAAATTCATTTCCAATTTCAATCCATATAAGAAACCATATCTATGTACCTATCTCTATCTCTATTCTCTCTATCTCTATTCTCTATCCTCTTAAAAAAATAAAAGATGCTTCCATCGTCCGTAAAAAAACCGGATGAAAAAAAACCAAATATGTCCGATAAAAAAACCGGGCGAAAAAACCGGAAAAAGAAAAGAAAAAAAAATCTGTCCGATCTAAAAAGGACAAAAAAAAAAGAAAAAGAAAAACGAATCCGACTCCGTCAACACGGTAAAAAAGGGCGAAAAAAATAAAATTAAAAAAAAAACAAATTGTCCGATCAAAAACCGGGCGAAAAACAAACCGTGCGAAAAAAACTGTGGAAAAAAATGCCGGCTGTAAAAGAAACTAAAAAGACGGAAAAAAAGTCTGATCTGATGCAACCGAAAAGAAAACAAACACCCTAAAAAAAGTCAAAATAAACGGAAAAAAACAGAAAAACGCTAAAGTCCGTTCAGGATGCAAAAAAGAAAAGAAAAAGAAACACCGTCCAAAAAAAGTCAAAAGAAAAGGAAAAAATACCATCTGATCTCTATTACCTATCTCTACTGTTATAAATTAAGGATGTTTTTACCGGAAGTTTGGTACGTCATCCGTATTTGAATCGGTTTCAATTTTATGTTTTGGTTTTAATCTATATATATATATATATATATATATATATATATATATATATATATATATATATATATATATATATATATATATATATATATATATCTATATATTTATATCTATATCTCTTCTCTATCTCTATCTCTATCTCTACTCTCTACTACTTAAAAAAATAAAAGATGATTCCTTCGTCTGTCAAAAAAAAATCGGGCGGAAAAAACCGAGCGAAAAATACCGGGTGAAACAAAAGTCCGATAAAAAAAAGGGAGCGAAAAAAACGGGAGAAAAAAGTCCGATCCAAAAAACCGAGCGAAAAAACAAATCAGTCCGATCAAAAAAAATACGGGGCAAAAAAAAGGAAAAAAACGAAACGAATCGGTAAAAAAAGGGCGAAAAAAATTTTAAAAAACTGTCCGATTCCAAAGAAAAAGAAATTATATATGACATGGTAAAAAAATCGACTGGACGAAAAAAACCGAACGAAAAAACCAAGCGAAAAAATAAAAAAAATCCGATAAAAAGAGGGGTGAAAAAAAAACAAATCTGTCCGATAAAAAAAAGGAAAAATAGAAACTAATCCGACTCCGTCGCCGCGGTAAAAAAAAGGGCGAAAAAATAAAAAATATCTGATTCCAAAGAAAAAGGAATTATATGTGACTCGATAAAAAAATCGAATCCTATGAAAGGTCCGACACTAATAAAGTGGCCAAAAAACCATTCGTAAAAAAAATACAAGAGAAAAAAAATAAAAAGGACGGAAAAAAGAGCGGCGGAAAAAAGTCTAATTTCTATTCGTCGTTTTAGTAGTTCTTTTATATATCTTCTTTATCTCTAATCTAATCTAATCTAAATATTTAAAAAGAGAAGTTTCTACCGTATATTAAAAAAGAAAAAAAATTGCGCGAGAAAATAAAAACGGTTTAAAAAACGCATGAGGAAAAAAATGCCAGAAAAAAGCGCAAAAGAAAACGCGCTAGAAAAAAAAGTTCCGTAGTCAGTAAAAAAACACGCGAGAAAAAAATATTTCCATCGTCTGTAAAAATAAAAAAAGCATATGAGGAAAAAACTGCTAGAATAAAAGACTAAATTGATGGATACTTGGTCGGATAGGCTCCATCGATTTTTTTTCCATCTCCTACACGACTTTTGTTTCGTCATCTATTCTCCCGTAGGGGTGGACAAAAAGCTCAGGCTCGCGAGCTCGGCTCGGGCTTGGCTTGAGCTCGCGAAGCTCGGCTCGGCTCGAAGACTAAACGAGCCAAGCCCGAGCTCCCTCCACAGCTCGTTTCCAAACCGAGCCGAGCCCGAGCTAGCTCGCAAGCTGCTCGGTAGGCTTGTCAAGCCTATGGAAAACTGAGTTCCCTAAGCGAGCCCAAGCCCATTAACAATTGTCTGGCCCATGAAAGAGAGAAACCCTAAGTCCTGAGCTGAGCCGAGCGCGAGCCGTGGCCCGTGAGCGCCTGACGCCCCAGATCCGATCCCTCCCCTAATCCCCTTCCTCCGTTCCTCAGCCACTGGCGCTGGCGGCGACTGGCAAGAGGAGTTGCCGGCCGCCGCATCCATCCCCTCCCCAGCGCCAGACCGCCAGCGGCAGGCCGGCAGCGCCGTTCGAACTTCGAAGCCCCCTCTATGCCGCCGCCGCCGGCCCGCCACCTCCCTTCCTGCCGCCTCGCTCCTTGCGCCGCCTACCTCCCCTACTGTGGGTCTGTGGCTGCGTCGGCTCCGTCCTCCCTCCCCGGCGACGCCCCCTGTGCCGTCGGCCCGCCGCGGCGCCGCCTCCCTTCCCTAGTTCCCTGCACCACCTCCGGCCTCCGTCCACCGTCCCCAGTGCCGCTCGAGCCGAGCTCGACGCCCCCTGCGTCGCCGGCGTCCCTGACTCGACGCCGTCCATCATGACCTCGCCGAGACGCCATGTCGCCAACCGATCGACGACAATTCATGCATCACGCCGCAACGACGAGCCTAGGATGAAGAGGTTCGTGATGTATTTTCTCATTTTTGTGATGCATGTACATGTAGGCATGTAGCTGTAGATTGTTGTGGTCAGTGGAGTAGCGTGTGTGTGTGTGTCAGTGTCAAACTGTCAATGATTCAATTACAGAAAGAATGAGGCAAATAAATCAAAAATGTTGTACCAATACTATAGTTTGAGGCTTTGAGCCATGTGTTTTGTGTAGTATATTATTCAATTACATGATGATTTATCATTTATGTAGGCAAATGGATGGCTCATGGCTGGAACATGTTGCTGTGGAGTGTGGAGAAAGTCTAGGAGTTGGAGATTTGGAGAGTTCCTTTTAATATTTTGCGAAATAATAATTAGATGTTCTATAATTATTTTGTGAATTTGAGAATGGAGACTTTGGACTTTTGGAATGTGGTCTACTCTAAGTTATGTACTCTCTATAAGACTATAACTATATTACTCTATGCTTCTATTATGGTGTGGTCATGACTATTAAGATTATGTGTGTCATGTTGGGGCATGTCCTGTGAGTGTGAGGCTGTGAATGAATGATGGAGATTGTGGAATTGTGGTCTTGTGAAGTTGTGATCTTGTCAGCTTGTGAAATGTATAATATGTTGTTGCTGTCTTGTTGATCGTACATGTTGATTTGGCTTGCTAATTGATTGCTCTATTGTTGAAGTATTTACTTGCTGCTGTACATCACAAGCTGGCTCGAGCCGGCTCGAGCTTTGAAACGAGCCGAGCCGAGCTGCACTTTTTGCTCGTTCAACTAATCAAGCCGAGCCAAGCCGAGCCTGTAGTTGAGCAAGCTTTCACGAGCTGAGCCGAGCCAACTCGGCTCGGCTCGTTTCCACCCCTATTCTCCCGTATTGGAGACCCTGCACATCTTTATAGGCAATTATCATACTATTTTGTGAAGTATAGCTATTATTCTTGATAACATATTATATGGAAATAATCTTAGAAAATAAACATATTTTAATTGTTATTTAGAGAAGAGTGCACAGTGATTAGGATTTGATTGGTTGCAATAATGAGATTAAAAGAATATTTTAGATTATATGCATGTTGTCACATGAATAATCTAATTATTTTAGGTAAAACAAACATCGTAAGGTTGCCATCATCGAGGTTGGGATATTACATTTAAGATGTTCCAATTTTCTGATTTTCTGATTGTCATATATGGTTATGCATGAAAAACATATATTATCATTATATTTTTTTCACCCGTTGCAACGCACGGGCATATTTGCTAGTATAATAAAAAAATACTACATAATAAGGATTCTGGTAGAGGATTTTCGTCCGTCTTAGTCCATCATCCACATCGCATACACCTCTTCAAATCCCAAACCATCACAAATCAAACTCAAAAACTAAATCCCAATCCAATCGAAATCATCACAAAATCATCCGGATAGATCACAGGATATGAGAATTCAATTGAAAATCACAAAATAAGTCACACAGAAGATGAGAGTAGAAGCAGAAATGACAAAATAAATCACAAAAGAGATGATAGGAGAGGGAGGGGTGAGTGGGAGGCCGTCGTTGCTCCTCGCTGCCTCACCGGCATGGAGGTCTCGAGATCAGGGCCAGATCCTAACTCGCCATTGTGTCAGGAAGCCACCGACTCGCTGCTGCGCCGGGGAGATGCCGAGAGGGAGAGGGAAGAGCTAGATCCCGAGCCACCGTGCGGCCACTGCACCAGGGAGATGTTGAGAGGGAAAGGGATGAGGAAGGCAATGACGACAAGGCCGAGGAGGCTGGCGGAGGTAGGTGGGGGGGTGGGGGGGAGGCGGATGCGGCAGGTGGTGGGGGTGGTGGTGAGGAAGTGGGCGTGCAACTGGGATCTGGTTCATGTGCAGTAGCTAGTGTGACTGCAAGTTAAGCAGTCACACAAGCACTACTGGGCTTGAAATGGATGACTGTAGCAAGTATTGTAGCGCTTTACTATAAAAAATATATATATTTCTGAATTCACTATAGCAAGCGATTTGGAACATTGGATCAAGAAATAGAGGGCTAATTATATGTAGTTGCTATTGTGCAGTCACAATAGCAACTGCACTGGACCTCAATCTGTGCAGTGGTGGTGGGGTGGGTGAGAGTGGGGCAGTGGGAGCAACTATGGAGGAGGAGGAGATGGTGGTGGAGGAGGTGTGGGGAATCGGAGATAAGGTTGATTGGCTTCGATCGGTTTTTTCATAGGCATTAGTTTTTAAAAAACCAGCACCTATAGTATAAATATAAGTGTTGGTTCTTAAAAAAATTGGGATCTTAATTATCGGTGTCAGTTCTTCTGAAAAGACCGACACTAATATTATAGGTGTCGGTTTTTATTTAGACACTAATATTATAGGTGTCACTAGTCCACGTAGCCAGCTCATTCGACGGGCGGGCTCACTTACACATACCATCACATTTACACTTTTTGTCATCGTTTCGTGTTAAAGGGTTAACTCAGGAATAATATGGTTGGAGGGAAGATGCCCTATAAGTTGGCTCCACTATTGCTAAACAATAAGGTGGTACTAAACATACACACAGCTCTCATGGACCACACATGCTATATCTTAATTAGGCCAGAATGTCACATAATGGGTTAGGTCGAGCGGAAGGAGGTAGGAAGCAACGGATTAGGCTAGGGGCCGGGGGTTGAAAAGGAATGAAGGAATGCTTTCGACCCAAAACCAATGAATGATTTTAGTTAATTTTTTCCAATTAAAGTGTATAGTGATACCAATGTTTTAATTCGTTGCTTAGCTCTTAATAGCTGTTATAGCATTGGAAAAAGTCTTGCTCATTTCAACGCACAGACATTTTTAGTTAAACTACAAAATTAGTGCATAGTACAACTTTAGAGCAGTGTAGCACATGAACTCAATAAAATTACAAAAGGGGATTAGTTTGGCTTATATACTAACAGGATTTCCAAATGAATAATTACTCAACCTTCATTTAAGATCTGTTATAGCATCGGCGTCAAGAATATTCTGCCCGAATCTGCATTCCACGATGAGCTAGCTGGTCATCGCCGTCGCCGCACCTATGCCAAACTTGGGCCCCACCTCACAGTCTCACCCTCGTACTCGTCGCTGAGCTTGCTCCACCACCCATCTGACAACCACACTGTCACCGACAAGTGGGCCCCGCAGCCATTACCTACAACTGCCCCTCGCTGGACCACCGTGCTCCCGGTCCACCCAGCAGCTGGCAAGCGCGGGCCCAGCCAACGTCACAGCCACCAACACACTGACATGTTGGTCCACAAAATCAGCGGGGCCCACGTGTCATTGAGCATGCAGACTCGGCCGGTGCCAGCTCAGCTCGGCCGCGTCGCTGCTTAAAACCTCTCTCCCACTCTCACGCTCTCGCCATCCTCGAGCACTCCGCCGCCGCCGCCGCCGCCGCCTCGACGCATCCGCTTCCCCCCACGCGAGCCGAAGCTTCTAGAACCTTCGAGGCCGCGGCTCCCACGGGCGGCAATGCAGAGCGCGGCGGCCGTCGGGCTCCTCCGGCCATGCGGCGCCACCACCGCCGCCGCCCCGCTCCAGCTCCGCAACCCTAGCCCCCGGGGCTTCGGCGTCGGAGTCGGGCAGCCGCTGCTCCCGCCGAGGGGGCTCCGCCTCTCCGCCGTGGCCCCGCGCGCGGGCATCTCCGCCCGGCGCATCGGGCTCGTGCCGGCCTCCCCGGAGCAGGAGGATGAGCGGCGGCGGGGCGCACGCGACGTGGCCGTGGCGGCGACAGCGGCGGCGGCGGGTGAGGCAGGGGCGGAGGAGGGTGGAGGGCTCGCGAAGACGCTGCAGCTCGGCGCGCTCTTCGGGCTGTGGTACCTCTTCAACATCTACTTCAACATCTACAACAAGCAGGTGAGGCGGCTTTAACTTTGATCCATTGCCGTCGCCAATTTGGCGGAGATTTGGGGGAGACTAGGATGTTTCATTTGGGATTTATTACATGTGATTCTGTTAGTGGTGAATGGTTCGCTGATGGCAATCTGATCTTGGATCGGGCATTCGCCTTTTAGATTCAGCAAAGATCTACTCGCTCCGTTGAGATTGTTGAGCAAAAGAGGGAACTATTTTGAAATTGATTTTATTTGTCTTGTGAATCACTTCTAATTATAACCTTTTTTGCCTCCATATGCTGGTATATGTCGTTTTCTGTAAATGTTTCTAACCCACTTACTGAATGGGTGCAAGAATTTGCTCAAGCTCGTCTAGATCTTGGATTAGTACAAACTCAAAATGTATATTGTGGAAAGAAGAGCGATTTAGTTTATTTCGTTGGGCTTTTAGAGATGTTCCCCCACGTTACACCTTTTCTATCAAACTTTTGTCACAACTTTCTAAAAGGTACATTTGTGGATAGTTTATGTTTGTATCTGGTATAAGATGTCGAACGGGTAATATTGCTAAAATCATGTCTTCTAGTGAGTGCAGTAGACAATTTCCCATGTCTTCTGGTAGAAATATAGAATATAGAAGGAAAAAGAACAAACATTTCTTCAAAGTTGTCCAGACTCATATGTATCCATGTCTTATAGTGAGTATATCCAATGTTCTACCAAAACAAATTGTGCTAGGGATGGAAGTTTGTTTTCGTTCATTATATATGGTGTCACTTATGGTTAATCTGTTGAAATTTCTTGATCTCCTCATTGGCTTCGTGTAGATAAAACAACTTTCCTTTATTGTTCCTATGTGTGACAGGTTTTGAAGGTTTTTCCATACCCCATAAACATCACAAATGTCCAGTTTGCTGTCGGCACTGTCATTGCTCTGTTCATGTGGATTACCGGTATCCTTAAAAGACCAAAGATCTCCGGTGCGCAGGTAATTATATTTCTCTATAAGATACATCGTGACAACATTCGATACACATGTATTGCACTATGAAGCCAACTATTGTAACTGTCCTTATTTCAGCTTGCTGCTATCCTTCCTCTCGCTATGGTCCACACCATGGGCAATCTTTTCACGAACATGAGCCTTGGAAAGGTTGCAGTGTCATTTACACATACTATCAAGGCTATGGAGCCTTTCTTTTCAGTTCTGCTTTCAGCACTTTTCCTCGGAGAGGTAATTTTTTAATGTTCTGCACTGGTGCCCAGTGATAACTATGCAACCGCATATAATCTTAGAAAAACCATCTGTTTCTTGGTTTGGTTCTCATACATAATCACTTTGCAGATGCCTACTCCTTTTGTTGTATTGTCTCTTGTTCCAATTGTTGGTGGTGTGGCATTGGCATCTCTTACTGAAGCTTCATTTAACTGGTAAGGGATATAGCTAGCTATTTTTGTCTTCGCTGTGGAAACTGCAAATATAACATAAGCCTGCTGATAGCAGAGCTAACAAAGTGCTATATGCTTGATTCGTCTGTAATTTATATGATATCAGGGCTGGATTTTGGAGTGCAATGGCCTCAAATGTCACCTTCCAGTCAAGGAATGTGTTGAGCAAGAAGCTTATGGTGAAGAAGGAGGTAACTGAATAATTAGAGTGCGGTCATCATAGATATTGGCAACTGAATTGCAGAATTAGTACAAGTGTGTGTTTCTCTTGAATAGTCTGCTTTAGTAATATTCATCAGTTATTTTAGGATGTGTCACTTCATAATGTTCTGTTTCAAGATAAAATTTGTATTTTAACAGAGCTTTTTATTTATGTCCACACTTGCCTATCTGTGGCTTTTTCCTTGAACCTCTATTGTTTGTCACCATGGCTCTTACATAACTTAATTCTAATGATCTTCTTTCCCAATTTCTGATCAGGAATCTCTGGACAACATTACCCTCTTCTCAATCATTACAGTGATGTCATTCTTCCTCTTGGCCCCAGTAACCTTGCTAACAGAGGGTGTCAAAGTCACTCCGACAGTTCTGCAGTCTGCTGTGAGCACCTTGATATTTAATTATAGACAAATTGCTCCTTACATATTGTTTGGTGCAATTTTTGACTATTTTCTTTCTTATGTAGGGTCTGAACTTAAAACAGATATACACAAGGTCACTGATTGCTGCGTTCTGTTTCCATGCATACCAACAGGTCAGCCATCTAATTGATTTTCTAAAAATAGCTTGGCCTTTTGAAATCTCTGGATGCGCTTGTTCATTTCAGATAGATTCTATGTGCTGAATACATTACAGTTGTTACATTGATGAATCATCATACATGTGCAAAGCCCATGTCTTGCTGATCTCACATAATTTCTTGAAGGTGTCGTACATGATCCTGGCAAGAGTGTCCCCTGTTACTCACTCGGTGGGTAACTGTGTCAAGCGAGTGGTGGTCATTGTGACATCCGTTCTGTTCTTCCGCACCCCTGTTTCGCCTATCAACTCTCTGGGTAAGAATCATTTTCTGTTCACTTCTGTATCAAATTGACTGCATCGCACCTCCTTTACATATCCAAATATTTGCGCCCTGCAGGAACCGGAGTCGCTCTTGCCGGAGTTTTCCTGTACTCACAATTGAAGCGGCTTAAACCCAAGCCCAAGACTGCCTGATTGTGTCTTGGTATCTATCGTGAAGAACCGTAGAAGCATTGCCACACGCCATCGGAATGAGTGCCTTAGCTTAGAATGATCCTTGGAGAAGCTCCATCCAGTGAACTGATGCTGCTGTGTGTATCGTTTGTAGTTGAGTTACTAGCGTGCTAATCGTGGCAAGGTTTTTGTGTCTTCTTTACCACCTTATGCTTGAACAGTCAATTATTTTGTTGTATCAATAAATTTCGTGCAATATAACGTTATATTATCTCTGTTTCTTTATGGAAGTATTACTATCCTTGTATTATAAATTAAAAAGTAAATTTCATAAAACTATAGATATCTTGATCAAACTATCATTTAAGATGTATGCAAACCCAAAACTACAGATTTAGTAATTTATCATAAAACCGCAGATAGATTTTATATTGAAATTATAGTCCCTAGTACTACCATTGTGTTGGAGCTATAAGTGTTGTGGTTTTGTGATTAAATTGGTGCTAAATTTGTAGCTTTGTGATAATTTTGTGACTGAACATGTAGATTTATGGTACTTCGTCTTATCTTAAATCTGTAGGATCATAATAAATTCAATGCTAAATCTATAGTTTTGTAAAATTTACTCTAAATTAAATTATTAGAGTTGGACCATTGTTGATGATGCGTTGGAAATGGGAAAAATCTTTTAGGTACACTGTTAGAGCCCTTTGTAATTGTTTGTGTAAGATCACTTAACAATTTGTCCATTGCAAAGTTTGGAGAAGGCAAAAATCACTTTTAAAGCAAAGTCTTTATGTGACTTATTTTTGAACCAGGGTGGGGACTGGGGAGGGTGTTTAAGTATAATTTTTTGAAAAATAGATGGAATGCAGACTTAGTGTATCGCTTCTGTCAACAACATGAGGGTGTTTTATTTGAATACGTGCCTTCCGTTTTTGTTTGTGTAGTTGGAATTCGGAACTGCTATTGGAGTAGGTTGCTGCCCGATTAATTTTGGTCAATATTTTGGTTGGATATGCATTTATCGGCCTAACTATAAGAAGGTTTATATAGTCGGCTCGATTGCAGTTTATTAGGCCATTTAGAACGTAAGAAAACTTGCTTTGAGTTAAAATTACCAATACTCTTACTGAAATTGTGTGTTTGTATTTGTTTGTTGTTCGATATTGGCCAGGGTTGCAGAGGCAGATTTGGAGAATGCAGTTAGGAAATACTATGCCAGCAACAGAGGTGCAATGAAGATGGAAGCATAAGTCAGCTCATAAACCGAGAATGAGATTTGAAGCCGAGAGATATCTCTCCAAATATTCTTTTAAAAAGAAATTATGAGCATGTTGGGGAAGCACCAGCGGTGTAGTGATGGAGTCGTGGGTGCATGAATTCACTCACTAGGATTTAAATCCTGGTGCCCACAAATACTACGCATATGCAAGTGGATTTTTAATAGGACTTTAGTGAGATTAGGAATGTGCTGTTAGTTTCCGTCTCTTAGAGCATGTGTTGGGATATGCATTTGTAGGGGTATGAGTGTGGTGTTACGTATGTAGTGGTGTGTGTGCGTATGCGTCTGCCGTGTAATTAAAAAAGGAAAATTATGAGCGTGTTGGAGATTTAACACGAGATATTGGAGTTGAAATCATACACTTCTTATCATTGCACGCATCTCGAGATCAAGTTAAAATGTTGGTGTATGTTAATGACAAACAAGAGAAGGAAAAAGAGTGTCGTAAAGGTTCTATTTCGGTGGTGGTTTCTTTCGGTCTTATTGTTTTCAAAAACTTAAATCAAAATTATTCCAAGAGATATTAATGGTTAAAGTTTAAACGTGTTAACTCGTTTATGATCCCATAACTTCATATGTACTTGGCATACTCAACTCAACACAAATATGTAATCCTTGTTACAACATCTTCACTCATTGAAATTTAGTAGTAATTAAAGAAAATCCGCATCTAATAATAGCTGAATAACAACAAAAGAAAAACATGAAGTGTAGTACGGTGCAGTGAGTAAATTCTACTACTACTTGTGTCCCATCTCAATGTCTCCCCGGCGTCGTGCGCCGTCGCCGTCGCCGTCGACGAAGCGCTTCCAGTACCAGTGGTCGCTCCAGACGGCGGCCATGTCCTCGATGGGGACGCCCTTGGTCTCCGGCACGAAGAGCGCGACGAAGGCGGTCATGGCGGCGACCCACCCGGCGAAGAAGAAGAAGAGCACGAACCTGAGGCGGCAGAGCAGCGGCAGGAAGGCCTGCGCGACGGCGAACGTCATGGCCATGTTCACCGCCACCGTGATGCTCTGCCCCGCCGGCCTCACCTCCAGCGGCATCACCTCGCTCGGCACCAGCCACGCCAATGGCCCCCATGACCACGCGAACGCCGCCACGTACACGCACATGGCCGCCACCACAGCCGCCGCGTACCCCGCCGGGATCGCCGCCGTCCCCGACCACCCCAGCCTCGCCCCGATCAGCGCCCCCACCGCCGCCTGGCTCGCTACCATCTGCGCGCCGCCCTCCAGGAACAGCGCCCGCCGCCCCACCCGGTCCACGGCGAGCACGGACACCAGCGTCGCCGCCATGTTCACGCCGCCGGTGATCACCGCCGACATCAGCGACGCGCCGCCGCCGAACCCCAGCGTCCTGAACAGCACCGGCGCGTAGAACATGATCACGTTGATGCCGGTCAGCTGCTGGAACAGCGGGATCGCCACCGCCATCACCAGCGGCGGCCGGTTGCGGCGGCGCAGGATGTCGCGCCACGGGCTCGCCACGGCGTGGGACGCCTCGCCGGCGGCGACCAGGTCGTTGTACTCGTCCTCCATGTCCACGCCCTCGCCGCGCACGCGCTGGAGCATCCGCCTGGCCTCGCCGCGCCTCCCGCGCTCCAGGAGGGAGTTGGGCGTCTCCGGGAGGAACAGCGCGCCGGCGGTCATGACGGCGGCCGGGACCGCCGCGAGCGCCAGGCTGAGGCGCCACCCCCACCCGCCGGCGATCCTCGCGGTGCCGTAGTTGATGAGGTTGGCGGCGAGCACGCCGGTGGTGATCATCATCTGGAACCCGTTGTTGAGCATCCCGCGCATCCTCGCCGGCGCCATCTCCGACAGGTACACCGGCACGCTCTGGTTGGCGAACCCGATGCCGACGCCGAGCAGGACGCGGCCGACGATGAGCATCGCCACGTTCGCCGCCGCGCCGTTGAGCGCGCACCCGGCGAGGAACACTAGCCCGCCGGCGAACATGGACCACTTGCGACCCGCCACGCGCGTCACCGTGGCGGCGCCGAGCGACGAGGCGAGCGCGGCGAGGTAGAGCGACGAGGTGAACATGGTCAGCAGCTGGCTGTCGAACCTGCAGTACTGGTTCCCGCCGGCCGCCGCAGCCGCCGCCGACTGCGCGCGGTACACCGACGGGAAGAACCTGCTGAGGAACGGGTCCATGGAGGTGACGCCGCCGGAGACGCCGATGTCGTAGCCGAAGATGAGGCCGCCGGTGGCCGCCACGAGGCACGCCATGGACACGAACATGGTGAGCCCGCCCGGGTACTCAGGCCGGCCGGCGCCGCTCGCCGCCACCATCGCGCCGCCGCCCGGCATGGCGAGCTACAAGCTAGCTAGCGAGGTTTTCTTGGTGTGAAGCGATCGAATTCGTAGGACGTGGTTGGTTTTGTGTTGAGGAGACGAGGCGCGGAAGAGCGTTGAATTTATAGCGATACGGTCACTTCGTCTACTTCGACTTGCACTACGTGTGTGCGTGTACAAGTCTGTCTCGGAGAAGGTATTCCGAGTCCATTTCGTCGTATTTCGTAATCGTATTCGTATTCGGAGACGCATTTGCAGACACTCCGGTGTCTCGATCGGGCTCGGCCTGAAAGGTGTGCAAGTGACCCGGTTTTTTCTCGCTCTGTTGCTGTATGACAGTATTCTAAAATGTAAAGGCCTTTTTTTTTAGAATTACACAGTACAATGCAGACACTCACAACGCACGCGCACTCACCCCTATGAATCCTATGAGTATCTTCGAAGACTGGATCGGCAAATCCTGGAGAGATTGACAAAGTCACCACATGCGCACGCGCACTCACCCCCATGAACCTTATGAGTATCTTCGAAGACTGGATCGGCAAATCCTGGAGAGATTGACAAAGTCACCACATGCGCCTCGCTTCGTCTACCACTGAAAGCACAGCGCCTCGTCTACCACTGAAAGCACAGCGCCGTTAAATCCTAGAAAATTCGCTCCCATGGGGAGTCAATTCGCTCCCATGGGGAGTCGAACCCAAGACCTCAGGTGCTACCGAGGCTCTTGTAACCACTAGGCTACAGGCCATTTCGCAAAATGTAAAGGCATTTGTTTGTTTTCTAAAATATATTTGTATGTAAAAATTGTCCACATACATCTATCTATTATATACTAAAAGTTCATTAAACTTCATATAAACACTCCTAAGCCGCCACATATCTTTCTACAAACGCTCTTGATTCAACACGTGGCACTTTTAAATAAGGTGGACCCACCAATTTTTTTATTTAACAAAGGACCCACTATTTTCCTTCATTGCATTTACTTTAATAATAAAAGAAAAGGCCCTGTACAGGTACATGTGCTGCAAACTGCACATACGTACACCCATAACCGGCCGGTGCATCTCCTCTTTTCTATTTTCATGCCTTATTAGATTGAAACATATTTTGTTGTAAATTTTTTCTTGAACAACTATAACATCTACATCATATATATAGCTAATTTTTTTTATCCATGTATACTATTAGATCATTTATAACAAAACTTATAATTCAAATCCCAAATTAACTGTATTTAACAAGTAAAAGAAATACATTGCTTTGGACCAGCTATTGGCCACTCAACACACATTTTGAATTGGAAAAACACATAGATTTTTAAACCATGTAATTAACAACACGTAGTTTACACTAGACAATATAAAACACATAAAACTAATTAATAAGATTAAAATAATAAGAACTTAATTAGAAAATACATATTCCCCCGTCCCAAAATATAAGATATTTTTGTTGGATGCATGGACATGGATTTAGATTCGTAGTAATAGGATATCCAATTCAACCAAAATCACTTATATTTTGTGCCACTACAAATATGCCATTTTAGAAAAATGCCACTACTATTCACGATATTGCGGATGGCGTCAAGGATGGTGGCGGCGACGGCACCCAAGACCTCCCATCGTGGATGCGATCGAGGACAGAGATGGCGGTGGCGGCTCCCGAGCCCTCCCACGCGGATGGCGTCAAGGATAGCGGCGGCTGCATGTTCCGAGCCCTCCCGCGTGGATGGCGTTGAGGACGGCTGCTCCCGAGCCTCCTGCTACAGATGGCAGCGGCGGCGACGGCTCCCAAGCCTCCTGCCGTGGATAGGGCCGATGATATCGGCGACGGCTGTGGCTCCCGAGGCCTTCACGGAGGTGGTCGATGACGGCGGCAGTGACAGTGGTGGTCGACGACAGTGGTGGAGAGAGAGGAAGAGGAAAGAGAAAAGATGGGAGGGAGGTGAAGATGAAACAGACACTTAGGTCCCACGTGCAGTTGGGGCTAACGGAGATTTTTGACAGATAATGTGATGGAGTGACATGGTTCTAATTTTCTCAAATTCCAGTGGCACGTAGCCAATATCGTGAATAGTAATGTTATTTTTCTAAAATGGCATATTTGTAGTGGCATGGATTCCATTAACCCTTATAAAATATCCTCATAATGCATGCACGCAACCGACCCTCCTCACCTTCTCTTCCTTTTCCTTTAATCTTTTTAATCTATTTTATAGTAGTTGAGATAATATTTGTTATTTATCATAATAAATTCTAAACAACTATAAATTCAAAATTACGCATACAATTTTTACATACATATAATGTAATAGTTGAGACATGATTAAACTGGTGCTGACATATTTTAAATTATAATAAATAAATAAATGTTTTTTGGGTCGTATATTGACCCTTTTCATCATATATGACAAACAAATGGCGACATATATTATTTTATCATATATCACTTTTACAAACATACATAACTAAATTTGCTCTACAATTGAAAATGAAGTTTAGACCATCATATTATTTACCATTAAATTATATTTTACTATCTGTTTTGAATATATTTCAACTTATAAAATAAAATTATATTTTAGGTCACATTTTGATTCTTTTCATGTAATCCAAACATACATGAAAATTATATAACAAATGACAGTAGAAAGTATATCATTATATATCTGTTATCAGTTGACAAATATTTACGACCAAATAGGATGACAAAATCCAAAAATGCTATTGACCAATGCCCAATTTCAACAAATGTCATCAACAATTTTATTTATAAATACTCTACACATACTAATTTTATTTATATAATTACTCTCTTATTTCAATTTTAAATTCATTTTTCCAAGAACATAGTAAGCATATGAAAAAAGGAGGTAGTAGAAGTAAATATAAATTTGTCATAATTGGATACAATTTTCCTCTTACCATATATCTTAATTGAACGTTTCTTCCATTAAAATATCCTAAATTCAATAAAGATATCTATAGTACACAAGAAAAGCTATTACTTAAAGTTTAGAAACTCCAAAAATAAGTTATACTAAATATTAAAAACACGTATAGTACAAATGATAGGTCCATGTGAATCAACTCCATTTCCACGATACGATATTTTCTCATAAACTCAACATTTTACGAATTCAAATAATTTTAGTGTAGAATTTATATGTTGATATGGTAGTTAGAAGAAAATCATGACCAGCATTCAAAGCAATCCTAAACAAATCATGGACAAAAACAGATTTAGAATATAATAAAAAAATATTACCAAAAAATGACCCACATGTTAATATTATTCATAAAAATTCAAGCAACATTAAACAAGGTGTCAGCAATGTGCCCGCGCATGTACGTGGGCTACCTTTCTAGTTTTTTTTTAAAAAATACGTGAATATATACATGTATTATGAAATGGAGATGATACATTTGAAACTTTCACTATCGACGATAACCGACGGTTATCGGACATATATATAGATGTGTTGCAATATGTGAAATAAACCGGCTAAGTTCAACCAAATTTCAATTTTTTATGGTAAAAATTGTTTGAATTTTTCCGCGATTTGTCGGGATCTTATATAGAGCGGATAGGTTTTGTCCACTCTTAGACATAAATGAATATAGATACAATTGAAGTGAACAATCTTCAAATAGTGTGAATACAAATTTGAATATGAATAATGTTTCCCGACTACAAATTTAAGTACGATGTATAAGTCATAAATAGATAAAAAAATATTTACATATATTTAGGAATTGTTGCTAGGCGAATCCCTGCCAAACAACTATACATCATTTATGCCCTCTTAAGTCTGTGCGTCCAGTCTACTTCTTCGGTCCTTTAATTATAGTCTGGCTTGCCAACAGTCCAACATTACTCAGTGCTATAAGCATATTTACTAATTAGAGTATAAAACAACATGCATTTATACAGGTCATATTGTATTGTTGGACTCAATGAACATAGTTTGATCCATTAAATGAGCTAATTATGTGTTAATCGTGATAGTGTTTGTCGCAGTGAGCGATTTCGATGTGAAAATGCTACTACCTACCAAATGTTCGCACATGGTATACTCGCGCAAACACCTACATTTTTTTTCTTTTTTACATTTGCATCTTTCCTTTTTTAAAAAAAAATACACCAAAGCTTTATATACCTAGAGTTCTAAAAGTTTGTACAACAACAAGCTAATATATATGTCGATTCGGATTTAAAGTTTATGTACGAAGTTTACATATATGAAGTCTTTTTTTATTTTAGAAAAGTGAATGGCTAGATCCACGTGTGATGGGTTGTGCCTCTTGTCACGCTTGAGCGGTGCTCATTAGACCTCCCCATTTAGGCTTATTCAATTCATATCTATGTTAAAATTAATTTATATTGGTTTCATATTGAATATACTTATTTACCTATATAAACAATAGAGCGAATTACAGCTTGGAACATATTTTATTGTTAAAGTTTCACTTTAAATCACCTTTAAACCAATCTTTTCACTTTGGACTGCATAACTTTGTCTCGGTTTTTTTTCCAGTTTAGACTATCCCAAATAACTTCTTTAGCACCCATCAACAACCCTAATTAAATCGGTTTTGGTACACCGTTAAACTTCTCCATCTACGTGCAAAGCCATATATTCACCAAAATCACCAAAATGAAGGGTAAACATGAATAATAAAGAGAGTTGGGTGATTCAAACCGAAAAAATAACCACAAGTTACCCAATCCAAAATAAAAAAAAAAGTTGATTTAACGGTGGCTCAAAGTAAAAACTTTGGCAATAAAAATGGGTCAAAACTGTAATACAATATTTTAAAAAGGAATATGAAAACAAATATAATATCGACATTATTTCATCCGTATATAGTGTCCGATTTAACCCGTTTTTTTTGACAAATTGACCCTTTTCAAAAACTTAATTCGAAACTAACCCCTGCCATAAACTTCAACCAAAACTAGGCCATCGGCTCAGCGCCAATCGCATTGGCGCTGAGGTTGGCCGTGTCAGCGCCAACGAGACTGGCGCTGACATTGTGCCACCGTGGCGGCCGGGCCGATCCCCTAGCTGACGTGGCAGCTACCTCAGCGCCAACCGCTTCGGCGCTGAGGTGCCCAACCTCAGTGCCAAGTAAGTTGGCGCTGACCTTGGCTACTTAGAGCCCGGCCGAGGTCGCCCCAGCCAGTTCTTCCTCCGTTTTTTCCCCAGCCGCCCGCCTAGGGTTCGGTCGCCACCGCGTTCTCCTCGCCCAATCTCCCCCAAAAACCTCTCTAATCGAAGGTGATTTGTGCGGCATTGAGTTTGGGATCGGAAGAGAAGGTAAACCCCTCTATAAACCCTAAGTTCCCCAAAGTTTTATTGGATATTTTGCATTGTTTTGGTTGTAGACGTGGTTTGATAATAGTTGGCTAAGGATGGATTATTAGATGGATAATATGGGTGGGGATGAAGTGTGGAAGTGGCATATCTTTATCCATTTGGTTGTTATTGATACATTTGACAAAATATATTTGGGATGGATGTTTGGTGATGCACTAGGGTTTGATGGGAGATGGATGTGTGGTGATGGCCTAGGATGTGGGATGGATTTGTGGTGATTGAGAGGGTTTGAAAGGGGTTGATGTGTGGTGAAGGGTAGGTAATTTGTAGGAGTAGAGTTTTTTTTTATCAATAATGTGTAGTATTTGAGTAATGTACTTATTTATTGGAAAAATTAGACATGTTGTTAGCTTTTGAAGTATTGGTATTGCAATGGTAATTACATATTATTTTCAAGTAATTAATGTTTATGCATGGGTTAAAAATTGTAGATGGATAGATTGGTCCGGCTTCATTATGGTGGTTGTGTGGTAGATGAAAGTACACATGGAAGCCAATTTGAGGGAATGACAGTTAGACAATTAGTGTTTTTTGCGAAGCCTACCTTTGAGGAGTTAATGTCTCGCATCAAGCATGAATTGGATTGGAATGATGAGTCGGTTGGTATGCAAGGGAGATACGATGTGGGCGGCGGTGTCATGTCACATAAATTTATGTTAGACTTGAATGGAGAGATCGAATGGCAAACATATATAGATATAGTATTGGGGTCACATTTCAAATCTCTTGAGGTGTTTGCATGGAAGAAATATGGTAGGATAGGGAAGAAAGAACTTATAGACCTTAATGAAAGTCCACTCATAGAATCACCCATTAGCTGTCACGAACTGTCGGAGAGGTGTAGTAGGAAGGAAGAATTGATTGAGGAAGACGTGGAGGGGGGCGAGGGAGTAAATGATATGGCGGATGTGGAGGTCAGGGAAGAGAATGACCCGGTAAGGGAGGAAGTACATGCAGAGGAGAATGTGCCGTTAAGGGAAGAAGTACATGCAGAGGACAATGTGCCGTTAAGGGAGGAAGTTAATGTGGAGGAGAATGTGCCGGTAAGAGAGGAAGGAGATGTTGAGGATGGTCGGGAGGTAGGAGATGATGTGGAGTTGCCTGAGGAAGAAGCGAATGCTAAGAATGTAAGTATGGGCCTAAGGGAGTTGGCTAGGCTGAAATTCTATACCCGAGAGGAGTGTGAGGAGGCTATGATACGCAGTGGATTGAACCCAGGCTGGTTGGAGTATGATACAGAGGATGAATTGGATGAGTCCGCTTCCGACTCCGATGATGATCGTCCAGTGCGTAAGATGTCAGAGCATGAAAGGACTGTGTTTGCGAAACTGGTGGGTAGAAACCCGGAAATAACACAATTCGAGGATCTTACCAGATCTGGGCTAGCAATTGCTGATGGGGATCCACAATATGACGGTGCCTTCGAACCAATGTGTGATGAACCAAGGAAGGGGTTGGAGTTTCGATCGATGGATGATCTAAAAATATGGCTACAGAGTTATTCTATCCGTGTCCACCGGCCGTACCATGTGAAGGAATCTAACGCGTCAGTAAAGTATACTGTGGCTTGTCTCGATCGCCATTGCAAATGGCAGATTAATGCAAGGAAGAGTGGAGGAGATAGGTGGCGGGTGACTAGGGTGGGCGAAGACCACACATGCTGTAGTGCGGAAGTAACCGGCAAGCATTTGCAACTTACTTCAAGGTTTATTGGAAACAGGTTACAGGCATTTGTGCGAGCTGAACCAACTTTATCTCCAGCAGCGATTGTCGAGGCAGTTGAGCAAATATGGCACTATCGGCCTACGTATGGCAAAGCATGGCGTGCTAAGCAAGTTGCTATGAAGGTCATTTGGGGAGATTGGGACGAGGCGTATGTTCGCTTGCCTACACTGATGCGTGCCATCAAAGCAAAGAACCCTACCATGCATTTCCGTGTTGAGGCTCATCCCGAGAAGTCCAGGATGGTGGATGGAGTACAGAGGCGAGTATTTGGACGTGCATATTGGATATTTGGCCAGTCCATAGAAGCATTCAAGCACTTGAGGCCGGTGCACATATTATGTTTGTCTATTGATGCAGCGCTTGAAGACCCTTCGAGTCAGAGGTCACACGGCGCACATACTGTTCGACGACCGGTACGTCCCGTACCTACGGCGGGCGAAGCTCTTGGCGTTCGTGACCATGGCGCAGCGACCGGTGCCTCTGTACAACGCCGCTGCTCTGACGGCCCTAGTGGACCGGTGGCGTCCAGAGACACACACCTTCCACCTACCGTGCGGGGAGCTGACGGTCACTCTGGAGGACGTCGCCATGATCCTGGGTCTTCCTATCCGGGGTCAGGCGGTCACAGGTGACACAGCGTCAGGGAATTACTAACGAGTCTTCGTATTCATTTGTTAATTTTTTTGCAATTACTAATGATTCCATTTAATTTCCGGTTACAGGTGACACAGCGTCGGGGAACTGGAGGGAGAGGGTCGAGGAGTACCTTGGTCTGGAGCCTCCAGTGGCACCTGATGGTCAGAGGCAGACGAAGACATCAGGGGTTCCTTTGAGTTGGTTGCGAGCCAACTTCGGTCAGTGTCCCGCTGAGGCAGACGAGGCTACAGTACAGCGATACTGCAGGGCGTACGTGCTGTACATCTTCGGCAGTATTCTGTTCCCTGACTCTGGTGGAGACATGGCTTCTTGGATGTGGCTGCCGTTGCTCGCGGACTGGGACGAGGCGGGTACCTTCAGCTGGGGGTCGGCTGCCCTAGCCTGGTTGTACCGGCAACTCTGTGATGCTTGCCGAAGGCAAGGCGGGGACGCGAACCTAGCAGGCTGTGTTTGGTTGCTACAGGTAAGTTCACGCATGTTATGTTTCATAACATTTCAATTTCTTGCTAACATGTTGGAAGCTAACGTATGTGACGCAGGTTTGGATGTGGATGATGCTTCCAGTTGGTCGGCCCATGTGGAGGACCCATCAGGCTTGGCCGCACCAGGATGCAGACCGACGTCCCACTGTAGCTCACCTGTGGGAATCGGTCCCATCTCCAGTAGTAGGCCGCAGGAATTTGGCGTACTACCACTACACAAACGAGATGGACTACCTACAGCCAGAACATGTAAGCTATTCGGGGTTCTATCACACATAAAGATGGTTTCTTACTATATAGTACTAAATGTGCTTCAATGTGTTTTATTTTTGTTGCTGCAGGTGGTGTGGATGCCATATCAGGCACAGGAAGTGCTCGAGCTAGAACTGAATCCCATGTGCCATATAGAGGATGCGTTGAAGACCCTACGGTGCCCACTGATCTGCTTCTATGCAGTGGAGTTCCAGATGTGCCACCGCGTGATGCGGCAATTCGGGAGGCTTCAAACAATCCCGCACCGTTTCTCCACGAGTATCGACCTACACAAGTTAGTAATTTCACTTAACAATTTATTTTGCTTGCCCAATCAGTCACTTCAACATTTACTACATATTTGAGTTGGACATTTTGCATACGTGCAGGGTGGACCGTCGGAAGAACAAGAAGGTGACTGATTGGGCTTACTACCATCAGGATCATATCACGCAATGGGAGAAGTTCGAGGAGAATGGAGTACCAGACCAGGGTCAGCACAACGGGACGGAGTTCGACTTGTACTTGGCGTGGCTCCACAGGACCTACCGTCTTGTCCTACGTCCGGCTTGGACACTAGCCGACATAGCGGATGACCCCGAGGATGTTGAGGAGCAGAACGAGTACGATACTCGTACCCGTCTAGGTACCACGGTCGAGACGGGACCTGTTCGCGACAGAGTGGTTAGTTTCTAGCATTAATGTTGTATATTATTTCATTTCAATGCCATATATGTTGTGACTTACTTCATTTCAATCCTACAGGCTCGAGAGCTCTTGCGGACCGTCAACGACGCGGGAGTGGCGCTAGGCACGGCTCCTGGCTCCGAAGGAGAGGGCGGCACCCTCCGCAAACGCCCTACAGGTAATCGTTGGAAAGAGATGAAACTACGGTGTTTTCTTCCAAAAGCGATAACTTAACATGGATTATTTTTTATGCAGAGACTACGGCAGCGATGTCGGAAGTTGGCAGCAAGGCTCGGCTGCAGGTCGACTGATGTGGTCGAACATGCTCATGCCCACCAAGAGGGGGATGAAGAAGGGGAGGTGGGTGACGAGGAGGGCGAGCAAGACAAAGAGGCGGAGGAAGGAGATGAGGAGGAAGAAGGGGATGAGGACAGAGAAGAGGAGGCGGATGAGCTCGGTCCCTCGCAGCTAGAGGACGCACCAGAGTCGTCACAGCCGGATATCTCGCAGCCCGGCCCGTCTCGACCACGACGCCGGCGGGCTCCTTCGCAGGACTGGAGGTACACCCCCGACGTGCCTCGTCCTCGCACTAGAGGTAGGAGGAGGTGAGTGCATGGTTCAATGGATGGATGGATAGATGGATGGACTTGATGCATGGTTCGATGGATGTATGGACTGGATGTATGGACTCGACTGGATGTATAGACGAGGATCGATGGGATGTTTTTATTTCTTATATATATGGACTTCATATATGGATGTATTGATGGATTCTATGGATGTATGGAATGATGTTGGGATTGATGGATGGATGTATGTTTTGTATGGTTCTCTGGATATATTACTGCCTGTAAATTTCTGTGATTTGATGTTTGCCTCTGTTGTGTGCAAAGTTTTGCTAAAGTTTAGCAGGGCTGGGACGTCAGCGCCATGCTAAATGGCGCTGACATGTCCAAACTCAGCGCCAGTGCACCTGGCGCTGAGGTCCCAGCCCAACCATCCAGAAGGCTTGCTGGGCTGGGCCACGGCCGAAACGGCCAAGTCCAACCTCAGCGCCAGGTGGGCTGGCGCTGAGTTTCCCACAGTCAGCGCCATTATGGCTGGCGCTGAGGTCCCAGCCCGCAAGCCATCCAGCAGGCTTGCTGGTCTGGGCCTTGGGGGTTGCGGCCAAGTCCCACCTCAGCGCCAGGTGGGCTGGCGCTGAGTGTCCCACGGTCAGCGCCATTATGGCTGGCGCAGAGGTCCCAGCCCGCAAGCCATCCAGAAGGCTTGCTGGTCTGGGCCTTGGGGGTTGCGGCCAAGTCCCACCTCAGCGCCAGTCCGGTTGGCGCTGAGGTAGCTGCCACGTCAGCTGGGGATCGGCCCGGCCGCCACGGTGGCACAATGTCAGCGCCAGTCCCGTTGGCGCTGACACGGCCAACGTCAGCGCCAATGTGTTTGGCGCTGAAGCGACGGCCTATTTTTGGTTGAAGTTTTTGGCAGGGGTTAGTTTCGAAATAAGTTTTCCAAAAGGGTCAATTTGTCAAAAAAAACGGCGATTTAACCGCAGTTGAGGCCACAGCCGCAAGGAATCCTCCTCCGACTTCGCCTGCCTTCCCCCCCCCCCCCCCCCCCCCCCCCCTCCCCTCGTCAATCCCCAAACCCTCCTCCTCCTCTCCGGCGATCCACCCATCGATCGGCGATGACGCTGGGGAGCTCCGGCGCCGGATCGAGCGTCGTCGGTGAGCGATCGATCGAATCCCCCCTTCCCTTCTTCCCTTCCCCCCCTTTTCTCGCGAGTGCCTAGGGCCTTCGGATCGGAGGAGGCTGAGGAGGAGAATCCACGCGGGTTTCGCTCCGTTCCGCGCCTCGTAACTTTGGCGCTGTGTCCCGCCATGGCTGTGCTGTGCTCGATGTGGTTGGTGATCAGGCGAGACGCCGACGCGTTGGTTTGTTTGTTGGAATTAGCGATCTGCGGTTTTTGTACCATATGGGTTCCATCCATCTGGTGATTTAGCTTGGTTTGCATGCGTGCAGCGGTCATGGGATCTCTCTAGATGGCCTGGTTTGCTCGGTTTGCGAATTTATTTACGGCATGTTGATGATGGTTTGGCTTTGGCAGTAAATTTGTGGTATCCTTAGAGGATGAAATTGTTCCCTTTGCTAACAAGTGGTCCTTTAGCTGCTTGGGTGTTACAAGGGGAGAGCTGAGAAGTGCCTGGGACCATTAGCTCTAAGTGGACTATGAGGCATAATTATCAGCGGGATTATTAGTTGTATCACTTGACTTTAAGTGGAAATGTTTTTAATGAAGATAGATATGCTCTTCTGATCATGGTTTCCTTAGATAGCTGTTGTATAGGCCTCATCGCGGCTGGATGAGACTGTGTTGGTTTCTTTTTGCTGGATCTGTTTTTTCGTGTGGGCATGCAGGTTGTGTGCTTTATAAAAACCTGGGTATTGAATGCTATATTGCGTTTTTCTTGCAGTGTTAAGTTCGGTCTTCTCTTAATATTTTCTTTCCTAGATGGAATTAAATAGCTTTTAGCGTCTCCGGTTTGGAGGTTTGAACGTAATGCCTTTTTGTGTTCTAATCACAAGTTGGAACTTTGCACCATTCAAACAATTGTACTGAAATTGTTTCACCTCGGCGGCCTTGTGATTCAGACTACTTGCCAAAGATCATGTTATTTGTTCATTATATTCCACTGATGAACTTTGTGTGTGAAGTTACACTATTTCTGTCTACTATTCTGTTTTGAGATAATACATTGTATAATCAATCTCAAGTCAAAGTTCAGGCTTCAATCTGAGAAGTCAAAACCATGATTGCCCGTTTTAGAGCCACTGCACTCTGAGTGTCTGTGCACTAGATAAAACAATGACTTGCGTTTAACAAATGCCGACATATCTGTTCTGGGTGTATGGTATTCGAGTCACAAGATTCTTCATCGTCTTGCAAACAGAACAATACATTTTTTTTTTTTTGCATTGTTGTTAACCCCCCACGCCAATGGCAGATATATTCAATTTTGTTTTGCTTCACAAGAAAACAACAGCTGAGCTGCAGTGCTCTTGTCCCTCATTCGGGAGAATGATACATTGGTGTTATTCTTTTTTTTTCTTCAGAAAATAGTAATCATCTACAAATCCACTAAATTCTGAAACTGGGAATCGATATTGCCATTTTATTTATCTCGGTTGTAGCCGTCTTTGCTCTGTAATTCAGTACTTGATGCATGGGTATGAAAACTTCTCATGCTGTTTCTAGGTTGATTTTGTCTTCTTTTGTTCTGTGCAATGATATCACCATTATGCAATTTCTATATAAGTAGATTTAAGAGGGTAACTGCATTATATCCTGAGGAGTTGACTAATATGTAAAATGCCTGCAGTTCCGCGAAACTTCAGGTTGCTAGAAGAGCTTGAACGTGGTGAAAAGGGCATTGGAGATGGAACCGTGAGCTATGGAATGGATGATGCAGATGACATCTACATGCGGTCTTGGACTGGCACCATCATTGGTCCACATAATGTGAGATTATGGACTCTATCCTGATACACTCACAATATATCATATTACTCATATGGAAAATCTTCTCCTGTGGCTTTATATCTTTACCGTCGTACTGTGCTTCATCTTGGGTTTTTATTAGTGGAGAAGATGTCTTTATTAGTGGAAAAAGGCTATTTGAATGGCATTAAGATATGTGTGACAAGGTTATGGAATTATATTTCTGGGAAGAGGCACACTTGAGCTTTTCAACTTCCTTATGTTGACCATAAAGGCAGGAGAATCACTACTACAAGCTAAAACTTACATATATTAGCTCTAGATGCTTTCTCATGTTTGACAGTTTGAGAGTCCACCTAGCTCCTCTTGTACTGCTTATATAAAATATTATTAACTTTTACTAAGTGTCTGTTTCTTCCTCAATCTGGCAGAGTGTCCATGAAGGTCGCATCTACCAGCTGAAGCTGTTCTGTGACAAGGACTACCCAGAGAAGCCACCATCTGTCCGGTTTCATTCAAGAATCAATATGTCGTGTGTTAATCATGAGACTGGAGCGGTATTCTCTCCTCCCAAATGTAGATGCCAAGTTTATTTATTTTGTGCAGGCTACTCCCTCTGATTGATATTCATTTGGTGCTGTGATCCTATAGGTTGACTCGAGGAAGTTTGGTGTTCTAGCAAACTGGCAGCGCGAGTACACCATGGAGACTATCCTTACCCAGCTCAAGAAGGAGATGGCAACCCCGCAGAATCGCAAGTTGGTGCAACCTCCAGAAGGGACGTTCTTCTAGAGGAGTATTTACCTCCTGGCTCATCTCCAGAATTCAGATTCAACATCATCAACTTGTATTTATCTGGCTCCCGCGCTTAATTGTTTTCTAGTTCAATTTGATATATGCCCTGCTTTCTGTGTACCAACAACCGAGTCCAACTTTGCGCCTCGTGATTCGTCGGGTGGCTGTTGATTAAGGAGATGAGTCGGATGAAAAGGGTGATCTGGTTTGGCAAAATTGGCAGTATGAGGGATGTAAAATTGGAAACAGATGCTGTGTCAAGAAATGTGTAACTGCAGGTCCTTTATATTGCCTACATGAATATAGTCCGTGCATGCTTTTCTTTAAGCTGGCGGTATGAAATATCGCCTGAATTTACTTCATGCTTCTTATACTGTTATGCAGCGATCAACTTTTTAAACCAAAGCACAATGGCAGTACCAGGCGCTAGCATCCTAGAGCATAATAAGGTGAGGTTAATTAATATTGGGGCCTGCGTATAGTGCGAAAATTTGATCGTATACCCTTACGTCAGATTGAAATTGAGGATTTATAATCTAAATGGAGGTTATATGATCTATTCTCCCGCATGTACTGAGCCGGTCTCGGCAAACATTTGCATTTTTCTTGCGAATTAGAGAACCTTTTGCGAGTTTTCTCATCATACCGTACCGGTATCATCTCCTGGCTGTAACGATCTTTACATACGCAGAACGGCAGAAGTTGAATTGGAAAAAAGGGGGAAAACATGATTAAACGAGGAAAAATTATGGTGTTTATGCATTAGTAATATATCAATGATGTTTTATCAATGTGCTCATGTAACAAAAAGAAAAAAAAAGAAAAAAAAGGATAGGCTTGCCTTGTACCAGCACAAGAAAACTGGTACAGACTGGCAATTTACCCCTAGAGGCTCCTTGCTTAAAACCACCACTTAAGCTACCTTGCAATGACTTCATGCATATTACTTCTGTAAAAAAGGGGAACTTTAACCATCACTATTCACTATCATCCCACGAGCCTGCCTTTCTACTTACTCAAGCCAAACCCCTAGTGCAAAAAACCAAACAAAAGAAGCCACCATCACCTACAACAGGGTGTTCCGGAAAGCGGAAATCAGCCTTGGCGACAATAGGAGGACGAACGCCAAGATGGAGCCGAAGAACATCTTGCTCAGGTAGTGCATCAGGTCCATGTCGGAATCGCTCTCGTCCACCTTCTTCGTCACGAGAGCGGAAGCGGAGGGCAGGGCTTCGACCACTGCATCAGCAAGGTCGGAGATGAAGGATGAGGTGCATCCAAGAGCTGGAACCCTTCCCCAGTTCTCGATGCCCGATTCTAGAGCCAGCTCCTTGTACTCCATGTCGATTTCTTCCAAGGTCTCGATGTGCTCGCTCACAAAGCTGATTGATGATAAATTAGTTAGGACTAGAAGGTAATCACAAGGTGATGTAGGGAAGAAAAATGCAAACTGAACAAGCCATTCTTGAATGGTTAATGAGATGAACCTAAAGGGCAGTTTCCAGTTTTACGTTGTAAGTACTTGATGGATAAGCAAATTAACCATGCAGTAAATAGTGAACATGAGAAAAATTCAAAATAAAACACAACACACACACACACACACACACACACAAGCAATGGCATATGCCTTCCATCAACAAGAAACTTATGCCATATGAAACAAAATTTCTACGTTGATAATGATTTTATACCAGAAAATATTGCTGGGTTACAATAATATATGTGCATCAAGAGATAAGTGCAGGCAGAAGATTAAACTATCATAAAGAGATACAGGTTTAAGTTGCTGTTCTTAAGGAAATACCAAAGAAAAAAAAGAAAACGCTGAATCGCCAAAATATGAAATATGTGCAGTTATTATTACCTTACTGGAACAGCCAGGAGGCTCTTTACACCCTGTTGACCTAGTTCAACTAGAACTTCATCAGTATATGGTTTCAGCCACTGAACTGGCCCCACTCGACTCTGCCATGTGTGCACACAAAGGTTAATGATGTGTTAACCAGTAAAGCAAAGGAATAAAACACACTAGTACAAAATTTTCTAGATGGTGAAAGTTCAGTTGATACATTCAAAGTAAAAATAGCCATTTAAAAAGAGATGAAACGAACACTTTATATATCCTAGAAATATCCTAAGATGCTTTCCTCATTCTAAACAAGATGGCCTCATAAAAATAAGTATTAATTTGTCTTATACCTGGTAAGCCAGAGTATGGCTGTTTAAGATTCCTCTGGATTTTAACTCTCCCATGATCAAAGCAATGCAGTCCTCCATCTGATCTCTGTAAGGATCTCCAGCATCCGTAACATAGGTAAGTGGTACTCCATGTGCACTGAAGAATATCATAACCTAAAGATTACAAATTTGCAATCATGATTAGTATATCAGACTTATTCTATCTATTCAATTTCCAACTTTTTGTATAATTCTGGTCAGACTTACGTTTACGTGTATCATTCTAAAATGACATGTACCTATAACAGACTGAGTAAACAACAAAGTAACTAGATACTTGCACTGTCTATTGAATCACCCTGAATCATACATTAATACTCATTTACAAAATTATAGTGTTAATTTCCCTTCATCAATTGACGTAACTAGAGTGGATAACTGGATAGTCAAATATACAGTAGGCAGGTAAGCACTACAATGTAGCATTTCAGAAAATGCATTTTTGTGGTTCAAGTTTCATGGTATACTCCCTATATCCACAGTCTAGTACAAAAAGTTAGCTGAAAATGGACAGTGCATTTTCTTAAAAGTAGTTGGCATTAAATAATTTAGTTTCTCTGATGTGGTTGTCACAACGTACTCATACATAATTGAATAAACAGTGATACTGAAAATTAGTTGTAGACAAGATTAAGGATGTATCTAATGTCGAATTTTGTCCACAGGTAAATACAAGAACTATGTCAAACTGTATCCCTAAGGAAATTTCTACCAAAAAAGGTATACTATGATTGTGTTCACAGTCTGCAATCCAAAGGTGGGAAACTGTAGGGAGAAAAATAGAAGGAAAAGGGAATGGTCAAACCTCTTCAGGATTGGAAAAAATTGACAGTTCCTTTTCAATTAAGTCAGCCATTGATTTCACATAACCGTCACGTTGGTACCATGATTCGATAATGGAAATTGGCAATCCAGCAAAATATGAATCCTCCCTGCATGATGCCATCATATTAATATTTAATGATCTACAGCATCTGAAATATTATAATTTAATGATCTACAGCGTCTGAAAGATTAGAATTTAAAGATCTAGTAATATGGAAGATGACTAGATGAGAATTCAAATGAGAAAGCAGCCTACTTGACAATGTTTTGGAGAACACGGATGCTTGATCCACTTGTCGATATGGAGTATTGAGGGTACAGTGGAAGAACGACAAGCTTTGTAATCTTATCCTTCTTAATCTATGATCAACCAAAACTTAGAAGCAGTTATAATCAATTGGAAACTAACAACAAAAATCAGGGAACAACAGAAATATCTAAAGTTTACGATGCAGCATATGCTGTTGAGTGCTGAATACTCAACAACAGATGAAAAGAAGATACTTAAAATAACATTGAGTAGCAATATCTAAGTAAGTTAGAAGAAAAACAATAAAGTAATTACCATGGAAAACGAATTGAACAAAAATGGCAAGGCACTGTTTTTGAGACTTAACAAAGAAATGAAGGATTTAAAGGACTTCTAGAGACAGGAAGTTTCACCTGATCAATGGCTTCTTCTGTAAAAGGGTACCAGTATCGCATTCCAACATATATATTAGCATTCAAATTCTTCTTTTTCAGTGCCACCTTCAAAGCATTTGCCTGTAACACAGTTAACTGAGTTAGGAAACTCAACAATACATTTTTTTTTTCATATCACAAAACTTATGAGTAGGCAAAGCTAATATTTAACTAAGCTGATAAATTTGTTTTGACAAACCACACATGTTTGTGATTAGGATGGCAAGATTTTACCTGCTCATCAGTAATTTTCCGCAAAGGTGATCCTCCACCGATTGAAGCGTACCCCTCCTTACTCTTTGGAGCTCTAAAAGTGGAGATAAGCTTGGCCAATGGTCTTTGAAGAAACCTGAACAGCCTTGGCAAACGGATGATATCCTGAACAGTACAAATATAAGTAAATCATTATATACTAAATAAGGAACAGATAGGAGACAAATTCTGAATCCAGACATCATATCATAGTGGCATACACAATAAAATCAAATTGACATGTTTTTGTTTGGTTCAAATAGTATGATATAATAAACTGAACCATTTTTTAATGGTCAAGAATTACTAGACCATTTTAGTCAACGTTACGGGACTACATAATGATAAACTAAAAGGAACACACACATACCAATATACAAATAGTGAAAATTGCCGAATAGCATTGACAAATCGGCTACAAATAGTCAGTAATGAACAAGTATAAAGCATGTGGTATGATCACTTACTGGGTCAGCAAACAGGTTGAATAGAAATGGCTGAACATCATCCAGTGTCTCTGGGCCACCAAGGTTTAATAAGAGTACTCCAACCTTTTCTTCAGCAGCATGTGAAGATACAGCTCTGACATTTTCATCAAAAGTAGTATATACATCTGCAGAGGTAGACCTAGCAGAAAGATTCTGTCTCTGCTTAAGCACTGGACTTCTGTGAACAGAATAAGAGGATCCACTTGCTGCTAACTGTGAGGGTTTAACATTCCCATGCAAGTTTTGCTCGTGTTTGGTACAAATGGCAAGATTTGTAGAAGTGGCTTTACCACATGACCTGTCAATGGTAGCAGCTATCAAAATCAATAACAAGATGTATGGTTTGATGGTTAAAAAACCTAATGATATTCTCATAGAAACATATAACAAACCATGGTTGTCAAGTTGTAAAGTCGAGGTACCCCTGGACCTACTTATCGATTTGGTCGACTAGTCCATGACTTGGTCATGCAAAAACAGGATATACAATATATAGTCTTTACTACTATTATACTGCATTAAGCACTGTTTATAGTATAAACTGTGGACTATGAAGTAGCAAGCAAGACAATAAGTCAACAAGAAACAAAACTGAAGTACTAAACACAATAAGCCAATTGGCATAGTGAATTGGTGATTTGCTATGACTAATCACAACTAATCTACGAGTAACCACGACTAGTCATGCGACTTGCTATTTGGTTGAGTCATAGCCCTCTAGTCGACTAGCTTGACCGACTTTACGACTAGTTTACAACTAATCGTGACTAGTCGGGCAACTTAATAACAGTGGAATCAACACATATCAGAAAGCCTGGTTAACTTAGCAATAACAACATCAAATGTATTGTGAATTCGCGTCAAATCTCAACTGACAGAAAATTTGATTTATAACTTTATTGATATATATAACAGTAAAGTGCCTAGATTGAGCTTCACATCCTTCAGTGTTGTATACAGTCAATAAAAGATATGTCCCTTCTTCCAGACCATTTGTACCTTTGGCATTCCTCTCAACCATTTGACAGACAAAATCACTAACTCAATAACACATTTAGTTTTTTTGAGTTTTGTCTTTGCCAGATTTGTAAGGAATGGAACTGCTCGTTCAGGAGATCCAAATAGTTCATTAGTCCATGGATTCGTTACAATATTTTTTTCAACTAAAAGAAAAACATTATGCATCATGTTAACTACAGACTGGTAGATATCAAGGTGATATGCTATGGTACATGGCACACCAATTAAATTCTAGAATTAATTTTCGTTTTCTGAATATTTCCTACCAAATCATCACAAAAAGAGAACTAGTCATTGCAACGACGTCTGAATAAAACACCAGCCTCTACAGCACCTATCCCTCCGTTGAGATTACAAATCAACACTCCCAATAAAAAAAGGGGGGAAATCACATATGCAATTAACTTTCTTCAAGACAAATTGAACATTCAGTGTTCCTCCCACCCAACCATTTGATAGGCAAACCCATAGTACTATGTCTTACTGTCTCTAAATGGTATCAACTCAAAAAAAAAATACATTTTGATTTTGGAGCTGTAGACAGTAATCTTAGTCCAGTACAAATATACTAAGTTTTGTGTGCACCAGATGCTCAGAACTCACAAGGGAAAACTGTATTTGTTGAGAACAAAATTGAGCTAACATAATTGTTCGTTGAGGAGATCCAAATAACTGATTAGTCCACGGATTCATTGCAATGTTTTTGAACTAAAAAAAATCATTCTCCATCATACTGACTACAGACTGGTAGATATACTAATTTGCTTTCACTGAAAATTTAATCGTCACCCAAAAAAAAAGCAGTGATCTCAACAACACGCCTGAATAAATAAAAACCCCAGCAAGATCCAGTCCGCACCAAACCCCCCACCGAGAGATCACAGATCACCACCACTCACAAAGAAGGAAAGAAACAGGGGGAAAAGGCAGAGAGCGCTTGGGATCAAGAAGCACTCACGTGAGCGAACCACCCTTCTTCCCCAGGAACCGCGGAGAGCACCTGGGATCAAGAACCCCGGAGCCGGAGCGGACGCACTCCATTGATCCTCCTCCCTGCAAGAAAAAGAAAACAAGAAGAAGGGGAAAGTCAAATCAAATCAAATCACACGGCAGGAAACATCAAGAAACCCCTCAGAAGGAAAAAAAAAAGAAGAAAAACACGAACCAATCAATCAACGGGGGAAGGGGGAAGGCGGCGGCGCGAACGCGCGAGCGAGGAGAGATCCGAGGGAGGAAGAGGGAAGGGGGTTCCAGGAATGGCGGTGGTGGCGATGGCTAAAGTAAAAGCAGTATACTAGGAGAAGTAGGTTCGCATTCGTTGCCCAACCAACTGCCACGCCTCCGTTTCTTGGTTGGAAATAATAAATTAAAAGGAAAAAAACAAAATGGTCGCCTGCTTCGCTTCGTCTTGGGTCAACGACTGGGTTGGTCAAAAGACGCAGCGCACAGGCACACACCTACCTCCCACGATCTGGCACTAATCTCAAAGCATCCATGAAGAGCTTCGCAAAGAACGAAGCACGCAGATGGCTATGGCCACGGTTTTTCTTGACAAATTAGCCATTTTCAAAAAATTATTTCGAAAGACCGTGTAAAAAAAACTTCATCCAAAAATAAATCACGGACTCAGCGCCAATGTTCTTAGCGCTAATATAAGCCGTCTCGGAGCCAACCGCCTTGGCGCTGACACCCTATCGGCGCGGCGGCCGAGCCGTTCCCCCCGCCGACATGGCAAGGATGTCAGCGCCAATTACCCTCACGTTGAACCCTTATCAGCGCCTTTCCTTCCCACGCTGATCTTCAGCACTAAGCACTCGTGCCTGGGTCGCCCAACACTTCTCCTGTGTTAGGCAGCCTGCAAGCACTGAGCCGGCATAGGTCAATGCAAGATGGAATGGCGCTGAGGTCCGTACATAGCGATATCCAAGCGGTGAGGGTTCAGCGCTAGCGTAATGGCACTAAGGTCGTATAGCTCGGCACCATTTACGCTAGCGCTAAGGTTGTTCCCTAAGCGAGGTTATGGCCACTACCTCAATATCAACGCATGTAGCGCTGAGGTTAGTTGTCTTAGCACCAAGGCTGAGGTTAGTTGTTCCACGTTGACGGGGGATCGGCTCGGCCACCACACTGGTAGACGGCTAACCTCAGCGCCAACTGCTTTGGCGCTAAGCCCCCATCCTATTTTTGGATGAATTCTTTTGTATGGTTAGTTTCGAAATAAGTTTTTAAAATGGCCATTTTGACAAAAATAAAGGGGGTGGAATTTTGGAGTTTAATCCTATAATTTTTTTTACTATGCAGCCTTTTGGATTAAAAAGAATAGCTATCAAAAGTCCTATAATTTTCTTTTGATTGACTCAAAACATAAGAACTTTTAGAAAAATTATAACATAACCATCAACCTATTGGGAAAATGGGTCATTTGTGTCTACCTCTCTTCTTTCTCGTTGCACTCCATTCAAATTATCATTCTTACTTTTTTTTTCTTTTTACGTTTTTCTATCCATATGATTTAAGGGGCTAGAACACTATAATCCTGTACTCCCTCCATTCCTTAATATAGGGCGCAAATGCTCTGGACGGCAATACCAAGGAGGCTTAACTGATTTTCTCAGGGTGACGCCTGCGACGCTTCGCTTCTCCGTGTGCATCGGCCTTTGCTCATGCATGCAGCTCTTCGCATCCTTCCCCGCAAACAACCTGCTATTTGGTGGGTGAACGACCCCGCGAACGCAAGAAACGAAGAGCTAACTCCACGCATTGAAAGCCTTTGCATGCATGCGCACGGAAGTCGACCAGATTTCATACTTTTTGTTTTAATGCTGCTTGCTTGCATGTGTATGGATGCCTTATATTCTGGTACACTTAAAAAACCAGTTGCACCCTATACCAGTTGCACCCTATATCAAGGAACAGAGGGAGTATTTTTTTTTTCTTAAATTTCTTATATCCAAAGGAGCCTCAAATTCATCACTCGCTAATCATAGTCATTCACAAGTGAGGAATAAGACAACAAAATCCTCAAGGCCTGTTTGGCAAATGGTTATGAGATGTGGGATTGGGAAAGAAAAAAAAGGATGAATGACTAAGATTAAATGAGGTATAAAGAATGAATGGTTAGAATACAATATTACCCTTTAATGGATGGGATATTATTTCCCTATCCTATTTGTCAAACGAGCCTTTCTAATTAATCTTGAAGTGATATGCGATGACATCATGATACCCATTTTCTCGCATTTACTAATGTGGTTTTGGGATTCATTTGCCCAACATACACCAACCCCAGTCCATATACCGGCAGAAAAAAGATTTGCATAACAGCAAATCATGTTAATAAGAGCGTATGTGCTTCTGATTGCAGCAACATCCCATTGTTACAGTCCATTAGGACAACGTCATGCAGAGCAACATGACACATTGACATGTATGCCAATTGCTAGATTTCATCTGCTACCCCATTTTCTGGCTAAGGCAGCATCAATACACCAGCATCCTCCTGCTCTACCTCTAGCAATGAAATTAGTCAACCACTAACTTAGTCACATATGCTGCCACCGGGAGCGGTTTCCTTGACTGTTCTCTCACAGCTTGCTTCTTAGTTCTTACCCGCGTCACTGTTACCTAGGTGCAGAGCGAAGTCTTCATGATCGTCACAAAATGTTTTCCGGAGTCTCAGTGCAATCATGTTGTGGATTACTCAGGAAGGCGAACATCTGCATGTTGGTCCTTCAAAATTGACCACCATGATTTAGCTGGGATGGGATATGATTCATTGGGCATATGAATCTGTGGAGATAAGTTCCTGCGAAAAGAATTAGCATTGGGTTCACTCAGAAGTAGAACCAATCAAACTGGCCTAACTGGCTATACCAATCAAACAATAGATTAGAATCCTCGGCACAACATTTTCTTAAGCATTGAACCCTAGTGGATCCTAGCTCAGTATGAATTCATTACCAGTAATGGAAAAGTTGAATACCAGAACCTCACATTATACAGAAAAATGATTAATATAAAACACCATCTGTAGCCTTAGAATTATCTAGAATGAGCGAGACCCCCAGCAAAGGTAGATTGGAATTTGGACACAAGGAAGCTCAAGCCAAAAGGGTTGATCCTCTCTAAAAATCTGAAAGCCAGTCCATTTTCTATTAATACGATTGGCAGTGTGCTTCAAAAAATAAACGATGTTAAACGGTTCGATCAAGACCAAATGCACGGTATCTCAAACTTGTATTCAGGACAATACCAAAAAAAAAAAAATTCTGCTTATGCTTGGCAGACTAGGTACCAGTTTGAGCACATTAAAGACCTAAAAGTAAATAACGGGTAAGTAGTACCTCAAGAATATTTCCCCTAGTAGTCTGCAACATTGTGTTGAATTATCCTGAGCTTTCCTTCCTGTGATTCAACATAAGCATCAGATATACCAATATTCATTCCATCTTTGATATTGACCTAACTTGTCACTCACCTTAGTCCCATAAACAAGACCTGCACCAGGGGAAGGATGAAAACATGCGACATTGACTTCATCTTCAGCACTAGGGATAACTCTTACAAGCTCCATGTCTGAAACTCTATACACCTATGGAAGTGCAATAAAGAAATAGTATTAGCCCATAGCCTTATATCCTGAAAGTATGAGGTCATTAGTCATTACTGCACATAAATCGTAACCCCACAGTTTGGTTCCATTATAAACTATTTTAACGTCAACTAATAATATCTTTAGCAATGTTCAGATTAGATTTATAACACAATGGTAATACTTCGTTCATATGAAAAATATATTTTCACGATATTATAATTTTATTAAGTCCTACAAAAAGAATTACAATAGAAGCTAGTGGTCACAATTAAGCTTTGTCAAACTTATGTGTAGTAGAGTAAAAAACAAGAAGTATATTACATCCAATACAAAACACAGAAACAAGTATCATGAGAGCATCTGTATCAGCCTTCCTGTAAAATGTTTAATGTTAAGTTGTAAATCATATCTACCTCCAAGACAGTGTACACAGGGATTGTGGTCTTGCCATCCATGAAAATGCCCCTCAGAAGTGAGTTATGACGACGACCATATGCCAGTAGTATGTGCTCTGATGTAGGTGAAAACTGCAGCGAATAAAAATATCATCATGCAGAACAGATTTCATATCACATCAGTCCAAAATTAAATGATCAGAACTACAGAATTGTCCACCAAAAGGGTTAGAGAACACGTCTTCACTGAACACACTTAAGTTCGATACAAAGTGTTAATGCTCTCAGAATGGAAGTGACTGCGGAAACTCATATTTGCCGCCTCACACAAGCAAGTACACAACTACCTCAAAAGTATTAATGGTCACACCTACAAAAAAAATTGGAAAGAAAATAACCTGAATGGAAGTTAAGCAATGGGCTGCCCTTATTGCCCGGGACACAAGAACTGTCCCAAACCTACAAGGAAATCACAAAAGCAATAAATGACTTCACTAGTCAATTTACAGACACTGGCAGATAAAAATCAAATAATAAAAAAAATAGCATCGAGAAAACATACGTTTCCTCCTCAAGAGAATAAACACGAAGCTCATAAATAACTCGACGAGAGGGGAGAGGGTGGCGAGTTGGTGATGTTCCAGCCCCAGTTGAATCATACTGTACAGGCGATTGGCTTACATGCTCACCAACTTCTGTTTGAGGCAGTAAGCATGCAACACAAGCCACCAAAAAACGCCCACAGGGGGAAAAATGGGTGCCCATTTCACTGCAGCAATTAATAAGTTCAGAGTCTCAAATCTCAGCAGCAGCACAAAATTTATCAACCATGATAAAAGCGCAACTCAAATGCACCAATTCAGATAAATATACATTTGTGCATTAATTGTTTTATTAGTTACTGTCACATGGTTGTTGCTGCCTACCACTAGCACAAGAAAATAGCAACGATTTTTAGTTTAATACATCAAAATCATTAGCAAATAACAACAGGAAAAGATTGGCAATTTGTACTACACAATAAAGCAGAGGAAAGAGGAGGAATGCCAAAGTGTACCTGCAAAGAACAGCATGAGAGATTGTCAAGCAGCATGCCTCAGGTGCTAACACAGCACAAGGGTTGTCAATGTTATGCCGCCATATTCTAAGTTTCACTGTACAGGGTAATTCAGTACCGTCACCAGCAAACAGTGACGTAGCAAATTCTGACCCAACACCTAATGAGACAACATTAACATGAGCTTCACCATTTTGAGCACCTTGAAGCGAAGTCCCTGCTCCACCAGGTACAGAGGCCAGCATATGACGATGTTTACTTAGCCCTCTCAAACTGTCCGTAGTAATTGGAATTGATGATGAAGGCCCTACACGTTCAAAACTGTACATGTTTGATGATTCATTCATCACATTATCAGTCCCAGCAGTGCCACCGATAGGTAAGTCTCCTATAACCTCATTGTTAGGAAGTGTTGCACGCAATCCTGTACGGTTTTGTGCCATCAACCAACCCTGGAGAAAAGGCAGTTCCCAGCTATGTGATCCACCAGTGTAATTATTATGGTGATGTCCGGCCTCTACGTCTCTTAGGAACATTTGAACATCTATTGTATTTGAAAAGGCGAACAAATCCATTGGCATACTATTTGGAACATCAATTCTTGAATGTGCAGGCATTTCTGGATTTGGCGTATCACTGCTCAGGTCAGAAACTTGTCTTATATCAATCCTGTGAAGATCAGTAGCAGCACTACTGTTGTGAAATCTTGAGCTATTCTGCCAACTGGGAGTATGCATTTCTATTCTATTTGATAAAGATGCAGAATCTTCATCATCATAATTATTCACCCCAGGTTCTCCAGGGCATACATCCATAGGTGTAACCATATGGCCAGCCTGTTGAGTTTCAGAATCTGATGGCTGCTGCACATCGGATGAACCACTAACCCAGTCATTGCGAAGCAGACATATGCTTCCATCATCTCTGACATATGCAGGCCAGATCAAGCACGGTGATGAAAACCTAGACTCAGAGTATGGACAACATGCGGAGTTCATGATTGCAAAAAATACAGCCGAAGGCGAGTTTGAATAGCCAGAAGATGTTGCATGGGTCAGTTCTGAATCAGCAGAATCAAGATTGTTAACCTGCAAGTGAACCTTGGGGTGAGATTAAACATCAACACTAGGACAGGGAGACACGGAGAAAATTAGAAAACTAATATAAATAAATCATCAATTCAGAGAGACAAATTCTACCTCTGCAGTCAGTAGATACGGAGCCCCATTGGGATGAAATTGAACAGCTCTCAGTGAACGGCGAGTTCTTAATATCATTGGTGGGTCAGAAGCTTCATCTCGTTTATTGTAGTCCCATATGAACAGCTGAAATGTATTTCAAAATTTAAACTTTAACAGTTACTGATGAAGTACAGATCAGAACGATCCATAGAAAGTTCATTTGTTTAAACATCTCACTTTGTGCCCTGAAGCAACCGCCAGAAGCTCCCCCTTTGCATGAAATGCAATTGATGCAATTTGCTTATCTGCCAACATAATGTAAAAAATAATTACAATTGTTGCTTTAGAAATGCTCACGAATAGAGAAGAAAAACAATGAGTCCATTAAGAGATATTACAGAAGAAGTGTGATCCAATGCAACGGGAGGTTTTAGCATCCCATAGACAAACTTCATTATCCAAACTTCCGCTAGCAACGATATCAGGATGTAATGGATGATATCTAACCTACATTGCAACAATAATTTCTTATGGCAAGTAATAAAAAAGTGAAACAAAATTCAACATTGTTTTTTTTTGTAAAACATTTTTCTGAATTAACAGTTTGTACATAGGGGGAAAACAGCAAGGACACATAGATAACAAACTGTTGTTATTTAAGCAAGTGATCGTTAAGGAAACACTAAAAACCAAACTAGTATTAGTGTTAATTCTTTTAGAAGTGCTTAAAGAGCATCTCAGAAAATGAAGTACACTAGGAAAAACAATTGCCAGTTTTAATAGACATACCACCCATGGAGTGCGCCAATGTCCAAGCAACACTTTCAAACATTTCCCAGTTTGGCAATCGATTATTTTAACAGTATGGTCACCACTAGAGAAAAGTGTAGTTAGTCTAAGTTTTTTTCCGTTCAGAACATATATTCAGCATATCCTTTAGCTTACTGTGTGGATGCAAGTGTTCTCCCATCCGGACTGAATGCAGCTGCAATGGTTGACCTTGGAGCAGGCAGGAGAAGACAATACCTGGCAGACCACCGATGCAAGGATTGTGATTCAGCCCTGTAAAAAGGTAAGGTTTAGGATGCATGCTCAATCAGATAGTAGTAGTAAAATCAACGGTTCAAGTTTATCTTTAAATATAAAGTACTCATCTTGGTTAAAAAAGAAATCTGCCTTACCAAGAAAAAAGATCATGTCTAGCATCTGTAACCCAAAATGCTAACTCAATTGAACCAGTAGCACATTCTGGAGATCCAGACCAAATATTTTTAGCTTGGTGTTTTGTCCGAGGAGAGATCTCCCGTTGAGCTAATAGATGATAAATATTTCTGGGGATAGTAAAGAAAATAAAAGTCACACTCTACATCATGCCCCACAACCTAAAATAAATAAAAAATAATGGTACATTAGCATTTAATTACCTTTTCCCCAGTCTTCTTGGCGGTGATGATTCATATCTAGAAACTGAACAAGAAACTGATTCTGGAGCTGAAGTGTTTTTTGAGCCTTCTATCCAACTTTCAGTCATTTCAAGCATTAAAAATTCCTCACCTATTGTAAATTAACAAAATGAATTAAAAATAGATACAACTCTAATCTGTTAATTTTTTTAACGCGATGCCATATAAAATAAAGCAAATTTGATACAGTTGGATTGGACCATACATCGAATTTCCACAGTTACACCAAAAGTGTGCTTACAAAAGCATACAAACATTTCATAGTTCAAACAGAAGGCGTTAAATACTGTTCCATATGAGAACATATTGCAAGGAGTTCAGTAAATAGTTTCTAATTTCATGTGATTAAAAAAGCAAATAGCAATTGAATTTTCATTTTGCATTGCAGGCTTTTCAGAAGTACTTATGCTTTTAATAGCGGACATCTCAGATATACAGTTAGTTAGAAGGATACTCTTAGGGTGATAAGACTAAAATGTTTAATACATATTCTGCCAATGATTTGTTTACATAGCATATAGTCCCATAGTCTCACATCTATAAATGTGCCCCTCACATTGTACTAAGTTCATTTGATTCTGATACATTCAAACACTGATGCACCATGGCACATACAAATCATTAACATTTAAGAGATAAAACTATTTTATACACATCTACGATAAGATTGTAGCAAACAATATACAACAACTATTATCCTTGGTTATACACCGGTGAAGGAGTCCTTACATACATGGTAAGAGAGGAAGCTTTGAACAACAATGTAGAGTGAATGTCTGCAAAATTTTAGGAAGGCATAACACACGAACTTACTTTCACAAGTTTATAAGTCCTACAGATTACCATATATAGGAAAATAGCTCCGTCACATATACTGGTCCGCACATATGAGAGACGAACTAAAATGTGGAGAACCATTGATCAACAACACCGACGGAATCAGAATATTGATGGGGGTATGGGAAACCTATTGAGATCTGCATAGAACTCTATAGCAGGTCATAATGCTATGCCTATTTAGCTGCACGTGTAAGCAGGAATGACCTAACATGGGACATGGATGTTCAATTGAAAGGAACCTCCAAAATTTCTGAACAGCAAACGGCAGTTCACCGTGCAGAAACCAAACCGAATGGGGGTTGGAGCATCTTGTTCTCTCCCTATCAGATGCAGGATTTTGTCACCAGAAACGGCACCGAGCATATGTCCTCAACGAGAAACCCCACCTCCAAACTCAAAACGTTGGCATTCCTTTCCCCAACTTTACATGACATCTTCTCACCGAACCCAATTCTTGCCAAATACTACGACGCTAGGATGGTTCATGCATCAGACACCCATTGTCATAGCGCCATTCTACAGATGGCCAAATTCGATTCTAGAAAAACTGACAAAATCCAAATTCGAAACTACATGCGCAATCGACACCCAAGGATAGGCATGAATTCCCGAATCAACAAAAAAAAAAGAAGTTGCATAGGATTGAACCATACGTGGAGCCTGGAGTGGGTGGGGGCGTCGCGCCGCCGAGCCGAGGCCAAGGCAGCGCCGGCTGTTCTCTCACCCGCGCGGTCGTGCGAGCCGTGGCCGAGCAGCGGGGGCGCTGCGACGGGCGGTGGGCGCGGCGCCGTGGCCCTCGACGCAGGGCGAGGATGTAGCCGGCGGCGGCGCCGGGGACTCGGTTGGGAGCGGAGGAAGGGGGGCGGAATAGGGAAGCGGAAATGGCCGGTTTGGTGGCCGGCGGCTGTGATTCGGTGATTTGCCTGTTAATAATAATAAGGCTATTTTTGGTAACTGTTGCTCATGTGATGCACACTGTGTTTCTCTTTTGTTTTATGTTGCAAACCACTATTGAACTCTGTACCTGATATTTTAACCCTTTTTTTTTAGAAAAGTTCTGTCACACTTGTAAAACTTTGATAATAGAATAAGTTTATGATGTTATAATAAGTTTTTTTGAGAAATAAATTGTGCACATCATTTTTTTGTGTTTTTAAACTAATACTATCTCCGTTTCAGGTTATAAGACTTTCTAGCATTGTCCACATTCACATAGATGTTGTCTAGATTAATTAACATCTATGTGAATGTGGACAATGCTAGAAAGTCTTATAATATGAATCGAAGGGAGAGTATTTGAGAAATAACTGGTTATTGATAGTTAAAAGTTTTAAAAAATAAAATAAAATTCTGTTTTAAAACATTTTAGATACAACTATTTTATAAAAACTATCAAATTGTTGTAACTTTTAATTAAACATTTTAGAGAACTGCAACAACAATGTATATTTCTATTATAAAGCTGTAAGCCCGAGCCTACATGTCATATAAAGATGTAATAATCATGCCATTGCATATCGGACTCACATGTCACGCGTATACAGGGAGTTAAAGTTGTAATTTTCTGATAAGAAAATGTTTGTTGTTGTTGCGGTATTGTGAAATACTTAGTTTTTCTTTAAATAATGTTGTGAAATTAGGTAAAGCTTATAGCAACTGATAGTTTTGACCAAATAATCGCAGTTTTGTGAATTTACTCAAATATTAATGACCTGTAAGCTACAACCATCATAAGTTTTTAAGTTTCACCGTAAAAAATAAGCATGGCATAGCATAACAGAAACCTTGATTTGATATTGTAGAAGTACAATACAGATGCAATCTACGATATAGGTTGTAGGAAAATTTTGTTCTTCCTCTCTTTAGGTTCCTTTGTGACGCAAATACTCCCTCCGTTTTAGGTTATAAGATATTTTCGACTTTAGTCAAAGTCAAACTGCTTTAATTTTGACCAAGTTTATAGAGAAAAATAGTAACATTATCAATCCAAGATAAAAAATCATGCATTTTTTCTCCATTTCAAAGGAGGCCCTAGTTTTGGCTCTTTGAACGCCGTCTTGTTTCTTTAGGCGAATCAATTTTGTTTTGGCTCTCAATTGTACTAGTCCCTCTGTCAAGACAAAACAAAAATAACAAAAACAAAATTAAGTGTTGAAAAAGATTGCTTTCTAAATGTTTTAACAGTAAAACCACATATTACACCACTCTGGTATCTCAGCGTGTGGATACCTGATCTCAGTAATTTTGAGCTATGTAATTTCAGTTGAACAGATCCCAATATATCGAACAAAGTCTAAAAAAAGGAATCAATTTAGTCTTATTGACAATGTGGCCGATTTCTTGCGGCGTGTAAACTTTGTTTGAAGACATGCCATTTACAAACCCCACATAAATCTTCTTATCCAGTGTTACATATTTACATGTGTAAATAGCTAACTAGTGTTCAAAACCAGTAAATATAAACGCTAGCTGCACATAAGTCCTACTGTTCATGTGACCAAACAGGACACAGCTGCTATGTCCATTAAAAGAAGGCTCAAACAAAAGAGGACAAAATGTTGTTATGCAGCGGGTCCGACAAGTGTTCAACAAGGTTCTGAATAGGACCCTTGCCAGTTACAGCTGCCTGGATGTAGAAGCCGAGCCATGCAACCATTGCCAGGCGACCGTTCTTGATCTCCTTCACCTTTAGATCTTCGAACGCGACTGGATCTTTGGAGAGCCCCAAGGGATCGAAGAGTGCTCCTCCCGGGTAGTTTATGTCTCCCGGAAGATATAATCCCAAGGGTTCTAGAGCCTCAATCCCGCAGTACCTTGCATATTCTGGACCAACCTAACAAGTCATGGGGTGAAAAAACCGTTATCAAATGCGCTGAATAATTGGAAACAAAGAACTAACAAGAGAATGATGTAACAGCAGAATAATCCTACAATACTGATGAATATACGTGAGGTGACTGTTGACAACTCCAAAGTGTTTGAAGAAGTACACAAGGAAGAGAAAAAGAAAGTACATGATTAAAAGAAAAAAAAAACTTTATGTTACCATCAAAAGGGCTTGACAGATAGCGATGACAATGACACCCTGACCACCAGCGATTCGGAAACCAGGAATTCCAAGGTAATCAAGAGTGTCACCCTGTAAAATTAACTCATTGGTTGAATGAAACAAATTAACACAACTAAGAAATAATCAATTTCCTTATCCAGCTCGCCATTTTTGTTGGTAGAGCATGCAAATCTGTTCACTGGCAGCAAGAGTTACATATCTAGTTTGTTTCCAAGCTGAACTGTATGTCAAAGGAACAAACAGAAATTCCAACAAAAAAAGTCTGAAAGGTCCACATGCATGGCAAGTGAGAACAATTGGTGGGATGTTTAGTCCTATATTGCTAGTCTAGATGGAAGGGGTGCAATCTATAAGGATGGGCTATTAGACATGCAATTAGCACTGATCTGATGGTTTGTTTTGATCTGACGGTCAATTGTGTGCTAAATGAACTGAGGCATGGATATTTGAGTAGTACAACACTGAAACTTACCTGAAGTTTTGCGTAACCAACTTTCCACCAAACAGGCTCGACAAAATGGACTACTCCAAAAAGATCTAACAGTTCAGGAACAACAACACCAAGAGCAGCAAGCATGGCCCACCGACAATGCAAGATCTCAAAGCTGCAGGCAAGATCATCAGTGAAAATGAGGAGTTGAAATTGTGAATAGGAAGAAAGACACAAGCTACAACAAGAGAAGTTCAGATCACGATGTCACAAGAAACTTTGGGTTTACAGGAGCTACTGCAAACAACATTACAAAAAGACTTGATTCAGTTAACTCACTGTTACAATTTAGAAGGCATAATAATATTGCCACTTTCAATAGTCCTAGTACCCCAATTATCACGTAGGTGGTCCAGCCTGTCAATACCAGTTTCTGGTACACAAAGGAAATGATTTACTATTATAAGCTATATACGCACTGGAGCAGCTTAACCCTGAAAAAGAGGCATGGACGTCACCAAAAACAGAACCTTATCCATTATTGAACAGATGCATTCTATGTACATTCAACAGTACGAGTCTCTATTCTAACATAGAAGATCCTCGGGGAAAATGAAACTCAAAGACACAGATAGCATATTTTTATGCAACTATTTTAGTCTAAAGTATGAGGAGCAAAGTGGAGCACAAAGACATGAGTGTATAAAAATTAAATCATGTGAAACATGTTTTTATAATTTTTTTAAAAAATGATCTAGCTTCTACATAAAACAAACAAGTTTTATTTGTATATTGTACATCTGCATGAGCAACCTCACGCAAAGCTATCAAACAATCTTGTAGACAACGAGTTCTTTGTACACGTTAAAAATAAACCAGGATTGGTGCATGGAAAGCTATTTTGCAGTACTAAAGGAAGCGTGACAATTGTTGGCATTTAACAATTGAGTACATTTTACTTCCTGGAAGGAAATATACAAACACATAATCAGAAAGAACAGTGAACAGGAAGGTGCACACCTGATTACTTAGCATTTAGGACCGAATACAATGTGGAGCAGACAAACTAGATAGTTGCAATTTGCAAGCTGCCATCAGGCCCTAACCAGTACTCTTCTACTATCTTTTTTTATTTGCAAAGTAATATAAATTCTCAAATGTAAATGGATCAGAAAATTGCAACAGTGACATACTTGAAGTAGTTTGCGAAAGCAACGGGATCCCTGCCCAGGCCTGCAATATCGAACCCGTAATCGCCAGGGTACTCTCCGGTGAGATGCGCCGGGTACTCGTACGGCACGGGGCCTAGCCACCGCGGCCGTTCATCCCCATACCACGAGCTTCAAAAGCAATCGAAATGTTTAGCAGCTTGAGCTTATAGCTAGCTGATGCAAGGCCGGTAATCTCTGCGAGTGTAGTTGTACTACCTGGCGGTGCGGGCTTGGCGCGCGGCGGAGCGGAGGGCGTCGGCCTCGGCGGCGGCGGCGGCCTTCCGGTCGTCGAGGCGGCGGCGGAGGCGGGCGCCGAGGGGGCTGTTGGCGAGGGCCTTGACGGCCGTGAAGGGCACGGCGGAGAACACCAGCACCCCCGCAAGCTCCTGCCACGACGCTCGCACCGGCGCGAGGCCGGCCCTGCGCCGCCGCCGCCGCCGGGAGAGGGACCCGGCGGCGACGGCGGCGGGTGGCGCGGGTGAGCGGAGGCGCAGGAGGAGTGGTGGAGGCATTGGTGGGACCCACCTGTCGGCGTCGAGAAGGTTAATAGCGAAAGGAGAGCGAGAAGAGGTGGGACGGACACGTGGCGCGATGCTGATCACGAGCCGTTGCACGGTCTTGGCTCGCGGGATCTTCTGTGCTGGCGGCAGCACTGTTTAATGCACAAATTTGGATAATTTGACTCTTTGCAAAAACTAATTATACAAATGAAATGAACCGTGACTAAAACTTAATTAAAAAATGACCTTTTTGTTCAGCGTCAAATCTCATGGTGCTGAATTTAGACATCTCAGCACCAAATAGCACGGCGCTGAATGCACGTTGGCACGTCGACTCAGACTTATCCATGGTGACACGACATTTAGCGCCAGTTGATGTGGCGCTGAGGTGTCTTAAGTTCAGCGCTATGGGATTTAGCGATGAATAAAAGGGTCATTTTTAAAATAAGTTTTAGCCACGATTTATTTGTATAATTAGTTTTTGCAAAAGATCAAATTGTCAAAATTTGTGTGTTTACTTTGCCAATTCTATTGTAATACCCTGACTCATATTACAAGTCGTTTAATTTTTTTATTAAGTTTGAGTAAAATTTTGTAACATATAAAATATAGTTTTATTAATATAATATTAAATATATTTTATATTTTGTTTCTTTTTATTGAAAATACTACTATATTTTTCTATATTTTTGGTCAAATTCAAAAAAGTTCGATTAAGGGAAAGGTCAAATGACTTAATATGAAACAGATGGAGTAGTACTTATACTTATAGATACCACCTTACTTCGTCCCAAAATATTGGGTGTGTTTAGTTCACGCTAAAATTGGAAGTTTGGTTGAAATTGGAACGATGTGATGGAAAAGTTAGAAGTTTATGTATGTAGAAAAGTTTTGATGTCATGGAAAAGTTGGAAGTTTGAAGAAAAAGTTTGGAACTAAACAAGGCCATTGTTACCTACTCCCTCTGTCGCAATAAAAAACGAATCTATGATTGGATGTGACACATTCTAATACAACGAATCTGGACAGAAATATGTCCAAATTCATAGTAGTAGAATATGTCACATCCAGTACTATGTTAGTTTTTTATGAGACGGAGGGAGTACATGATATAAGCTACTTTTAGGCCCAGTTCGATACTTCGATCTCCCATTTTGGAGATTGATTTTTGTTGCTAACAAAACGATAAACCTTATTAGCACATGATTAATTAAGTTTTAGCTATTATAAATTTGAAAAGTTGATTTATTTTCTTTTTTAAACAACATCTATATAGAAACCATTTTATAAAAAAAAAGCATCATTTGACAGTTTGAAAAGCGTGCAAAGGGAAAACGAGGAAATTGAAGTTTGGAGTTGAAGAATAGAACGGAGCCTTAGAGTTTATTCAGATTCGTAATACTAAAATAAAATCACATCCTATACTATGCTGGTGTTTGAAACCTATGTTGATAAAGATGAAGATTAAGTGTTTTACGTAAAATGAGATGGTATTAACGTAGGATTAATTGATTTTTAATTATTATAAACGTGAAAAATATATTTATCTGATATTTTAGAGCGACTTTCATATAGAAAGTTTTTACACGAAATATACCATTTAGCGGTTTGAAAAGCATGTCACGAATATCTAAATTTTCATTCAACTTTTATGGGAGAAAAAAAGGGGCCTATGTAGCAATATTTAGAAACGGATGTAATAGCGTAGAAAATAGATCCCTTTATTTTCTGATGCGATACCTTGAAAGTTGAGGGAAATCACATTATGGGGCATTTGCATAATATCAATATATCAAAATAAAATACGCGCGACATGTGATTGCGTCTGTAAGCGGCTAAAGATTGGAACGTACCTCTCCGGCTCTCCGTACCAAGAAAAGCTAACTTGTGTCTATGTTTATAGCTTATAGCTAAAAGTTAGTTTTTTCTATAAGATAGATAGTGTATATCACTCCCAACCAAAGAAATGTCGATGCAATTGGATGAAGCTATGAGAGCAGAGAGCAGTATAACTAAAGTTACAAACTAGCATGCTATAAAGCAGCGTGGGAGATTATATTTTGCATCGGGCTTTAATTTTTGAGAGCAAATATCACACACAACATGCTGACGTAATTGCACATGGCATATTTTATTTTGATATATTGATTTATTCTACAAATGGCGCATTAATGTGACTTTCCTCACTATTTCAGCTTCTCTCTTAATTTCAACATAACATAAATCACGTAGCATTTCATCTTTGGATTCAAATGATAAAACTCTCATAGCTTCATGCGTTTGTCTCAACATTGCTTTGGTCAAGAATGTGTTGTGCCAATTTCCAGCCACCTGAGGAGACTGACATGGATACAGTTTATGTGTTGATTTATGTGTTGATTCCTATGGCTGCTACAGTTTCAACACTGTGCAGGTTGAAGCTATTCCAGACAATAACACAAAGAAGAGGCATCGGATCAACTCGGCATATACATGTAAGTCATTTGCATTTAGTAAAAACAAAGGATGCATATTTCACGCATGGATGTTTGAATATTTCATCCGACAAGTAAGAAAAAAACTCAAAACTAATTACAAACAAAAGAACAATAGGAATTTGCAATTTCACACCAGAGGAAAGTGTTGTGCATCTGAACAATGAACATATATGATGAAAGAGCAGGCATGCATACTGCATTCACTAGGCATGAAAATGAGAATATTGACATACCAATGCAAAGGTCACCAGTGTGGAAAATACCAATATACTATCCCCTCGGTCATTTGACATATGGTTCTCAGGCTCATATATAATGCATATATTGGATACAATTTTCTAGTCTTGAATAAATAATATTGTGCTGGAAACTCAAATTAGTATTTGCAGGCAGACATTGAACTGAACTTTAAACCGCTTAATTTGCTTACGGTGCACTAGAAGAGGCATACTCGAGCAATTAGTCTGTCTAGTCATGGCATTATGGAAAGAATAAATAAGGAAAATGCTGTGCAAAGTTGATCAAGTACAATGTCTTCCATGGTTTTCTATGACCTGACCGAAAACAACATATAACTTAACAAGCTGGATCAAGCAATAGTCAGATAATTCAAATGTCTGGATCAAGCAACGACCAGATAATACAACTGGCTGGTTCAAAACTACTCCCTGTGCTCTCAACTCTGTGATGATTTCAGCTGAACCAATGTACCATGTATATTTATGAAAAGGATACCTAAACCTTTTATGAGGGCCCAGCTGAAATTCAAAATGTAACAGACTCTCTAACAAATCTGTAGAAATACACCTAAAAGTGATTCATAAACTACAAGGACAAGTAGTAAAAATCATGCAAAGGCTGGGCTGAATAGCCTCATCCAACATTGAGTTCTTCTTGAGAGCATTAAATTAATTAAGACACTCACAAATCACAATGTGAAGCCATAACATGCTTTGAGAACATTTTACATTTCAACTCATGATGGCATAAAGGCAAAAATAAACACAGTCGCCACTCATCTCATTATTGCAAGAAACAGATATACATAAGTACGTAACTCCTATGAAAAAGCAGTGAGTAATGAGATTGTCATACGTACATGAGCGGTGCATGATATACATCCACTTTCTGGTTAGAGTTTGTAATCACATTTCAGTTATCCATCTACTAAGTACTGGCAAGCGCCTGTTGTATCTTATCAGCAACAATCGTTGCAACGATTGCTGGTGAAAACCTCTCAACCATATCCTCCCTTGCCTTCTTACCTTTTCTCCTCGCTTCTTCTCGATCACTGAATACATGTCTCATCAAAGTCCTCAGCCGATCGACAGATGGCTCAGCACAGAGATGACCCTTAAATGGCCCTTCTGTGACCTCAGTCAGCCTGTCAATGTCCAATGGGTACCCATTCTCCTCATTCAAGTACTCTGTTGGACCTGACCAATTCGTCACAATCACCGGCAGTTCCATGGACATGGCTTCGACCACCGGCCTGCCCCACCCCTCACCACGGGATGGTAGCACAAAGGCATCTGCAGCCTTGTACAACCTTGGAAGAGCAGACTGTGGGATATGCTCATCGATCAGCCGAACTTCTGCCCATCCATCCATAGGCTTCTCAATGCTGGAATCTTTGACGAAGCTACGGATTTTCCTATCGAAGTCTGTGTCAGAGTGGTAAGCATTGATCAGTAGGTAAAGCACAACATCATCGGCTCCAGAGAACTCCTGCAAGAAAGCTCTGAGCAGCACATCCCACCCCTTCCTCTGCTCCCATTTGAACACACTGAGGAACACAAAGCCTTTCCCTTTGGAGTTAACAGGGTCCAATCTTGAATCATCAGGCACCATCACAGGCACACCGATCGGCAAAGGAATGGCGGCGTGCTTCGCCGGATCGAAGAATCCTACATCCACAGCCTGCACAACCTTGACGACCTTGGAGGGATCCACCCCGCTCTTCACGAACGTCGACACATGGAATTCCGTCGGCACCCAGACGGCGTCCATCTGGTTGCACCGCCTGACGTGCTCCGGCGAGACGCGGTCAGTCTCAAACATTGTGCGTCCAATGACGAAAGCCGGCTCGTCGTAGCCGGTGGGCGGGCAAGGCAGGGACTCGTACATCGGCGGGTACCACGCGCCAGGCTCGCTGTGGCACACAACCACGGCGCGGGAGAGCTCGCACCGCGCGGTGGCGAGCCTGTAGGCCATGTTCTTGGACTCCTCGGGCAAGCCGAGCCAGAACTCCGGCGACTCCAGGTCGCCGTGGTGGGCGATAGCGAGCGTGAAGTTCGCGGCGGCAGCGTCCGCGGCGTGTTCCTCAAGCGAGGCGACGTAGGACCACGCCTCGGAGCAGTAGCCACCGCCGGAGGCGAAAGGGGCCATCCATAGAACACATGGTGGGCGTCGCGCGTCGGGCGAGGTGCCGGACGGGGGACCTCTCTCTTTCGAGCGGAGGAGGGAGGGATTTGGCCCGAGGAGGGAGCGGAGGAGGCGGGGGAGAGGATTGGGGGAGGTGGCGAGGAGGACGGCGACGGCGACGGCGAGGAGAGCCGGCACCGAGAGGAGGCGGCGGCGGCGGTGGGGTTTGGGTTCTGGAGGGGGCGTTTGGATCGGAGAGCCTGGCATGGCGAGTGGGAGGAGGAGGAGGAGGCGGCTGGGTTGGCCTGGGTCACCGGCGGCGAGCTCACTCCTCTCGTCGGCGGCGAGGCAGATCGGCAGGTGGCGAGACCCAGCACGAACAGTAGAATGCCATCCTATGAGACTGGATCCAAAATTGGGTTTCGTCAAATTTTGCATACGTGCCATCTTTTTTTTTTTAAAAAAAAAACTTGGCTGAAATACTAACACCGAAATTGGTTTCGATAAAATAGTACTCTCAGTTAGGACGTCTTCATCGGAATGCTATCCTACTTTCTCCTCCCTTAGAAACCGGAAAAGATTGTCGACCACCACCAAACGCCATGTCCATCGCCAACTGCTCACCTGCCCCCATCGTTTTCTTTTATGTGTCGTCTTACAACATCTCGGGAATTATCGATCACCACCACACTAAGCACCAATCCACATAATTGTATTCCCCTTGAAACGATGTTCTGGTCTCCTCCAGCTCGTCGCACATTGCAGCAGCGTTAGTGGTGTCCTCGTTGTCTGCGGAGGCATCCGCAAGTGAGGCCGGCGCCATTCCTCGCCTCGCAGCAGCCGCAATAGATGTTGATGCCGTCCCTCGCATCGCTGCCGCTGCTGCAGATCGTGTGTTGTCCTTCGCCTCGTCACCTCCGCTGCGGATCACGGCCTCGGCGCCATCCCCGCCTCGCCATTGCTACTGATCTCGGCATTGGTGTTGTTCCTAGAGATGGCAATGGGCCCCCGTTCCCCGTTTCACCACGGGGAATTCACCTATTAGCAGGAGGGGATGGTTAGAATTGGTTCTCCATGGGAAACTAAATGGGAGGAGACATGTCCCCGTCAGTTCTCGCCGCGGTGGGGACGGTCCTCTATTCCCCGTCCCTACCCCTTGAGGTGACCCGCAAGTTTAATTTTTTTCACTTATCTTATGTAATTATGTTACTTGATAATTGATAATCTCGTGTTTTTATCATAAATTAGTAGATATATTTATATAAAGTATGAATATATGTGTTACATTATAGATAATTTAACATGTATATATTGTTCTACGCGGGGATGAAGACCCCACGGGAATTAATTCCCCGTGCACGGGCGGGGATGGGAACCAAGTTTCCCCGTTGTATCTCGCGGGGACGGGGATGGGGAAAAATTTTCTCAGGGGGCGGGGCTGGGGATGTATTCCTCGGCGGTGAATTCCCTGTTGTCATCTCTAGCTGTTACTCGCGACTTCGTTGCTGCTGTGGATGGATCCCAACTCCGTCCCTCGTTGGTAGCCATCTAAAAAATGTTGTGTCTGCTGCAACGGGTGAATGCCATGGTCACCGATGAGTTGCTCTGATGCTGAAAGGAGGAAGTAGATATACTTAGAGGAAGGAAGAATCAGTCCAAGAGGGAACTTAGATGAGTCTGAACTTCCTTTTCTAGCTCAAGAAATCCTCTCAATAGGGATTGGGCAAGCAAGTTGTTTGTTTATTTGATCGTACGCGGTTGTGAGATGGGACGTGAAGTCAACCAAGTACATGTGTGTTCATAGTGTCCCCGGCACCTTCCTCCTAGCCGAGTATGGATGCTAAAGTTAGCTGGAGTGTGGGGCGAGCGCGTGGTAGATGGAACTCCTATTTACCGCATTTATTCTTGCACTTCCAACTTGAAGAGGAAGAAGCATCTGTTTTTGCATGTTCAATAGATGGGACAAATGATCTTGACCTGAAGCCTTTAACCAAAGAAAGGGAGAGTTGGTGAAGTCAGAGGTGTTCCCTAGATTCATGGAATGACTTTTTTACTCTAAGGTTTCAAATTGATCGAGAAATGAATGATGAGTTGTTTAAGTTCCTGTTGAATCCGCTATGATCGATGTAGGTAGAAAGGGCATAAAGCCTCAGAATGCGGAAGGGAGCAGCAGGAAATATATTTTGTAGGGAAGTGGGGCATAAAGTGTCTATCTGTGCCAAGCAAATGCCATTGAAGCTGGCCTAGAGAGAAAAAAAATGGAAAAAAGAATGTCCTTTTATTCTCCCAAACAAGGCGATCAAGTTTGAAAAGAAGATAGATAAGTTCCTTGTGGTCAAAGCTTCAGAAAACCTCATGGCAGCCGGCCGACGTGGAGTGGGAACTTTACTACTGTCAGGGTTATGGATACCGCATACCTAATAGTAGTTGACTAAATCTCGGCAGGACCCACCACATACCATGTCCTATACGGAAACAACCTTCGGATATAGGAGGAGTTCCGATAAGGAAAGACAACCAGAGTTCTACATGGAAACGACAAGGACTATTCGGATTGTATCCATATTGGTTTCCCTAGTTCTACTTGGACAAGGGGACACCTATGGGTATAAATACAATACCCCTAGGAGGGGAAGAGAGCAGACACCCACCAGGGAGAACCAACATAATCAACATGCACCCACCAGAAGCCACAACATACAAGCCAACATACGCCAAGACAAGCCGCCGGATATCGACATCAGAGATACGCCTGGATCGACCCTATCCGGTACCTTCAGAGGCCGGCCGTAGGGATCTAGCACTGTCTCTGATTCCGTCGGGCGCGAGCTCGAGGATGAAGGCTACCCTGTTGTCGACTACGAGTCAGACCTTCAGACCGCCATGTCGACAACAGTTAGATAGGCTACCCCATATATTGTACTGGTGTGATTATGGTGAATAAAAAGCAACATCGGCTCCGGCCAACAGGATGTAGGGCTATTACCTGATAGCTCAGGGGCCCGAACCTGTATAAAAATCCTCGTCCCTATCTCTTTTACCTCAGTCTCGCGTATATCCTAGCACCGACGATCCCCATACTATGCAAATACCAGAATTGCGACATCAAACGTCGACAGTGGCGCGCCAGGTAGGGGGATTTTGATACTTCAGGATTTCGACGAGATGGGTTTAAGAGATGGACTTCGGCAACAAGCTACTCGACGACTTCGGCTGTGGGGAGATCCAACCTGTCCAAGTACATCTTCCGACTAGATCGGAACCATCATCGTCATCGACAACTTGGTCTATCAAGATCATCCAAGCCTCAAGCTCCGCGGCGTACCAAAAGGTGTCAGATCGCCTGATATCGAACGAGTACGCAGCAAGGTAATTGGTAGATTGGTTTTTTAAATTGATCTACTAATTTCGTAGATATCCGGTATGTATCTACAAAGGTACGCAATATTTTATCTGCAATTTATCGTACCTATTCAGATCATACAGTATTGTCAGATCCATAATTTATTATGTTTACCCAGAGCATGCTTTTAATACAATAATATCTGTTGCGCGGGTGTCCCCGATGTTAAATCGACTACGATCTAACGCTGGGGGCTCGCTCCGTCTTCTTCTGTATAAGTCATGCTTGTTTACGGTTTACATAATGCTTGATATTTACATCTGCTCGTTATATCTTGATAATACTAGAAGATCCATGCAGTTTTTGAGTACATACTCGATATTATCTGCTATATGTCTTGCCTTCTAGAAAATAATTTTCAGGAACAACTGAGCACTCGAGTAGGTTGTGGTCGAGTATACTCCATTATCGAGAACACTCGACAAATACGGAGTTATCGCACCCAACCTACCAACGAAGACCGACGACCTATCTCATAGCACCGACCATCGCTGGACTACTCGAGAAAAGGTTGTTAACGGATAATTCCTCGCGAACGTCGTTGGCTTGATCACCTGACATGATTGCGAGCGGACATCCGGATATGCTATAAGTTGGGTATGTGAGTCATGCTGGCCACATGATATGCACATGTAATAAACCAACTTTAGCGCCCCTATAGGTGATTAAGAGACTCCTACTCCTGGTTCTCGAACCAGTAAAACGTAGTGATCTCTCTCGCCTCACTTTAAGTGGTCGAGTTACGACTACTGCCTGGTCCCCGACCAGCGATGTAGCGTTTCTCCCACTACTTCCACTTTAAGTGGTCGAGTTACGACTACTGCCTGGTCCTCGACCAGCGATGTAGCGTTTCTCCCACTACTTCCACTTTAAGTGGTCGAGTTATGACTACTGCCTGGTCCTCAACCAGCGATGTAGCGTTTCTCCCACTACTTCCACTTTAAGTGGTCGAGTTATGACTACTGCCTGGTCCTCGACCAGCGGTGTAGCGATTCTCCCACTATTTCTATTTCTAGTGATCGAGTTGCGACTACCACCTGGTCCTCGACCAGAGGTGTAGCGATTCTTCCATTACCTCTACTCCAACAAAGTTGACATCAGATACACAATATCGCCAAGTGTTTTACCCAGAGATCCCTTACCACAAAAGACACCTAGCGTTGAAACCTGTCCTAATGTCCCTTTACGCCGTCTTGACAAGGCCTCCGAGGAACCTAAGAGAACTTCGGCTGGGGACGCCTAGAGCCGATAAGACCTTGTCGGATCCTTCAGAGACGAAAGACCATGTAAGATCTGGTCGTGTAAGAGTTCTCACTGTGCGTATTAACCAAGCCGTGTAATCGGAAATTGAGTTTTCCAACTTCATGGCTGGGGGCTAGGATCAGTGCTTGTTCAACCGAGGCAGGTCAAAGGTCTAAGAGCCTTATCTTTCGAGAATGATTCTCCGACGATAAGGCTGGGGGCTAGGGAGAGTGTATGACTCTACAAACTGACTGATCAGAGTCGGTAAGAGAGAAGACGCTCATATACAAAACACTAGAAAATTCTATTCGACGTTGACGAAGGCTCCATGTCTCTATGGTTCTACACCAAAGTCGACTAAGGCGAGTACGACAAATGTTGACAAGGCTCCGTCGCAGACTCTACGCCTTCTCGATCACTCGAGAACGGTTTGGTGGATCTCGACAAGGAATACGGAATGAAGAAATGGTGTACCCGCCGAGATAAAATTTCTTGACTTCAATCCAAATTCTCGATTACAGCAAGACGAGAGACTTAGTCGTACGCTCTGTACTTTCTCGGTCGACATCAGAGATTGACTTAGACAAACCCTTTCGGTGCCCGCACGAGGCTGATAAAGGAAGTCTAACGTTATCTCTAAACTCACCGAGAACGGTCACGTGAGCTTGATAACAGTTCCTCCGAAGTCTGCGGTTGAGAATATGAACTCGTTCATTTGCATTGAAGTCGGGGGCTACTGTCAGGGTTATGGATACCACATACCTAATAGTAGTTGACTAAATCTCGGCAAGACCCACCACATACCATGTCCTATACGGAAACAACCTTCAGATATAGGAGGAGTTCCGATAAGGAAAGACAACCAGAGTTCTATATGGAAACGACAAGGACTACTCGGATTGTATCCATATTGGTTTCCCTAGTTCTACTTGGACAAGGGGACACCTATGGGTATAAATACAAGACCCCCTAGGAGGGGAAGAGAGCGGACACCCACCAGGGAGAACCAACATAATCAACATACACCCACCAGAAGCCACAACATATAAGCCAACATACGCCAAGACAAGCCGCCGGATATCGACATCAGAGATACGCCTGAATCGACCCTATCCGGTACCTTCAGAGGCCGGCCGTAGGGATCTAGCACTGTCTCTGATTCCGTCGGGCGCGAGCTCGAGGAGGAAGGCTACCCTGTTGTCGACTACGAGTCAGACCTTCAGACCGCCATGTCGACAACAGTTAGATAGGCTACCCCACATATTGTACTAGTGTGATTATGGTGAATAAAAAGCAACATCGGCTCCAGCCAACAGGATGTAGGGCTATTACCTGATAGCTCAGGGGCCCGAACCTGTATAAAAATCCTCGTCCCCATCTCTTTTACCTCAGTCTCGCGTATATCCTAGCACCGACGATCCCTATACTATGTAAATACCAGAATTGCGACATCAAACGTCGACAACTACTATTGGCGCGACAAATGGAGATCACTGGTGAGGAGCATGGGGGAAAGTAGATTCTTGGTTGAATTTCAACGCTCTAGGCTCTTGAGATGGGTTCCCTTGAAACAAATAGACGGTTTCTTCACTTTGACCCCAGACCCCTGGAGATGGAGAACCCTAAGGATATGTTTGATACATGGCTCATGATGAAAAGATCTCCGTTCAGTTATTGGACGTGGAATCTCAATAAAGATGAGTATTCTGTTCTCAATTCCGATTGAATGGACATCTGTTTTATTTAAGAATTAGATCCCCAAGTAAGGCACTAGTCTCATATTCTATGGATGCCCATAATCGCTTGTGAAAGAATCAACTCTTCTTTGCGTGTTCACAACTGTATCTAGTACTGTTACAGATTTCCTCATTTTCTTAATGCATAAGAAATCATTGTTACACAAGTATTCACCCTTGCTGGCTCTCGTAAGCAGTGTTATAGTTGGAATAAGAGCTGCTCGAGAAAAAGCTATAGCTGTGGTTGAGCTAGCTTGCCATTGTTGGAAGAAGGATGACCGTCGTCGCCGCCGTTAAGTTACCCCTACCTCCTCTCTCTCTCCCTCATGCATCCCGATCCTGGAGGGAATGGGCAAAAACTTGAGAGTATTTTAGTTACCTGAAGGCTAGCAATCCCATGAAAGAAATCACCAAATCAAAAAATTTCACCACCTTTACAATTTAAATTAATTAATTCGTCAAAATTCAAAGTACATCGACCGTGATCACCTTCTAAGGCTTAATCCTCTAGAAATTAATTTGACAGGAATCAATCAACATACATACACATCATCGAAACCGTCCGCTGCCATATATACGTACGTACATGTGTAAGAATACACGTATACGTATTAGTTACTCCCTCCGTTTCATATTATATAAGATGCTTGATCTTTTTCCTAATTAATTTTTTAAAATTTTTTATTGAGTTTATAGAAAACAATAGCAACATCTAAAACATCAAATTAGTTTTGTTAAATCTAACCGTAAATATATTTTGATATGAAAAATGTTGCTATGTTTTTTCATAAATTTGATCAAAATTAAGATGGCTAGTTTGATATGAAACGGAGGGAGTAATTGTGTGTGCATGCATGGGTGCTACGCCATGAGGTAGTCGGTGAGGCCGTTCATGGCGCGGCCGACGTAGGGGTGGCGGTGCGACTTGAACCAGCAGCGGCGGTTGAACACCAGCAGCATCTTCTGGCACTCGTGCTGCGGCAGGTCGCCGAGCAGCCTCCTCCCGCCGCCGCCCGAGCGGCCGTCGACGAACATCTCGTGCCCGTCGAACACCATGTTGCAGCCGCCGCCGCGGCGGCGGCACTCGCCGGAGGTGGCCTCCCGCCACGACGAGCTGAAGAGGGTGACGCCCTTCAGGTAGTTCCCCGCGCACGCCCACTTGCAGACGAGGCGGGCGTTGGGCGCCGGCTGCAGGTACGGCAGCTGCACCTCCCTCCCGGGGTCGGCGCGGAAGCTGTGGTAGAACTCGCTCCGGCCGCCGCCCTGCACGGCGTAGCAGCTCAGGTGCATGTTGTCCGACATGCGGTTGTCCACGAAGATGTGGTAGTCCTCGTCGGAGTTGGACTCCCAGCTGGACACGGCGCCCTCCGCCGCCGTCGCGGCGAGGAGGAGGAGGGCGGCGGCGGCGATGACGGCGGCGTCGACGTGGGCGCTTCGCCGGCCGGCCATCATTGTGGCGTCGTCGTCGGCGCCGGGTTTATTTTTGGTCAAGCTAGCCAGCAGGTGGCCGGCGGTGGACGCCTTAAGTAAGTAATTATTAGCGAGTTTGGGTTAAGGCATGGGTTGACCTTTTTTAGGTTTTGCTTATAATAGGTCAAACCTTTTATTATTTCAGGGCTTTATGAAGGTTTACCACGTGTGTGATTTTCAGTTTTTGGCTTAATTATATTAATCTTAACTAGTGCTTTGCTTATAGAAATTAAAGTCTCACTATTAAAAGCTCATTTTATATCTCAAAATATTTATTCCATTATCTATGTAAAAAAAGAGTTTGTCGCAAGTAAGTTTAATTAAACCTCATATTTTATGGAATTCGTAATATGAGAGTTTAGCAAACTCCATGAAAATTGTCTAAAATGGACTTGATTGTCCAAGCACCTAACAATTTATGAGTCATAACCACACCTCATGGATTCAATTAGGAGGAATCTACGAATCAGGCTTCCAATTTCCTCCAAAAATCTTAGACCATCGATGAAACATTAAGTTATACGCGGTGAAAAAATGAGCGATTAAAACATTTAAATTTTTTTGAAACACTGTGAAAACACGTTAAAACATGTCGCTATTTCATATGAAACATTTATTTTTAATGGTTTTTTTATCAGAATATAATCATACGATATCTTATTATAAATATTTAATTATAACGAATGCAACAGTATAATCGAATCATAAATCGAATAAGTAAATATTTTATAGAAAATATATTTCATATGAAACTAGTTAAGACATGTTATTCTTTTATCATAATATAATTATGCAATATCGTATTGTAGAGATTTAATTATATTAATATATAATACATATAATCGTATAGTAGAATAAATAGTTTAAGAAAAAATATTTAAAGTGAGTAAAAAGGAATGAAGAAAGAAGCTACTAGCTTGCTGCAGCCACCATACCATGCATGCAGCACAGCAGCAGTAGTGAACGACCGATTTTTTTTCTTTGATCGGATACGCTAGCGTGAGTATTCTCCATTCAATCTACGTGTACAAACGGGCCATAAATCCGCACATTCGACGAATTGACAATTTGACATGCACTCAGGGGCCGAATCATGCGAATCACTGACCGAATTCAGACACAGACAGGCTGAAATAACGTGAACTGATCGGTCGAATTGACGGATAATTACGGGCAGAAATTATACAAGCATTCACAGGGCAAATTTTGTGCCTGATTAATGTCTCCCCATATGGGACGTTTCACCACGTCGGGCTAAATTAGAAGCATCGGATTTTTTTACACCATTATTTTTGTGAGCACCAAGAAATACAATGGAATTTCTACCTCCGTAAAAGCCATTTGGGTATTGGGTAAAGATATAAAAAACTGCCTCAATTTTTCTCTACCTTGATGATCATGCAACAAAAGCATAAAAAATTTCAACAGAAGACCTTCGATACAGAATGAACATTAGATGTACATCTCTAGGGACATGTGGATCCAGACCCTAGGGATGCCGACCAGTTGGATCTCCTGCTTCCACATTCGGTGAAAAATTGCACATTCAACACAAGATACCTGAAATCTATCCCATAGTCATATGGTTGGAAGAAAAATAGTCAATGATTACGCCAGTGAATAAACTTAAATGTGAACATGGAATCATAAATCATCGAGCATACTTACAGATGCAAAAGTCAGTCCGTCAAAATCATGTCAGTTGCATATGCAATGCCAAAATTGATAAAGGGCTCCTGTCCTGCTCCATTGAAATCTGTTGTTGATGGAACAGTATGCATCAGAAATGATCTAAACAGCAAATAAAGTAAAAGATCCTAAATCCTAATCCTATTGCAACAAGGCATGAGAAAAATTCTCATGTACCTCTACTTGTAGCCGACTTCTTTCATCAAGTGTCGATAGCTTCGCCCACGTATCGCACGTTGCCATAAGAATGCTATTGATTCTTGAAAGCTCAATTGTAACCTCTGCTGAACAAGCCTAGAGAAATCCATATAAAAGAATAATAATGACATCAGGTCACAAAATATATCTTACAGCATGCACAGTGCACAGAGTACAGGAACGAACCATCGAGCAAGGCAACGCTGAATTCCTCGAGTGATTGGCCGCATGAAGGATGGATCTCTTTGTTGATAAAGTAAACCAACCTAGTAAAATGCAATCATGTAAGGCATGCATCGTACCACTAGATCAATATTGAATAGCAAATAACCAAAATACCTCTGACATGGCGAGTGCAGCAGGATCATCAAATATTTCCAGGCTGTCATCTGCTAGATAATTCACCTGTAAAATACAAACATTAAAGCCACTGAAGTTCTGGAATTCCATAATAAATTGATAATGCAAAATGCCGTAAAATAGATTCTGTAAAAACTAAAAAACATATTATTTTCTCCATGCAACCGAAACAAGAGGAACTTGTAACTCTCAAATACTGTGCCATGCCTATGTCTACTGCTAATAATCAAGAAATGCAGTAGAAAGAAGAGTTTTATTACCCCGAACTCAGTGTTTACAAAAGATTGCACGAAATCCATTAGTTGAATCTTTGCCCACTTATAGGATGCATCAGGGTTACCCCCCTGAGGCGGATGTCTCCATGGTGCACCGAAAGACAATCTATTTTCTGGTACTTTTCCCTCACGGACATCAGATGCGAACTTCTGTACCATTCCTAATGCTGCCTCCATTGCAGGATTCACAACAGAAACCTGTTTGTAAAAAATGAAACGGTCATGTTTTTCTCGTTCCTCTTGTTTTATCTGAAGTTTAGTAATTCTGATATTCATACACAATGAGTCAACGACGATGAAAGATTATAAAACTGAAACTAACTACAGTTTCCAAATTGGAACTAACTCAGATTTGATTTAAACTTTACTTACTTGCAAGTGTGCCAGGTATATGTCGATAATTTCCTCGATATTTTGATCATGCAAAACCCTGTAATGCAATAGATATTAAATAATGATAACAGTAATATGCAACATGGTACAGTTCAAATAACTCAGATATATCATGGATCGTTTTATTATGAAAGTTTTAAAAACTAATATCTATGGTAAAGCTGCACTAACAGACTAATCTGAACAAAATCCGCGAACAAATATAAGTTTGGTAGAACAGAAAAGACAGACACTGTCGAGCTCATTGAGTTTGTTGCAAAGAATAGAAACATCCACATTTGGTCAGTTAGCCTTTCCTGTGACTCCATGAAAAAAGTACACCAGCTATATATCAAGCAAACAAGCATAAAAGATTTCATGTATAAATCAAAGGAGACCTTAAGAAGTAACCGCAATACCACCAGTGAATATCATAAATTAAGAACAGATAGTCTCAGCATGAAATAAAACACAAAAGAGAAATGGCAGATGAGGTGGATGTTGCTTACCCTGTGCTATCTGCATTCTGCTTCAACATGTAAATCTCAGATAATTGCCGTGGGTTTGTCCCAAGAACCTCATCCACAACTTTCCACTACAACTTCAATAAACATCATAAAGAAATTATGCATCAAGTTTGCAGATGATTAAAATAAAATAAAAGGAATGGATGAATATATCTTTAGCAGACAAAAGGAAACCTTAGTAGGCCTAAAATCTTACTACCTCCTTCTCACTGAAGAATTCAGGGACCATATGCAACTTAGCTTCCTGTGGTGTCCAACCAAATGTCTGTACCATCCAATTATCATTATGTAAGTAAATAAGGAAAATGAAAAACAAAACAGCAATACAAAGGTAAAATGAGCATACCTCACGAGAAATGAATATATTAGGAAAACCAAAATCAACAAATGCTTGTGAAGAATAGTAGCTGCAAGGATTATAAGATAAACATGAATCCATTAGTTTACATGTGGAATGTCCTCGGTGCTGTGCATCAAATTATTTAAAGAAAAAGTTTAACATCGCCCTTAAACTTTGATTGAAAGTCCATGTCCATCTAGCACCCTGAAGTTTGAAACAGGACATCCAACCCCCCAAACTATGCAATACCATTTATACAACACCCTAAGTTGGTTTTGCAAAGTGGTTTTTTTAATCTTATTTGTAATACATTGGACGAGTTTGATTACATGAATTATGCATTGGACATGTGTTAAAATCTCCACCAAAATATTTCGTTTTTACCATTTTTGCTCTCTCTTACAAATGAATGTTGATATAACATTTAGTATGACATCACTATAGAGCATAAATTGACGTCCAAATTATTGATGATATGTAAATATCTTATACTCCCTCCGTTTTTTAATAGATGATGCCGTTGACTTTTTTCTCACGTGTTTGACCATTCGTCTTATTCAAAAATTTTATTCAAATGTATAAGATATAAATCACACTTAAAGTACTATGAGTGATAAAACAACTCATAACAAAATAAATTATAATTACATAAATTTTTTGAATAAGACGAATGGTCAAACATGTGAGAAAAAGTTAACGGCGTCATCTATTAAAAAACGGAGGTAGTATTAGTTACTCAAAACCACTCTTTTAAGCTCCCAAATATGCAACCACTATCCAGGTGTTAGACGAACTTTTATCCAAAGTTTTGGTGGGTATACGGACCTTTTTCTTTATTTAACTTATAGACAAAAAAAGAACTCCATTAGACAACATGGCACAAGATGAAGAAACTATTCAAGTCAGGGACCAAAATGAAAACTATGATCATGTAGTTCTGGAATCTGGCTACCTTACTGTATTTATGGTACACTCACTTGTCCACGAAAAAGATCATTAATATACAAGCATATAGGTCGGAGTTCATGAGTTAAAAGAGTAACATCGACTGTTCTGTGCTGTGCTATATATGCGAATGGATAACTACAATCGGACACTCACCCATCTGAGGTAGACATAATGACCGGCAAGCACTGTTCGTTGGCACCGAGTGCGATCACCCTCCAAATCAAGCTATCATGATACATTGCCGCAGGCACCATCGTATCATCCTTGCAAGTCGCCTTCCTCAGCACATCCACATTGTTCAGCACCAGCTTTGGCTACAAATCACATCACCAATACAATACATATTAGGAAACAATAGTTAAACCACATTCACAACCAAAACAGATACCGAATTTACCTGAAAGAAATCCACCTCAGCCGCACCCGAGAGCACATCCAGCAACAGGCATGGCCAGTCGGTTGCGGAATTGGCCAGTGGCCTCGAGAACCGGCCAGTCCTATTCATCTCCCGCACCGCCTCCTTCCTCCACCCCTCTTGCATCCGGAGCACCTCCTTGGCCACACGCAGCGCCGCCATTGCCTCCTGCATGTACGCCTTCTCCTCCATGGAGCAGTTGGTCGCCTCCCCCTCACCAATGCAGAAGGTAGAGTCGTCGCCACGCGCCGAGGAGGACGCGGCGAGGACGGCCCTCGCCCACAGCGTCGGGACTGGGTAACCGCCGCCGCCACGACCGCCGCGGCGGGCGGCTGGTCCCGCGAGGCGTGTCAGCGCGGTGTGGAGGCCGTGGGAGCGGGAGAGCGCGGCGAGCACGTCCTTGGACCCGACGGCGCCGCGGAGCACGGCGTCGCGCGCGAGGCCCTCGAGCGCGGACTCGAGGCGGAGGCGGAGGTCGGGGAGCGACGGCGCCGCGCCCTCGGCGGCGGGGAGGAGGAGCGACCACGGCGCGTCGGGGCCGGGGCGGAGGAAGTCGACGAAGGCGGCGGCGTGCGGGGGCTCAGACCACTGCGGGAGGAGGCGGCGGAGGAGGAGGGTGGACTTGCCGACGCCGCGGGGCCCGTGGAGGATGAGCGGCTGCGGGACGCGCGGGCGGAGCGCGTGGTTGTGGAGGACCGTCTCGAGGACGGGGCGCGGGATCACACGCCACGCCCTGCGGCGGCCGGCCGCTCCGGCGGACGCGGCGGCCATGGGCGGCGGCGGCGGCGGGAGGTTGGTAGGGTTTTGTGGGGGGTTGCGGGCTTGCGGCGAAGGAATGGAAGAGAGGAGGAGACGAGCAGGAGTGGAGACGGACAAGGCCACATCGCGGTGTGTTCTTTGCAGGCTGGGCCGGGCTGGTCAGGGCCGGGCCGGGTGAGAATACGGTCTTTTGTTTGGTCCGTGATTATGGATGCAGGAATTAAATACTAAAGTGAAGAAGAAATGAGGTAGGCATGTAAAGAAACATACTTCCGACGAATCACGTGCGAGTACACGGATGGAGGGCCCCCACAAGTCAGCTCAAACAGACTTAAAGTGGGACCAACCACCTTAGGGGCTTAGAAGATAGTCACTGGAGAAAGGTGGTTGCAAGGAGGTGGGGCTAGGGGTTCGGCCGAACTGCCATTAGCTCCACTCATCCTCGCCCTTCACTTGGTGTTCCCTCATTGGCTCCCAATAGCGTTTATGGAAGATCGGTGGTGATAACCGTCATTATGAGACTATAAATTGAGTTCACTCTGATGAGGATGATAGGTCACGATATTCCGATATGTATTGATAACTCTTGATTTGGTGGAAACTTGACACACACAATCCAGCTTCCGATCAACACGATCCGAACCCTGTAATAGTAGCAGCACGTCTCCTCTGGTTATCAACCGTGCATTGCACGGTTGACCTCGCCGAGAAGGCTAATCCTTGCATGTGAATCGAAGAACACAAGCAAGAATAAGATAGATTGTAACACAATTGCATATAAATGATTAAGTACTTGAATTTGGGGTTCCACAAACCGATATAGCGGCGAAACTGCAATGGCAGAAATAATCTAAGTAAAACCCAACAGTAAACTATGATGGCTACTGAGTAAATATGATTTGGGACGTCCTAGGTTTGCCCTAGGGCACACACCCCCTTGGGCTAAGCCCACGACACAATTACAAGGCCCAAAACCCAAATCAGATTCGGACTGGATGATGTGCGTGCCTTGTTTTGCAGATTCCTGATAGTTCGGTGGGAATTTTGACTTGGGACTAAAACCATCTTAAAGTATACTACATAAGCTTTCCAACAAGTACTTATGGTCCTTGAAATTTCTTTTAGATCAGCGGCTAGGTCCGTTTGAAGTTGATGCTGTCAGGAGTTCCAAATTCAAATCTAAAACGTGCAGAACTTTATTTCTTGTCTTGTATGGACCAAAAGTGACATGGTGAGGTAGAAGTAGACTTAGAGAAGGTCTTGGTTTGATCCCCAATCAACTTCTTTGATCATACATGCATTCCTTACACTCGGTTTCTTTTTCTTCACCTAAGCAAGTACCTCTGCAAACGAAAAGATAAAAAACTCATAGTGTAACAACGTTTGTTCAAATATATAATAAGTAAATCTAAGATAGAACATATGCACATTTGGTTGATGAATACATAAGTTAGTCATGGTCATATCCGAGCTAGTTGTGTCATCATCACACTCCCTCACTTCACAACACACACTCAAGGAGCAAAATCCCTCTTGCATTTGTATTCTCTATAGTTTCTAGTAGGAATAAAGCTTAGTAGCTTTAGTCCTATAGTCTTCTTGGAGCTCTGGGTATTTCTTTCTTTGTGTAAGACTATAGTTGAATTAATAGAATTGTCTTCTTTATTTATTTATGTTCATAATTTTTATATATTTTTTATTAAGTATATGTTCTATGAGTGGTGTATATTTTCTATATATCTGCTTTATCCTAGTCTAGTCGATCCATGCTATGGTAACGGCCCAATGACCTTTATAAGTTGCTCTAGCTCCAACTTGTTCATCTGTAGGGTGAGAGACCCAGGGGAATTACTGATATTATTTACTGGCATAAGCATGGTGCTTAGGCTAGATAAACATTGTCGGATGCGGATGTGCCCCAAGGAAAGTGAGGTAGGCGGCAAGTAGTGATAGCCATATCCATCCTTTGTATCCCTCCACGTTCGAGTATGACGTAAGAGCGCATAAATGCCATAACCACGCTGGCAGATCAGCAGGGAGTGGTCTCTAGGTAGTACCTGGGTACTTGGAACTAAGTTCTATGTTGTAAGCATGTATATCTTAAGTGTATACTAGACATGATCAGTATAAAAGTACAGATGAATCATTGTTTCCTTAGGCTACCTCCTACTAGATGATCTTATAGAGGTGAATCTTCTATGAGTCCACTACCTTATCCTATTCATCTTAACCCCTGTTTAGACTATGGTGAATTAATTATAGGTTGATTAAAGATATATAAAACATATCTTCATACCACCGCCTTCCCTGTGGAAATATAAATACGATACCCTTGGGAATACTCATATGTGAAATGCTACAGCGGTATCCGTGTGCTTGCGGATTTATCTGTGATCGTAAGAAATACCAACACTAACTAGTCAATCTGCTTCTATAATCACCGATGATCCTCTTACTTGTGGAGAATGCACTTTCTAAAGCTACAGTAGAAGCAGGGGCTGCTACAAGTCACATGCTATGCAAGCAAGTATCGGATTAGTGGTGCAAGATATCAAAGTCAATAGTAGTAGGGACAATTTCTTCCTTCAAGTACATGTCAAGCTCATGAGCTTCGCTCCTTAGCTCCAAAGCAATATGTTGTCCCTAGTCTTCCCATAGTCATGGGTTATCCTCATCAACCTGAAACTGTACATTCTTATTTTTTTTATTATTTAGAGTACTTGAGTTCATATGTGAGGAATATTTAGAAACAACTCTCTCATTTTGGTGTGCACAATTGTTAGATAACTAGGGCAATATTCTCAAAACTGTTACTCAATCGAAACTCAAGAAATTTCAACTTAAACCATAGATCAAAGATAACAGGAATTCAAATTTGCAGGTATGACAAATTCTAATACTTTCTAATTTTTTTTCCCTCATGCCATGCACCAAAGAAAAAAAATGACAGAGGTTGTATCGGAGGATTCTCTCTCCAACACTTTTTGCACTTGCGAAAGCTGATTGAAGTACAAGTTAGTTGTAGGATACTTTGATCCTAAAACAAGTTAGTTGTAGGATACTTTGATCCTAAAACTTTCTTAGTTGCTCGATAAAATACCTTCAATATGCTGCAGAGCTTGTCAGCCATTTTCCATTATGCAAGGACATGCTCAAATACATATTGTTTGTCTACACGGGTTAGAGTTCTAAAAGCTCTCATATAAAACAAAGCCAAGACTAGCATATTAGTTCTATCTGGTGGAAACAGTTGAGTTCCACCTAGTGGAAACATTAAGCTTGGGAAGGTATCCCTATTTGCTTGATCATCTCCTCAAACCGTTGTTTCCAAGCTTGTGAACACTTGACATACTTTACGCTCTCTCTTATACGACTTGTTATAACAATCACAACCTTAAATTCTTCTTGAACAATAAGATTTAACACATGTGCGACACAACGATTATTAAAAAAAATCACCTCCGCACAGAGCAAACGCTTTTTTACAAGATTATCACTCAATAAATTGTTGAAAGTATCATTAAGTATTGATTATCCAATGAGAGTCCAAATAATTTGTCTTCAATATGTCACTTATGTAGGGCCTTCAATATTGCATTAAACATGTTCTTGTAATCATGTGGTGTTTCAACTATTAAAAATCTAATGATCCTCGTATACAATTTCCACTTGTGATCGATAAAATGATAAGCGATGCACAAATATTCTATGGTTTGGTTTGTGGTTATTGTTAATGAGGTAGAGTTGCTCGGAAACTCTCGCAGAGATAGCTTATGCACTAATGTAGTTACCCTTGATGGTAGTTCTAGAATGGGTATTTCTTAACTTCACAGATAAATTTCATAAGCACACGAAAGATACCGATGTAGCACCTCACACGGGAGTATTACAATGTATCGATTTCCGTAGGGAACGTGTGTGTTCAGCTCCTCTTCAGGTTCATACAAGCACACAAACTAAAAATAGGCAAAGGGTAGAGAGGATTTCAAACATTGTCTATGCAAAGCTCAATTTAATCATAACATGATACTTCGGGCACTGGCAAGCCCACTGCTTCTAGATATGGCTCTACTGCGTACCCGAACAGCGAGGACTTCAGTGTAATTGAGGGTCACCACCTCTACACCCACCTCAAACCTACTGTGGGATACGAAGCAATCACCGGAAATTAACTACTTAGACACCGCGTCTACGTAATTAATAACTACCCTAGTATCGGCCAAACACTAAAGCAATCACTATAAATTAATGGACTATAGTGAATAATGATCCTGCATTCTGATTAGGAACTAAACAATATATAATTCTCACTAAGCAAATCTTAATTACTCAAAATAATATTTCTATTGAACCAGAGTAATTAACAAAGTACAAGAATAGGGAGAGGATTACCGACAACTCCGGAATTCCCCCGACTTCTTCTACTTACTCTCTCCTATTCTAAGTATACTATAGAACATATAAAGCCTAAAGTATACTTATAGCCTCTTGTAATTCAGCTCTACATCTTGGTGTATGTGAGAATGAAGGATGAGAGGGGTATTTATAGGAGGAGGTGCACACTTTTCTCTCTGGGTTGATGCGGCCCTGAGGAGGAGGAATCTAGTCTGCTTTAGGTTTTATGGAGATTTTTTATACTGCCTCTAGCCCATTTTGGACTAGCCCCGACTTGTAATGGATGGGCTTGTTATTTGACGTTAGTGATATGGAACAAGTCTATTTTACTTCCCTCATTTCTTACCCTCGATTGAAACGTCTCCCTCAACTGCAAAACTAGGTATAAAGTATCTATAAAAACCAGTGAAGTTCACACAACTACATATACTTTGACCAAATTATCACAAAACTATATATTTAACATAATATATCATACAACTGTAGATTATCCCTATTCTATGTAAACTATAGAACATATAAAGAACCTAAAGTATACTATAGAACATATAAAGAGCCTCTTGTAATTCAACTCTATATCTTGGTGTGTGTGAGAATGAAGGATGAGAGGGGTATTTATAGGTGGAGGTGCCTTGGGAGGATAGAGTTTCTTCCAAGTATCCAATGAGCATTTTCATCCTCC